CCCCCCCCCCCCCCCCCCCCCCCCCCCCCCCCCCCCCCCCCCCCCCCCCCCCCCCCCCCCCCCCCCCCCCCCCCAACGAACAAGGCGCAGATAGAGCGGCGCGAGAGCGGTTCACGGCGTGTACGGAAAGCCAGGAGTGGCCAAGCCTTGTTGATCAAGGGCGGGCTAGAATCTGGCAACAGATTGTCGCCGACGTTGGCGCGTACTGCAGCTCAGGCAATGAGACACAAGCGTCACCTGCCCTGCAATGGTCGCCCCCGCGGTGAGCTGACACTTGGCTGGTCGTTGGCGGTGGTATGTTGTCCTAGGAAGTGCTCGATGCAATTTTACCAAATGTCGCCGACAGGATGAGCAGGTTCTGAGGGGAGAGCGATGTTTGGTTGGTGCAAAGATGAGGGATGTGTCGCCAGAAGAACAAGGGCTGGGTGAGGTCACTCAGGTGAGGTAGGGTCTTATTAATAGTAATGAGGTCGGCCTCTGACGCTGCCTGCCGTTGAACAATGAAGCAGACAGCAGCCAACGATGCGGACTGTCACACCTTGGTATTAGTCGTCGGCAGTACAGAGTACCACGCTTGTTGATAACGCGACAAATGCATAATGCCACTTCGTGGCTCTAGCTTTCGAAGCGCGACGCATTCCGTGTTAGCTCTGCGCTGGCCGACCAGACACCGCGCTGGTATTTAAGATTGCTTCACATGCCGCAGATACCCACAAGAGGGATCTTTATTGACTTGGAATGGGAATGCTTTGCTCGTAAAGGAGCGTTGCATTGTGGTACGTGCCGACCAGAGTCCGTGACAATGTGCACATGCCTCCAGTCTGTCACGGACTCGCGGCGGGCGGGGTCTTGCCGCCATTCGCGACGCTATATGTAAGTTAGACAAAAGTGGAATTCGTATGCCTTGTCCGGCCGGCTGGACCCGTGCGCCATTGTTCGAATCCAGCGCCCGGAATTGGCGGCTTTCTCTTACACAGAAGGCTGTCTGCCATCCACCATCACTTGACCTTAACCATACTACAAAGTTTAGTGCCTGTGTCGCGGTCCGAGGGCCCGGATTACGCGACTCCTACTGCTATTGGATCGACGGATATCTGCGAGGAATCGAGAATCTGGGTGAGCAATGGCTTACAACTTCAAGGGCGAATAACGCGGCGAAGTATAAACAAGAGGAGAGCGGGAAAATATGGCGGGAAAATATGCTCGGGGATATTGGCGGTATCACCAAAGAGAAGCTCAAGTTCCCTACAAGTCGCGGTCCCGCACAAAGATCCAAACCGAGGGAGCCCATCCCATCTGGGATCGGAGCAGATACAAGGACTTGTGGATGAGTAGCAATGGCGCCGCAGGACCATTTTGATGGGCAAAATCGCATAGCAAAGTTATGACTTGCCTTGCCACATGTGCCGTTACGTGAAATCGCTATCACTTTTGTTGACCATATCATCTCGACTGGAAGCCCATATCAGTCGCATCAGTCGTCGCTTTCCCGAGCCTGCAAGCGTGGAGGAAACTCGGAATACGCCTATCTATCCGTCCAAAGGGTAATACTCTTGCCCTCTTCCGGATGCCGGCCATCAAGTTGGCGCTTTCTTTCATTCGGCGGCGGGGCAGCCGGAAGCCACTGTGGGTGGACGGGATCGTCCATAGGATCAAAGTTGACAGTGCCCTCGCTCCTCTCTTCATCGTCGATAGGGATAGGATCGAAGTTTACCAGACAGATCTCACGAGCAGCACTTGCATCAGTGCCGCCCCAGCTGACATCGGCGTGGGGGTACATGAAAAGGGCGCCACGGTATATGTGGTCGAAAATGTCGCAAGGAGTATCCTCCAGGAGGAATAGAAGTCCCGGGAGCCTCTGGACTTCTCCAACCCGATCGCTGTAAGGCTCCTGTTTGCGGTTTGCACCGAGTCTGAGAGCGGCCATGTCATCACTGACTTCCAACCCAGGGTTCTGGAGGTTCTGCATCTCCTTTGCCGCAGTCACTTCTCGGATTGGATCCCAGATTGTGCCTCGAGCAGTCATCTCACCTCGAAAATGAATGACGCATTCCTCGGCGGCAGCGTTCGGGGGCAAGAGAAACTCGTACTGGAAATCTCGGCCATGGTGCGTGACATCTAGCGCCTCAGGGCCTCGCTTGAAATCATGGCCGTTGAAAGATTCGGGATTGATATCGGGGTTTACCATATAAGACACACACGATCTCAGAGAAGGAAGAGACGTTGGTCGGTCCGAACGGCTGGTCCAGCACATCCAAGCTGGATTGCCCGCGTGGTCTTTGAATAAGACGTTGCGAGGTACGACCTCAACCTTCATTCGCGCCATTCTGTCAACATAGCTGAGCTTCGGAGCGTCGAATGGAAATACATTGCCACGAGTATCATTCAAGGCGATTTGCGGGAACGCGAAACCTGAATTAGTGTGGGGTAGAAATGAAAGAGGTGAATGAATGGTTGATGATGTTGGTTCGCGGCGGAACGGGCACAAGGGCGTCGGAGACACTCTACATATCCTCGAGCGCGGCTTCTCGAGGACAATAGCTGCAATATATCACCAGGGACATGCCGCGTCGGACGAGGAGCGATAGCTTTGGCATAGTCAAATCATTGGCTTCTTTATTAGAACAGTGATGGGCTTCTAGACCAATAGCACTGTTCGGGGTATTCCAAAGGGCGAAAAAGATACTCAAAATTAACCGAAACTCCGCGCTCAAATTGAAGCATCCCAATCATAGAAATCGTTTGCTTCGTATCCCGGAATTCAGGCGCCGGCTTTGGGCCTGCACGTTTTCGGAACTTATGTCCGTTGTCCCTTCCAAGGACCCCATGGGCGACGAAGTTACCTCCACGTATTCCCAGGGTAGGCTTGCCGCTCGCTGCTGATGGTGGCGAGTGCCCCCTTGATCTTCGCGCTACTTGGACGTTGCAAGGTGGGACCACTCGGGGATGGCCTCGATCTGGGAGTACATAAACTTCTCCAGTTTGTTGGCGGACTTTGCATACGGTGTGCTTTCATTATTGTACTTGCGGCAGTTGTTGAACACGAGCTTGGCGTCCTTGATGAAATCCTCGGGAGTCAGGTATTGATCCTTTTCCAGCTTACTCTCCATTGTGCTGAAATCCATGGGCTCCTTGATGACGTCGTAGTAGTCGGCCACGTCATCGCGGTTGACAGGCACAAGGAACGGCCAGGCGGAGTTGTGGTTCTGCATGTCGTTCAAAAGGTGAAGGAGTTGGTTGTAGTTGGGTCCGTGGCGTGGCTGTCTGGCCAACGCGTCCATGTCAGGGGACCAGCCGGACGCGGCGATGGCCGGAATAGAGAGAGGGTCGATGGGCTTGACTCCGTTCTTCCATTCCTTAGGCGGCGCATGCACAATGTGTGATTTTGAGTAAGCCCGGATCTTGGCGAGGATGCACTCCTTTTGCTTCAGCAGCATGCGGCCCTGCTCAAGATAGCGGACCCGGGGTAGCATGGTGCACTGCATGATGGTGCCGCCCTCGTAATCCTTGATATAGCCCATCCATATCCTCTTCTCGAGCGTAATCTCCTTGGTGAACCCCTGCTTTTTGAAGTAGCCAATAGCGTAATTGTCCGCGTACGTCAAGAAGTGCATCACGTCGCTAGATGCTTTGACGTAGTCCTTGAGATGTGCCATGAGGTGTGCGCCATAGCCTTTGACTTGCTGGTCCGAGCTGATGGCGCAGAACACGATTTCGGCGAATTGGCGGCCCTTGAACGGTCGATACGTAATGCCGCCTATGACTTCGAGAGGCTTCTTGACAATGGCAATCGATCGATGTGTTCTGTCGTAAACGAGTCGCGCGATGTAATCTTTTGGCATCTTTGGTAGTTGCTTCTGGAAAATGCATTTGAGTCCAGTCAAGATGATGTGTGAGTCCTGCTCGCCGTCGTTGTTGACAACTCGAAATTCAATTTCCCCATTGCGCTCCTCGATAACTGCAGGCTGTTCCTGTCAGCGCAAGTCACTCATCGAATGATAGATATACAGACCTTTTCTGGGAATGGAATCCGCTTCAAGGGCTCCTTGCTCTTCTTGGCAGTTTGGGTGTCCTCGACGTCGCCATGCTTAACGCGTTTCGCCGCAGCAGGCGATTCGGGAGGCTCGGTAGCCTTGCGCTTACTGCCTGGAGACATTAGCATAATCGCGGAACCATGAATGAAAAGACTCACTTTCTGCCATGGGCTGGTCTAACTCCATGTCTACCAGTGGTTGATCTAGCTCCATGCCAGTCGGGATATGCGCGCGTACGTCGTGATGATGAGGACGTTGTTCTAATCGATGCGGTGATGCAGGAAGGTGGATCGGAGGTAGGAGTTCCGTGGGGTTCCACTTGGCGATGGCCGCCGGCTTACGTAATGTTAACACGTCGGCCCAAGTCCCCAGGCCGCGTTTCTCCACGCTAAACTGAACTTGGATCGTCCGAATTGGGGCCAGCGTTCACGTTGCAGCTACCTGTACGTACCCATCGTGAATTCGGAGCTCCAGTCAGCTCAACCTCACCACGCATCCGACTTCCACGGCCAGGCAGCAATTGTCCCAGTCAGCACCATTGTACTGACGCCTCCAACATAGCAAGGTCTCTCTATTCTGCTTCACCAAGCGTGCACATGGATTCCTCGCTGCACGAAGTCTGGCAAGCCGCTGCTGGCAGCCCCTTCCTGCCGACCATTGGAAAGAATACACAATTCCTCGTCGCCTTTATTCTCCTATTGATTGGCATCTCACTCACTGGTGTCTTTGCACTGAGTATGTTCTCGACTCACCACTCCAGTCGCAGTCTGCTAATCACCATAGACCGCTCCTTTACCAACGTGCCTCTCTTGGGCATTCCCGCATCTCTAGCCATTGCGTTCGTTGCCTCGCCCCGAACCATTCATACTATACTAACTGACATCATCAGGTACGGCACGGTATACATGTTCTGCGCGGTCGGAGTCTACGTCTAGATTACCCCCCCTTGAATCCGAGCTGGTGGGACGAGAAGGGCGTACCATAGCTGAACGAAGAAACGCATTTAGCGGTTGATTTCCTTTTTCGCGCCCGCAATACCCTCATTACGATGCCAGCCGAGACGCAGTCGATCTTCAAGGCCGTGGCCACGTCCACGCGGCCTCTATATCAACTTCTCAAATGTATTAACTTCACACCGAGGGTCCACGTCCAGATCACCCAGCAGGGGATCCGATTTGCGGCAGACCATGCCCGCGTAATGCAAGGTACGGCAGCAAGCAGCTTTCGGCCGTGCGAGTGCTGACTATAAAGGTGTTTCTTTCCTCGACTCGGCGCTGTTTCAAACGTACAGCGTCAATCTTCCAGTATCCGACGATGGCGAAGCCAACGAGCCTGTCAATTTCCAAATACCCCTTGCCTCTCTGTTAGAAGTTCTCCAGATTTTCGGCGCAGTCGATGTTGCAGCGCGGGCTCAAAAGGCTGATGCAGATCCGTACCGCAGCAACCTGCGAAACTATCGTCCCGATGCTTTCAGCAATCAGACCCTTGGGCTGGCGGGGACCTGCACACTCCTCTACGCCGAGGAGGGCGACTCCTTCAAGGTGACGATTGAAGAGTCTGGTGTCAAAACGACGGCGGCACTGACCACATATGTGCCCGAAATTCCCGAGGAGATACCATTCGACCGCAACGACATGGCTTTCAAGATCATCATGCCATCGCGATCGCTATTGGACTCCTTTGCGGAAATTTCGCCCACGGCCCCCACGAAACTCGTCATTACTACATCCAAGTCGGCGCCTTTTCTTACCCTGGCCGGCCTAGGCGATCTCGGCAGCTCCGCTGTTGACTTTGCACGGGGTCGCGAGATTATGGAAACCTTCAGTATACAAGAACGTTGGTCACAGAGCTTCAAATTTGACTTTATTAAGAACTCAACGGAGGCAATGCGCATTGCGAGCAAGGTCAGTCTAAGAGGTGATCGGCAGGGAGTCCTCAACCTGCAGCTCATGGTGGTCACGGAAGGCGATAAACAATGTTTTCTTGATTTCCGTTTCGTGCCATTTGTGCAGTACGAAGATGATGAGGAAGGCGATGGGGCTGGGGGGCAGGGAGAGGGAGGCGACCTGGAGATGTCAGATTGATGGCATCAAAGGCAAGATTACTACAATACTCCCTTCCATTGCATCTTTGTCTCCTGTTTGAGGCCAGCATTTACCACTCCAACAAATGAGCATTGTCTTTAGGGCATAATTCTTCACCAATCGCCCCGATGCGTATGCATGTCTCGAGCCAATGGTCAGTCCATGCCAAATGATTGGCCTCCGCTACCTGGCGCTGAAACATAGTATCGTCAGCCCGACTCTGCAACGCCTCACACAACCCTCGGAATGCTTGAGACAGACAGCCCATGCTCACGACCAGCCGCCTCCTGGCCAACCCCTCAGACAAAGCGGGACGTTGGAATGTAGCCAGACATGGGACACGACAACGTTCATTCTATGGTATAAGTAGTTTTCGCCTCTGACCGGACGGCTTTCTCTGGTTTGTATCTTCTTGGCATACTTCTCAATCTCACTCCATCAAATCAAGCAGTACATCATGCACAACTTCTCCTCCACTACAGCCTTTAACCGTTCCGACAGGGTGAAGCCAACTCTCAAAGCAGACCGCCGAGCAGGCAAGCAGAGCAAGAAACCCAGCCGTCCCAAGAGGTTCTTCAGATCTGTACACAAACTTCTGGGTATGTGCTGGGGCGGAAATATCAACAACAAGAAGATTACTAGGGAAGCCCGACAGAAGGCACAAGAGAAGGAGCAGTTGCTGCTGGACGAGGACAGCGATGCGGGAGAGGACTGGGACGAGGATGAGGTGTTGATGGGCGTCGATGGAGATGATAGAGGGAGGTACAGAATTGCGAGTGTCGATGTCGGAAGGGCGAGACAGGTGTCTGGGTGGAAGGCTGGGATATGAGGGGGGATCGGGCGACGGTGTGCAAGCTGGACTTGTGCGCCGAATAAAGAAAGAAGATCTTGGTGGTTCAAAGTCCGTTTCGATGACACTTTCGCGTTACGTCGTGAGCCTTCTGCCTAACATTTTAGCCCCTTTTACCCTGCTTCAACTCCCTTTGTCTTGACCGAGGATCAATGCTTCATTCCATATACAACAGTGCCTGCATACCCTTTTTCGATCAACATCGTAATGCAAATGTCTCCAACGCAAGAAGAGACCTTTATGTCTTGTAGGGAGTCAAACGGCGGTTTTCCTGCCGCGGACCCCGCGTCCGAGCTCGAGGTCATGACACGCCCTTTTACGGGGAACAATCGCCAGCACTCTTCCGGCTTGATCAGCGTTCTGCGGCCACGTGCATTGAAAATTCGACTCTATAGACTTGCAAATGTCGGCGCGGGTGCAAATTCGCGTGCTGCAACCTTGAAACAGCTCCCACATTTCGATTTCTTGTTACTTCAAAGACAGCCAAGATCAACACACACTCATGGTGCGATCCGCGCCGGGAGACGCTAGACTATCGGTCCCCCCGGCACCGCGCGCATCGTGAGTCGCGACTCCAGTCCCTGAGTCCTGGACGGCGGCTATGCTACAAGCTCGACTCGGGGATGGACGCTGAGCCTGAACAGCCAAGCCAAAACGGATGGACTCGCACCTTCAAAAATATCCCAAACCAAAGCCCGTCGTGAGCACTGCGCATGCCGACCACGAGGATGTCGTCGATCAAGGGATTGAGTGTCAGTGACGACAACGTCGATCTACGGAGTTGGGGCCCTTCCTGGCAGGGATCCTCCCCAGCTGCTGGCTGTCACCATCCAATCATTCACTGCGCTGCTGGGCGAGTCACGTCACAACATGGAGTGGAGGATGTACATCCCTGTCGGCATTGGGAGACCCTTGGATCCATCGAGAGGAAACATCACCGGATGGATCCCTTGGTCAAAGTCGTCCAAGGGTACGCAAGAATTAGTCGGTGCTGTAAGCTGTTGCTTGTGCTCAGTCATCCAAGGCGTATACTGTAGTAGGTGAAGCCTCGCATCTTTGACGATCTCCCTGCGGCGCTAAACAAGAGTCCGCTATGTCTTTTGTGCTTTTCTCGGGTCCGCCGCACCAGGCCGCCAAACAGGAATCAGCGATATCAGTTGGTGGGATTCGATGCGGTATGCGAACCGCCGGCCGATTCCTACGAGCTTCGTACTTTCCAGGGTCCTTCGGCACTCATCTCACCTAGAGGGTCTCTGCCCATCTCTGGCTTCTGGCAGGCTGTGCTATGCTGGTCCCTGATGTCTTTCCGCGCTGACCAGGAATCGTCATTTCTCCTTCCTGTTTCAGGATCCCATGTTAAGTCTGGCGTCTTCTTCAAAGCCATTGACCTTTTCCTATCAGCACATTTTAACTGGATTTTGTTCAGCCAAGGTGAAGAATCTATTTCGTGAACATCTTTTTGTTGGCCGCCACAGAAAACGCCTAGGAACGAGATCCTCGACTCGAGCACTAGACAAAGACATTCTTTGTTCGTGAACACCCGAACAACAAAACCTGATCTATTTGTCCTGGGGCTGTTCGACATATGATCTATCAAACGAAACATTCGCGCGAGCATCATTTTCACGGACTCGAAGTTCCTTCTCGCCCTTACACCGGGATACAAAGATACAGGGTACCCAAAACCACAAACCCAGACCACAATGGCAGCAGCAACAACATCGACATTCTCTCTCCGCAAGCTCATCCAGACAAAGCTTCACCAAGAAGATGACGACGCTTTCCAAGAGGAGGACAGTGCGTCATTCTTCAACGATGACCAGAAGAACCCCATCAAGCGCCGTCTGACCACATGGCTGCCCCCACCGGCGCGACGATCCTCGACGTCTGGCGGCACAGCTCCCGTTTCCGCTCACGGCCGGAGCAACTCAGACCTCCAGCGTGCGCCTTCGCCACTACCCAGCGCCAATGGCTCATCACATCAGCGCAAGCCGTCCGAGGCATCTAATGCCTTCAGCAATGCAGGGGCGCCCTCCAATTCTAATCTCAGCTCGGCGTCCGCGCTGGATTCAGCCCTGGCCAAGCTGGACGCCGCTAAGCGGCAGGACCCTGACAAGAGGACCCTGAATGACGCGCCCCCATCAACAACTTCCCATGCAAGGTCGCGCTCCGAAGCCAGTGCTAAACCGGGCAGCCTGAACTGCCATGTGAACTACTTTGTGCTTCCTCAAACCAATGTTTCTTCTGCTGTTCCGGTTGCCGTTCCCGACAAGAAGCAGAACAAGGCTCAACCGACGACATTCCTGGCCAGTCCTACACATTCGTCGGTGTTCGACTCCTCTTCATCACACCGAGGATCAGCGGACAACTCAGCTGTACCGACCAGGAACAACGACAACAATTTGGACACAAAGGTTGCAAGCACACCGGACACAACTCTGCCAACTGTGAGCCTTGACCAACCAAGCACCGAGGGCAAACGCGACATGGAAACCCAGCTTTTGAAGGATTGGTCGGATGGCGTCCGCGAGCTCATTCGCGAGACAGACCAGGCCTTTGATAGTGTTGGCAATGACCTTGTTGGCGCTGGGCTCGACATCAACCCCCTCGTCAAGTCACAAGACCTCTCATCACGCTCAGATCCAGATCTCTCCCTAGCACCGAGGCCGCTGGCTCTAATGAACAGCAACAAAGGGGATCACATCAAATGCGGACCCAAGGCTGAGGCGCCTCTTGAGATCACCCCTCGCCGCGGCTCCCGCCGAGACTCGGTGCTCATGGCTGAGCGCCGCAAGTCGCGATCAGTTCCACCACCGATCCAGGTTCGGAAGTCATCACCCCCACCACCAGGTCAAACATCAGCGCGACAGCAAGGGTCCTCGGCACCTCGCTCAGCCCGTGAGCCTACCAAAACACCAAAGACTGCCGACAGCACCAAGAGCAGCAGCCATGGGCATTTATTGAAGCCTTCGCTTTCCATTCGTAAACCTCTAGCGCAGCATAGCCAGTCACACGCAAACGTCAACGCACCGCAACGTCGGCCATCCAAGGCGACAAGGTGGGCGCTCCCCGAAAACGTCACCGAGCTACTCACAGGGAGCGTTTTTAAACGACATGAGATAGAGGAGATCTTGACGGAGGAGCAACTTGAGCGAGTTAACAAGGAGCGTGCAGAGGCCCAACGCAAAGCGAGCCTCAGGCCTACGGTCCCTCCAAAGGACACGCAGATGAACTACAGTGGCCGAAAGCCTCCCAAACCTAAACCGATCTCCAAAGATGACGCAGAGGAGCCGGCCAAAGAAACGCTTTCCAAAAACCCAGAGGAGGAGTCAAAGCCAGCTATTCCCCCTCGTGCGGACCGCCGCTCCCAGGGTCATCAGAAGAACGCTTCAGAGGGCAGCATCGCCAAATCGATCAATGGACAGCCCGATTCTCCAGCAAATCCATTCTTCACGTCAGAGCCAGCTTTGGCAACGGTGGACGACAAGGCCACATCCACCCATGAAGAAGACAAACCACCGATCCCCGCCAAGAACATGGAAAGTCGTCGTCGCCGTTGGACCAACATCGTGGAGACAGAGCCTGAGCTGTCCAGCGCAGAAGAGGCCGACGACGAAGAGGATGAGAACGACGGTCTGGCTACTTTTGATTTCCTCGGATCTCCATCCCCCATGACTCAAATGTCCGAGTTTCCCATGCCGCCCCCGAAGCACCCGAAGCGAAACACACCTCCGCCCTGCGCGGAGCTCCCCAATATCCCACCAGGCAAGAAGCGCAAAAATATCACGCCGACGCTCAAAGCGGAGGAAGACGACGAGTTTTATTACCTCAAGAGCACGCCTTACACACTGACCGTATCAAGTTTCCGCCATGGTCCCATTGCCTTTGCCAAGAGTGACCTCGGTCGCGGTGCCAAGACCATGGACGAGACGCTCGATTGGACAGCCTTCCAGATGGCCATCCTCGGCGCGGGTGAAATCCTCCCGGACCTGTATGATGAGGGCGACGCCAGGTATGCGGATGACCTCCGGGATTGGTTTGCCGATTTCGGCTTTGAGACACACGGGCAGCTGGTCCCAGGAGCGTGCCCTCCCAGCCCGCCATCGTCAAGCCGCAGCTCAATCTCCTCTGTCGAGGGTGATCTGCCCGAGGCCGACTACGATACCACAAAGTTCTTCCGGGGGAAGGGCCTCAAGCGGTGGACCATGGAAGGCAAGCCCAAAGACGGCAGTGTCTCGACTGGTGCCACGCACAAGCGCAACGACAGCAGTTCACCAGTGACTCTGGTAGTCGATGAAGACGACAAGGTGGCCGCGAAGCAGCACGAGGAAGAGGCCGTCAAGAAGGGCGGCCTATCGTACAACCTGCAGCACGACTTGGGCGATTTCCTCAAGTGGGAGGCCCAGCACATGGGTGGATTCTACGGCGCTCACTGAGCCCAGCGTGGTGTTTCCTTTGTTGTACCCATTTGAGTAAGGAGTTTGGTGTCGTGTTTTGGGCACGGGGCTCGGGTGCCCCAGGCTGAGCCTTTGGAGTATTTATTAGTATGTATGTAGACGATATCATGAATTATCAGGACTACCATCCTACAACAAGCACACACGGCAGCCCTTTTCGTTAGCACTTCTACCCAAGTAGAGAGATGATGAAAACGCCACACTGGCAAAACGCACTTTGAACTTCATGATCGCATTACTACTATCTAGCAAAAAGAAGGCCTTTTGCATGCCAGGCAGCCCCGACGCCCTGCTCCGCAACGCCGATCTTACCGGCCCATGCGGATGACGCCGGCCGCCGCCAGCTTCTGTACCTTTGTCCGGACAATGGGGTTGCGCATGTGCTCCTGAAGAGCTTTGGGGTCGCTCTGCGCTTGCTGCAAAATGCTCTGCATGACGGGGTCCTGCATGATGGCCATGATCTGGGAATGTGGTTAGAAACTGTCCATCTTCCGTCAAAAGAAGTGTCCAAGGAAGAACTTACATCAGGATCCTGCTGGAGCCTCTCCTTAGTCTGCTCCTCCGTCTCATTGTCACGGGCCGAATACATGGCCGAGAAGGCCTTTTGCTGCTGGTTCTCAATCTCGCGGGCGTTGGCGTTGTTGTGGTGCTCCATGTCGACCATCTGTGCATCAGTGCAGGCATCGACGCAGTCCGAGTACTTGCGCATGCCAAAGTAGGCCTGGGCCTTGCGGATGTACGCGCGGATGAACTTGGGGTCCTTCTTGATGGCGAGGTTGCAGTCCTCGACGGCGCTGGGGAACTCAAAGAGCTTGATGAAGGCGGCGGCGCGGTTGCTGTAGCCGCGCGGATCCTCGGGCGCGCGCTTGACCATCTCCGAGTAGGATTCAACGGCGCCGGGGAAGTCGTTCTCCTTGAACTTCTTGTTGCCCTCCTCGCGGGCCTGCTCAGCCTTCTCCGGATCCACGTAGGCCTTCTTAGCGGCCTCGACATTGGTCTTCTCGACCGCGCGGAGCTTGGTCAGGACGTCTGGTGTGCGGTGCTCCATGAGAGACTTCTTGTAGTTGTCAATGGCGCTGGCGTAGTCGCCCTTGCGCTCGTACGCGGTGCCGATGCGGGCATAGCTCTTGGCGATGAGCTTGAAGTCGGCGTAGATCTCACGACCCTCCTCAATGGCCTTGTTACACGCCTCGATACAGGCATCGTAGTCACCCTTTTCGAACTGCGCGGCACCCAGATTGTTGAGGTACGTGATGTCCTTGAACGTCTCCCACGCCTTGGTGTAGTGGGCAATCGCCTCGTCAAAGTTGCGCTTCTTGTACTGCTCGGTGCCGAGCGCCTTCTCCTTGTCGGCAGCCTCCTTGAGCTTCTTCTTCTCAATAGCCTCCTCGTCTTCCGGCTCGGGCTCGGGTGCAGGCTCGGGGGCCTTCTTGGGCGCAGAAGGCTTGGGCTGCGATGGCGCATCGCCCGTGGGCATCTCGTAGGCACCCTCGGGGGCTGAGTCGCGAGCCTCCATGTCGACACCCATGGCCACGCCCATAACCTGAATCATGCGCGGGTCGCTGAAGATATCGGACATTTCGTTCATGTCGCCCTGCTGCAGCTTCTGCACCTTGGTCATGAAGGACGGGTCGCTCAAGTACGAGGCAGTCTTGGGGTTGCTGGCCAGCTTGCTGATCAGATTGGGGTCCTTGAACATATTTCCGATGCCGCCCATCGGATCCCCTCCCATGCCACCACCAGCCTCCTGCTGCATGGCCTTCTCGACAGATGCCAGCCCGCTCTTGAGCGAAGCGTTGTTGGCATCGTGCTTGAGGCCCTCTGTGTAAGCGTCATTGGCGCCAAGGAGATCGCCCTTTCCATGCAGGGCGGCACCTTTGCGGCCCCAGCCCTTGGCCCAGTCGGGCTTGATTGCGGTGGTCTTGTCGGCATCGCTCAGGGCGCTGTCCCAGTCACGTTTTGAGGCGTATGCGGCAGAGCGGTTGGAGTAGAGGACGTGGTTTTCGGGCTGAATCGCAATGGCTTCGGTGAATTTGGCACTGTTCTAGGTCAGTATTGGGCACCAGGGAAGAGATGTCCGGATGGTGAGCGTACATGGCCTCGTCGAAGTTCTTCTCGGCAATGGCCTTGTTGCCAGCTGCCTTGAGCTCGTCGGCTGACATGTTTGTTGGCTTTGTGTGTCTGTTTGTTTCTGCGTGTAGGTTTGTCTGGAAACTACAAGGGGTATCAAATGCTAAAATGGAGGATCGTAGACTTTGTGAGTACGCAAACAGGCGGGATCTTTAAAGTTTCTAGTTCAACGTGAACTTCTAATACTGGCACTCTGATGGATTGACGACGAAGTTTTGGTGGGGCACTTTCTAGGTGCTTCCATAGACCAGAAGGTAGGCAAGCGCGACCAAGCACCTCCCCCACCCGGCGCGGGCCCGCCCAAGCCACGGTCGGGGCGAGTGACACTGTTGCTGTGGCGTCACATTCTCTTCTACTCGATACCACGATCAACAGGCTCCAAATTTTCATGCAGTGCTCAAGTGGCAGGTATCAGATTCGCTTTGTCTATGTCTGGCAATCAAGGATCGTATGACCTGGCCTCAACGACCATCTTACTCTCCAAAGCCACATCGGCAGCTGATCGGCCGACCATGAACTTATACTCGCCCTGCTTGACTTCCCATCTGGAGGACTTCTCATCCCACGACGCAATATCCCGACCAGTGACCTTCAGTGTCACCGTCGCAGCCTCGCCAGCCTGAAGGGAGATCTTGCTGAATGCAGCCAACGCCTTGATGGGGTCTTCTGACGAGGGTGACGCGCTGCCCACGTAGATCTGCACAGCGGTCGCGCCCGCAACGCCACCGGTGTTGGTCACCTTGATAGCCACGTCAAAGTCATCGCCCGCCGGGCGGACGGACAAGTCGGAAAAGCCAAAGCTGGTGTACGACAGGCCAAAGCCAAAGGGAAAGTTCACTTTGTCAGGGGACAGACGGTCAAAGTGACGGTAGCCGACAAAGACGCCTTCCTTGTAGGAGACCTTGAGCTGGCCATTGTCGTATTCACCCGGGAAGTTGCCATAGGCGGGGCAGTCCTCGAGCTTCTTGGGGAACGAGCAGGTCAGGTGGCCCTCGGGGTTTTGCCGTCCAGTGAGGATGTCCGCGATGGAATTGCCAACCTCCTGACCGGGGAACCAGGTGTGCACCAGAGCCTGGATCTCGTTGAGCCACGGCATAGCCACGGCGACACCCGTCGAGTTGACAACAATGGTATTGGGGTTGGCAGCGGCGACCCCGCTGATCAGGCGATCTTGGCTACCGTCTTTGGGTAGGTTGAAGGACTGCTGATCCTGGCCCTCGGTCTCCCAGAATGTCTCGTGGCCAGTAAAGACGACAGCCACGTCGGCGGCTTTGGCGACCTCGACGGCCTCGGCCAGGAGGTCCTTGTCGTGCTCGGCAGCAGACATGTAGCCGGTGCGCAGACCGATGCGTCCATCGAAGATGCCAAGATCATCCCCTTCCTGGGGTGCCGGTGGACTCGTGAAGATGTTGATTTTGTATTGTTGACCGGCCACAAGAGGCACCTTGATCTCAGGGGCAGGCGCACCGCCAAAGAGGAAGCCCATGGCGTCGCGGCAGTTTTCCTTCTGCTCGTGTATGAGCTTGTCATCGATGAGGAGCTTGCTGGGGCCAAGGCCGGAGACGGTAAAGTAGTAGCTGTCTGTCGTAGGCGCGGTGTAGGTGCCCTCGAGAGTGGCAGACTTGCCAAGAGTACGGAAGGACAATACGCTAATCTCGCTGTTCGGGTATCCGTGTTCAACCTCAACGGGCTCCGGTTGACCAGGCTCGTAGATCTTGTGTGTGAAGCCCTTGCCGCCGCTGAGATCCACAACACCGTCGTCAATGCAGGGCAATGAGCGGAAAGTGTGGGCACCCTTGGCGTACGAGAACTCAACATCCTTGCCGAGAGCCTCGTGAAGAGCGTCCCAAGGAGTGATGCGGTAGTGTGCGTTGACAGAGGCGCTACCACCACCGTGAGCCATGCCCGTCTTGGCATACCCGAGCAAGGCGATCTTCTTGCCAGCCACCTTGTCCTTGGACAGAGGCAGGATCTCCTTTTCGTTCTTCAGTAGTACGATGCCCTTGGAGCCGGCCTCGCGAATCAGGGACTGGTGTTCCGGCTTGTTGATAGCCTTCTCATCGGGGATACTGCCATCCTCGAAACAACCAAGGCGTTTCAGGAAGCCCAGCACACGCAGAACTCGCTGATCAATGGTCCCCTCGCTGACCTCACCGTTCTTGACAGCTTCAACGACAGCCTCGGGCTTCCTCCAGCGAGTCGGTCCAGGCATCTCGAGATCTAGGCCAGCGTTCAGCGACGCCGCAGTCGAGTTTGTGCCGCCCCAGTCACTCATTACGAGGCCGTCCCAGCCCCAGTCGCCCCGAAGCACCTTCTTGAGGAGAAACTCGTTGGAGTCTGCGTGGTGACCGTTGACCTGGTTATAGGCAGTCATGACGGCTATGGGGTTCGCTTCTTTCACGGCCATCTCAAAGGGCTTGAGGTAGATCTCGCGCAGGGCACGCTCACTGACCGTCTCGTCAACAGAGAGACGGTCGGTCTCCTGCTCATTGACAGCAAAGTGCTTGATGGTCGCGGCGACGCCCTTGTCCTGGCACCCGGACACGACTCGGGAGGCCATTTTGCCAGTAAGGTAGGGGTCCTCAGAGAAACTTTCAAAGTTGCGACCGCCTAGGGGGTGGCGGTGGATACACATTGTCGGGGCCAGGATGCAACGGGCCCCCTTGCTTTGAGTCTCCTCAGCAAGGGCAGCACCGATGCGCTGGGCCAAGTTCACATCAAAGGTCGACGCGACACAGCAGGCAGCGGGAAAGCAGGCAGCGGTGACATCGCCAGCAAAGGAGGCACCACGGGCGCCATTGGGACCGTCAGAGGTCTTGACTTTGGGCACGCCTTTCTCAGGGATGGGAACAGTCTCCCACATGTCGGCGCCGGCCAGGAGAGAGGCCTGATGAGGCGGGTCAGTCATGGTGTCGTGAGAGGGGCTCGTTGTGGAAGCTTACCTTCTCCTCCAGGGTCAGCCTCGCGAGGACTGCGTTGAGATCAACGGAAGACATGGCGAGATATGGTATATTACATGTAGTTGTGTATAGAGAGGTCAAAAACGAACCGTCTCACAGGAGGGGACGACGCGCCTTTAATAAAGCATTCGCATCGTCAGTCAACATGGTCGCCATAGGCTGCCCCTCCGTGGCTACCTAACTTGGTGACAGAACGTGGGCTGGGTGTCCATGAACAGAGGGTCCTATCCGAGTCCTGTGGGTTACAAAGACATTAGCGTAGAGGACATCCGGAAATCAAGCGATGAACAACCGTCTTGGAGTTGTCGCGTCGATTCCCATTCGTCGACTCCCGATGAAATAGCGCCCGCTCCTCCAGTGTTTCCCCGAGCTCCCCACACGAGTGCTCGGGGGACGATGCACCGCATCTCGGACATACTGGAAATGGAAAGCCATTATTCATGGCTGTGCGTCAGCAGTGAATCCTTTTTGCTTTGATGCATGTCCTGGACGGTCAGTAATGACGTCTGTGATCTGTGCTGTTGGAGTCGAAGAGTGTTGGAACCGAAATATATTTATGGGTAAAGCGATGGAACATTATGCATCTATCCGGTATATCTACTAGCCCCACGTACCCGAAGGCACCTAGTAGCAGTCAATATGAAATCTGCTCAAAATCCGCGCGTACCTACCAGGTACGTGCTACGTACATATAGTTGCGAGGATAGGTAGGACAATCACAGATTCATTATCCAATGCAATGGAAACGAGACTCTGTATTTGTCCAACAGCGGCTTCTGGAAATTCGAGGGATTCAATTAAGTTCATCTACATACTTTTGGCTAATAACAAGACATACTCAATACTTCTGTCGCTATGCATTTTGGCACCCGAGGCTGGACCCTGCGCTACCGGGTATGCCGCTAGTTGCCTCCGTCCAAGGGGAAACGGCGGCATGGCGTCCGCATTCAACCTTTGAGATCCATCCTGTCAGTCAGTCCCCTTGTTTCTCTTTTCAAACATTCCACTTTGGCTGTATCACCCCCTGCTCAAGCTAGACAAAGAGTAGCAAGAGGTCGGCCAACCATGACTGCAGAAAATTGACGACATTCTTTTACTTCTTGTCTCCTCCGTCCCAAAGGTCATCACGACCAGATCCGGCCAGTGCCGCAGTCCCCGAACCGATGGCCGCCATGGCCGACAATGCTTGGTCCAACATACCGACCGAACTGCTCCGCGCGGAACTCCAACGGCGGCATGGAGCTGGAGGCCAAGCGGACGAGACTGAACGACCGGAATGCGGCTCGCGAGATCGGGGACACTATGATGTCCCCGCGCATGTGGCCGCCTTGTTCCTCATTCTTGCATTGAGCACTCTTTGTATGTCCAACATACGGCGCGCTGGGGCGGAGCAGCAATTCTAACTATATTTCTTAGGCTGCGCGCTGCCTTTACTATCACGACGATCGACGAGTGGCCGGAAACGATCGAGCATCATATTCTACTGTCAGCACCTGGGCTCAGGGGTCCTTCTGGCGACGGCCTTTGTCCATCTCCTGCCCATGGCGTTCGAATCCCTGACCGACCCGTGTCTCCCCTACTTCTTCAGCGAGGGGTACACGCCTTTGCCTGGTTTCGTCGCGATGGTATCCGCCATTGTCGTGACCGGCGTCGAATCGTTTCTTACCGCCCGCGGTGCTGGGCATTCGCACACGCATAGCCACGACTTGTGGGACGGTAGCGACAACGAAAGTACGACGCACATACCGATGCAGGAGCCCGTCAGCGGACTCGCCGCAGCGCGCCGAGCCGGCCACCGACCGAACGACCTCTCGCTAGGCGACGAAGAATCGACACAAGGCTTGGTGGCGGGCGTGTCGCCCCTACCCACCTCGACTCCCATCGGCCAGCGAGATGGGACAAAGCCCGAAGAGCAGGACGTCTTCAACGACGACGAGTCGGACCTCAACTTTGAAGCGGACGAGTTGCACCGGCCATTGCCCTCTGATCGAAACGAGGAGACCGCGAACCTGACCCGACGGAACCACCAAGTGGACAAGTTGACCACGCCTCAACAGAGCCAGGAAGAGCAAAACCGACAGGTGCTGCAGTGCGTGATGCTGGAGGCGGGCATTCTCTTCCACAGCATCTTCATTGGCATGGCCATATCCGTGGCGACGGGGCCGGCGTTTGTGGTCTTTTTGATCGCCATCAGCTTCCATCAGTCCTTTGAGGGCCTGGCGCTCGGCAGTCGCATTGCGGCCATTCAATTTCCAAAGGGTTCACTCCGTCCGTGGCTCATGGTGCTTGCGTATGGCACGACGACACCCATAGGCCAAGCCATAGGCTTGGGGCTCAATGGCGTGTACGATCCGGCCAGCGCGCCTGGTCTGCTCTTGGTTGGCTTCATGAATGCCATTTCAGCTGGTCTGTTACTATACGCTGGCCTGGTCCAGCTGTTGGCGGAGGACTTTCTCTCAGAGAAGAGCTTCAAGACGCTCAAGGGGACGAAGCGCGCCAGGGCTTTTGGCGCCGTCACAGTCGGTGCACTATCAATGGCTCTTGTGGGCGCGTGGGCTTGAATGGGTACAAATGGGGTTATTTCTATTTGGAGTATCACACAAGGCACGGACGGCGTTGTCGGGTGGCATACTTATTGATGGGTTTCGCGCTGCTATTGTAGTGGGCATGGACCATAAAACAATCGCCATCGAATTCATAGAATTGCCATTTACAACAGGCCTAAAATTGACACTTCTGAGTCTTTGACCGGCTTTATGAAAACTGTTTAGCCTGAAAGCAAGTCGGATCAGGGGCCGACAGACCCTTGACAACTCCGTACTCCAGCAGCCAATGATCCGTGTCCTTTTGTCACCTCCTACTTGAACATCACATCACACTTTACCTACCTCACCTGTCATACCAACTTTGAATCATCTTGGACATAGAAGTCCATCCAGCATTTGCAAAGATGGCAGGCCCGGGACTTATACTCTTTTTCGTCCTCCAGTCCATCGCCTACTTTGGATTCGTCTCCCGGTCGCCGCTGGCCTATGAGACGACAACCCCGACACAGCAATGGGCGGACTCGCCCATGCGACTTGTACACACGCCTCAGTATGAGACAAAAAAGGTACAAATCTCACAAGATCCAGTCTGTGGGACGCCCAGCTGACTTGTCCCGGCAGACAGACCTTTTCACCACTGGTGCGACGCACATGGGCCTGCTGCACAACGCCATCATCCGTGGGTACAACAGCATCTATCTGCAAGCACCCCATGTCCAAGAGTCCGACAAGGCCGACTTTGTCAACTACGCTCTGACGTGGTACCGCTTCGTCATGTCGCATCACGATGATGAGGAGCTCAATCTCTTCAGCAGGGTGGAGGAGATTCTGAACGACAAGCAGGTGTTTGCCGAGACGCACGACGAGCATGGTAAGCGACTTGGACGGCCTTTCCAAGATGAGCGAGAGAGCGTCAGCTGACAGACTGCAGAAACATTCCTCGGGGGCCTCGCCGAGTTCAACTTGTATCTTTCCACCTTGGAGTCTTCAGATGATCTGTCGGCGACCAAGCTGCTGGCCATCATGGACTCCTTCCAGGAACCCTTTGAGCACCATTTCCACCACGAGATTACCACCATTGCCGCCCTCGCAGGCCATCCCAATGCACCGACCCCTGACTCACCTGATGCAGCAGTCGCCTCCGCTCTGTTCAAGGCGTGGGGCAAGAAGACGGTGTCCAAAGCCGGCATGTCCGACGTCCTGCCCTTCTTCCTGATGAACCTGGACGCCACCTTTGAGGACGGCATGTGGGCCAACTGGCCGCCCATGCCTGCGCCGATCCGATGGGCCGTGACCAATGTCGTGGGCGCGCTGCATGGTCCTTGGTGGAGGTTTGCGAGCTGCGACTCGGCCGGGCAGCCTAGGGAGCTGCATGCTCTGCAGACGAAGAGCGAGAAGACTGAGCTTTGATGGCTGAGGCGAGCGGCATTTTGTCGACATGGGACGTGGTCTATCTCGGGTCTAAATTTTGTGGTCTAATTTGAAGAGACTGGTTACCATGGTTGCTTGTTGGTATTCAGTGCGTGCAGTGCTTGTCCATTTTGGCTCCCGTCGTCCTTTTGTATTGCGTGTGAAGTAGAAGCACTGGAGAGATGAATGATATCCAGCACACTCATGATGAGAAACTCGAACAACGTCGCTGCGTTGGCCCAGCTACGCCATGGAAGGTATCCGGTTCCGCCTATGGGCCATGTCTCATCGGCAATTCAGGCTCAGGTTTCCGGATGTGTGAGTCGCCGCAAAAGGCAAAGCTTGACGACCCTTTGCGGCGTAGCCGGGGCCCGGGAGTCGGTCTTGTCTCGTGAACCTTAATTCGGGATCTACGTTCAGTGCTAGCTAACCTGTTTGTTTATCCGCCACTCACCATCCGATCCAGCTTACCGTATTGCTGGGCACATTTCCAGTCCCGTACCCCTTACAACGTCTAATCAAAGGTTCAAAAATGGGTTGCTGTCTGTCGAAAGATACTCGTCAAGAGATGATGCCTCGTGAGACAGGCCCGGCTTTGCATCACCGGGCAGATCATCACCAGCCGTATGAGCCCCATTTGACAACTTCACAAGAAGTTTCCACTCAACACCAATGGATAGCTCACACGACAGTTAGACCATTGGAGTTCTACGATCCTACTGCGACGAGCTCAAATCCACAGCCCTATGAGATCGGCGTTGCCGTACCAATGCATCGTCCGTCGGATGCTACATCCGACATCTCCATATCACCTAACACGAGCCCACGTGCACGGAGAGTGGCGTCGGCATCCATACTTCCACATGTATGTAATGTCCCACAAATCTCTTCAGGCCAGGTGACCCATAGCACCTTGAGCTGACACATCACTAGGCCAGAGAGGAGTTCCCGGATACGATGGGGCCTGCTGGGCAGATGCCAGAGGCGCAGAGGAGAGGGAGTGCCAGATCCAGCTCGAGTGGAGATTTAAGACACGCAGCGGATGACCATGCGATAGTGGCGAGCGCGGCTTGAATTTGTCTTTGAGAAATCTCTCGTGCGAGCGTGGCGTCAAGGGAGGGATATGAACATGAGCGCAGTGCTTGATTTTCATGTGTCTGTCCTAATCATGGATGCAGGGTGCGTTGTTCCAATCATGGCCTATAACGATAGTCCTTACAAATAACTTCCATAGCCTCTAATGAAAGTAATCAGTCTTGTCAATTCTGGTGCATAGGCTTCTGACTATAATAGCGAGAGCTTAATTTGGGCTGCAGGTTGTTGCTCAGGATCAGGAGATACTCTCCTTTGAAGTATACTCGACAACACGCAAATGAATTAATCTTAAAGTAATCCGCAATCATCGGCCAAAATATTTCCTTAACTGCTAGCCAAATCCTCGCTCCCCCCATCAGCCCCTACCTCAGTGAACCATGCCGCCTGAAAGCGCAAAGGCGGCCTGTCGAGAACGTGGGTTGCACGCACGTTTGGGTAGAAGCCCGCCGTTGGCATAGTTGCCACGCCCCGGGGAACACCATGTAAACCAACAAGTCCAGTCATGGATGGATGGTAATGTGCTCTCAGGGGGCGTGGTCTACCCCAACACCAGGATGCTACTCAAACGTGCGTGCATCCCATCCCGTCAACGTGTCTCCTCAGCGTGCCAAGGTCGCATTAGCCATGGTACTTTTTCCTGTGCTTCAGCATATTGTCATCCCTTGTGAATGACTTGCTACACTTGCCACATTCTGTTTCTCTATCTTTCAATCCCAGCTCCTCCGCGTATTTTGGGTGAGAGACCCGATAGTGACGCTCCAGGTCTTTCTTGTCTGTGACCTTGTAGCCACAGCTTGACCTAGCTTGGCAAACGTAGCGCTTGTCATGGCTACGCTTGTGCTTCCTAAAGTATCGAGTGTGAGTTGCATCGCCTTACTTCATATTTCTAGTAGGTATACGTACTGTAGGGCCCGTTCATTTTTGCATAGTTTGGGGCACTGTTCACAAGCATAACCTACAGTGGTGCCGTCAGTACCAGATAGAATCTCGAGAACAAAAAAGAAAGAAAAAAACTCACGGTAATCCCCTGGCGGCATAAAATCACCGCAATCACCCCCATCACGTTCCTGTATATTACGCCCTCCCTCTTCGTCTCCATTCTCAGCGCCATAACATTGCTCATAGTTCCAGCCTTGGGAAGGCTCTGGGACGGCATTGTTGAAGTTGTCGTGCTAATGCTCGGAACTTGGGCTTTGAACGGCAGAGACCCCGTTGGTAAAAGAAGGTCCTGAAATCTGGGAAGGGTCGACATAATCTTCTGGGTTATCGGGGCCATAGTGGTCTGCACGCATGCCGTGGGCGCGCATGATGGATTGGTCGTCGTTCTTCTTCTACAAGTTAGCAGCAGCATATTGGAGTTGAACTCGCGCGACCTACTATGTTTTCAGTATACTGAAGGCAATCTCAACATGTATGTGAGTATTTCGGGGTTTTCACCCTTCTCAAACAATATCAGTCCCAGTCCAATCTTTGTAGCTGATCTTGCGATGAAAGTGCAGGACCGGCCTCCTGGTGCGATTGTCATCCAACGAATCACGACGTGCATGCGATCAACGCATCTGCGTGTCTTGCTGCGGTTGCATATCGCGCGTGCTCGCAAATAGCTGGAAGGCGCTTAAGATTGCATTGTCACTATGCCTTGGGAACCGCCTAGAGAACTTGGAAGAAGACAATGGACTGTTTGCGAAATGCGCCCAAGCCAATCATGGGATGTCAATGTCATGTGAATCGTGTTGGCTTGCTGCGGACTCGGGTCGCCTGTAGTTCGCATGCGTGTTGATGCTCGACTTCGAGTGATCATTTTATGTTGTTGGTAGCACAGTACACACCTATACGCACAGAAGCAGAGGGTTCGGCATGGATGTGATTCGCTTGGGCTTGCTTGCAGCGCAAAGCGGTTGCAGGTACCTCATGAGCTTTCATTGCATAAGTCTCGGCTGCGTACTTCTTACTGCTAAGCCATGACATTGCAAGGAAAGGCAAAGATGAGACTGACCCTGAGGGCAATATCGCGGTGTTGGTCTCCAATTTATGTAGGCGATGACCGCAGTCGATGACTGGCACCCTGGCTATAAAAAGGGGCGCTTGTCGTCGACATGAACTCCCGCTTGTGAGTCTTTATCCATCCTTGGACGAGAAATAGTACCTTACAATTCAGCAGAAACCAATTTTTCAGGTACATCCCGCCCCTAAGCGTCCACCATGCCCGGAGCAAATGCCAGTGTGGAACAGTGTGGGTTCATCAACTTGCCCATAATTCCAGTGGCATAGTCTTGCTGACTCCAGCAGCTGTCAAAAGCTTCCAACGGCTGAGGGAGCCCATCGTATTCTGTAAAGCGATTTCAAGCTTCTGCGACAAGACCTCCGTGCGCAGAGACTTGCGTGCCCCGGCCCGTCCCAGTGAGCGAGAGATCTTTCAGAAGTTTGTCTACAAGATTGCGCTAGTGTGCGACAGCAACTTGTCGCCAGGTACTATCACGGCCGTTTCCGTTATGGAGGACGATGATGCTTATTGGTTCCTCTTCGCCTGTAACCAGGTCACCCATGAGGGAGGCAGCATGGTTGCTGAGCATATCATTTCACTCTTGCGAGACGGAGCCATTCGGGATGTCTCACCGGTAGCAATGAGACAAAAGATCCTGGAGCGGATTCTCCTCTTCAACAGGTCGAAGGTCCAGAGCTATATCAAGTGGATGATTTCCTGGGCCAGCGAGTTGTGGGATGATGCAGACCAGGGTTTGGTTAAAGGTTCGTTTGGGCGGCATGATGTTGATGGCGAGCCATGTGGATGGCTGACCCGATCTTCCAGATACGCAACTGCGCGAGAGAATCTGCAAGGTGGTCAGCTGCGTTTACATTACTGATTTCGACCAGTCTACTGACGAGAAGTGTGAGACTCCCACCGCCTTGCATTAGTAGACCAATCGCTGACCCGGAGTAGATCTTGAATCATGCTTCGCATCTCTCAAAGCCATGCGACTACTCCTCAAAGGGTTTGAGTCTTTCCCTAGTGGACCTTTCGGTAAGAAGTCAAGTTGGGGAGAGTTGAAACACTGTTTTTCTCGCCTACACGCATACCAAGACGCAGCAAGGTGTATTGCAGACGCAGCCACTCGTTGGCCAGACCTCTTCAAGTACTTCAAGGTCCATCATGTGCCCTCCAGCTCCCCCAAGTCGCTGCCCACGGGAAAACGCAGGTATACTTCCCACGAAATCGTTGGACGACTGTCAAATGAGCCGAGCGAGATAGGAGTCCTCCGAGAAAAAGCCGCCGCGTTTCTTCATTGCGGCTTGGACGAGGCTATTGAGCAAGAAGCCAAAAAAGCCAAGAGCCTGAATGTCCACTGCGAAATTCTCCTTGAAGACTGGATCCTGCACTCGCCGGAGGCTAAACGGCTCAGGTTCTTCCGAGGGGACCAAGGCTGGAAGTACATCGGCGCCAGCAAGCCTACGTGTTGCCTTTGCAAGTACTACTTCGCGGCGAAACAAAACGATATTGCCCTGCGACCGAGCCATGGGAATCTCTACACGAACTGGCGTTTTCCAGATAGCCACGGGTCAAAGAATACACCGCAAGGAAGGGAATGGCAGAGCACACTCAACAGCGTCATGCAGATGATTCGGGGCGACGCCATTCGGATGCTCATTGAAAGAACTGCCCACTGGAAGAAACACGACTCAAATACGTATGCCACGCCTTCTGTAAGGTCGATTCCTTCGGATGCGGCTCTCACTGTTCTAGGTTATGGTCGAAAGCAAAGAGTGATTGTGTCGCTGCCAGCTCGTGCGAAGGTGACGGTAGTCAAGGAAGAAGACATGGAGGATGGTGGCGTGAAGCTGAAGTGAATCATGATTTATAAAGGAGAAGGAGGAGGCATAGGGTAAGGTAAGTCAAACGTGTCAGGAGGGGATGTCGCACAGTGTACTGTGCGGCCAAGGTCGATCAACTAGCGGCAAGAACAATCGCCCCAACAGGTTTGATTCATCTGAATCTAAGGAAGTAACCACCAGCCTTGAGTGTGAAAGTCCAAAAATTTCCTCATATCGAACACCGCCATCAATACAGTCGCTTGCTTACTAGTGTCTCTTTTGAGGTGTTCGGGAGCATCGTCCGCTCGCTCGCTCACACGCACCTTCATCATGGGGTCCGTACCTCCTGTTGAAGAGCATGACATCCTTGTGCTCGGCGCGGGATTGAGTGGCATCAACACGGCCCACGTCCTTCGTGACCGGATGCCCCATCGCCAGATCACCATTCTCGAAAAGAGGGACCAAATAGGGGGCACATGGAACTTTTTCAAGTACCCGGGCTTTCGCACCGACTCCTACCTCAACGCCTTTGGACTGGGGTGGTACCCATGGACCAAGCCGTACAAGATGGCATCAGGTCCCGAGATTCTCGAATATCTCAAGGAGGCCGTCGATAAGGATGGTCTTGAACCCTTGATCCGATTCAAACACAAGATAACCGGTCTCGAGTTCAAGACGGAGGAGCAGAAGTGGACGCTCTACGTGGATGCTGACGGCAAGCCCAAGACCATGAGGGCCAACTTTGTTGTTGGCTGCATGGGCTACTATGCAGACAACAAGGCCCTCGAAGCTGACATCCCCGGGCTGGACAGGTTTGACGGTCGCGTGGTCCACAGTCAGTGGTGGCCTGAGGATCTTGACTACAAGAACAAGCGCATGGTCCTGATCGGCTCTGGTGCCACGGCTATTACCGTGATACCTGAGCTCGTCAAGGATGCTGCGCACGTGGTTCAACTTCAGCGAAGCCCATCATACGTTTTGTCGCGCTCGACGCAGCCCATACACGACTGGTGGCTGCACCTTCTCCTGCCATTCACGTGGGCTTGCTTGGTGAGTCGATGGGTTGAGAGCGTGGTCGAGCTTCTATCGACGGAGTTTCTTCTCATGTGCCCTGGAATCGGTCGCAAGGTACTCATGGACGACATGAAGAAGCAGTTGCCGGCTGACGTGGACCCACACGTGCACTTCAACCCTTCTTACGGGCCTTTCCAGCAGAGATTAGGTCTTTGCCCGCAAGGCGACTATTTCAAGGCGCTGCACAAGGAAAATTGCGAGATTGTCACCGATCACATCGACACGGTCATGGAAGATGGGATCCTCCTCAAATCGGGTCGCAACCTTGAGGCCGACATCATCGTCCAAGCCACTGGTCTCTACTTTCAGCTCTTCGATGGAATCAAACCTCGCGTCGATGGCGTCGAGATTGACCCCGGACAGCACTACTCGTGGCGCGGCATGGCCCTGGACTGTATGCCCAACGCAGCCTTCATCTTCGGATACGTCACCTCCTCATGGACGCCCGGCGCCAACGCTATGGCTCACATGGTGGTGAGGCTGCTGCAGACAATGGAGAAGAAGGGTGCCGCGACGGTTGTGCCATTCATAAAGCGTACAAAGGAGGTCGAGGCACAGACGCAATTGGCCGTCTCTGCGAATCCGGGCTACATTCTCAAGGCGGCAGACAGGATGCCGAAGACGACAGGACATGGTCCTTGGTACGGTAGAAAGAACCTTTTCGTAGACACGATGGCGCTGTGGTTTGGCAGCATGGAAGACGGTCTTGTCTACGGTGGCTTCAAGGATAAGAGCGTATGAAGCAGCATTGAATTTGGAATCGCATGCACTTCAGCCCGCTCCGAGGAGGATGCCATCTTGGAGTCGAAGCAACAGAAACGACAACAGAAACGAATTTACATGCCGCGACCGGGCTCAGACTTGGGGAGATGAAGCGCAACCATATGGCACAGTCCCCGTGGCCCGGGAAAAACAGAGTCTAAGAGGGACACCTTGGCATGCACCCGACGAATTGGCGCAGAGAGTGCTACATGTAAAACAGTGGGATGGTTTGATCCGTTGGCTAAGGGCCATGGGGATCAGCGGATGTTTCAATGCATGAAGAGGTGTTGCGTGGTCTGCTTCGCCCAAGACCAAACAGATACAAGAATATCCATATATCTAAGTACGTGTTTCCTTCCACGCAGTTTAATTGACGTAAGTCCACGCAGCCATAAGTCAATGCTTGTACCATAGACGGACGCAGAGAAACAATCAGGATAACTTGGGGCTCAACACGTGGGCACCCAGGTGCCCAAATAAGACTTCTTATATAAGTGGGGACCCATAGGTCTATATATCAGCCAATCAAATACCTCACGCCGCCGTAGCCTCATAGCCATGGGGCTATTACACGCAAACGCAGCCAGCCTCATCACCTCACACAGAGGCACATATATAGGCAGCCTCATCGCCGCACGCAAAGGCAGTCTTGTAGGCGCACAAGAAGCCGTGTGAGTAGCACACACGGAGCTCATTGGCACGCGAAGCTGTTTTATTGGTCTGCTTATATGAGAAATCTGATCTAGGCACCGGGGTGCCCGACCTATTGGGCCCCGGATAACTTGGCTTGCTTATGTATAGGCTTGCCCCTGAAGACACCTAGAAACCCTGCTTGTATGACATAACCACAACTGACAGCTCTCTGATCATGCGAGCTGTACAGTGGCATTGTTGACCACTCCATCAGGCTTGACTTGGTCTGACACCCACATCGTCAACCCATGGCGTTCAGGCTCCCGCAATCCGAAGTTGCGGGTGATGGAGAGATGTGATGGAGAGACTTTTGATTCATCCGCCCGGTTCACGACGGACGTTTCGCGCCTATCGATATTCATGTCCGCCCTCATGAACACGCACGCTATCCACAAGGTTTTAAAAAAGGAGGACAAACCGCATCGGCGTTTGCAATACAACCAAGGCGAACGAGGTGGGTATCTAAGGCAGTCCTCGTCTGGCTGTTCAAAATGTTTCGTCGAGAACCACAGCGCGGTCTCTCACACTTCCACATCTCCGCCATTCCTGTGCGGCGTTGTTCCCATACTTTCCAGACCTCGCTCGCTCAGCATTTCAGCGCCCACACCAGGCTGCGGCGCCGTCTTCTCTTGTACATTTCCATTTCCCATGGCGTTCTGGTACTGCTTGCCGGTTTCGTCGAGCAATGCCTGGACCTCTGCTTCTCTCTTTGTGATTTGCGCACTCTCGTCGCGCAGCTTCTGCACATGTGCCTCCTTGCTCATGAGATCGGCCTCCATGGCCCTGAGCGACAGTTGGAGCTTGCCTATGCATTCCGTCAAGCTAGGTATCGGCGTAATCTTGGAGGGCACTTTGAGCAGTTCTTCCGCGGGATCCTTTCGTGCCTTCTTGAGTCCGTCCATGCCCGCACGCGTCTGCGCTGCTTCGTATGCTATCCGTCGTTCCGCATCGCTGTCCTCGGACGAATCCGAGGAATGACCCTCGGCTGCCGAAATCAACTCGGCTATCTGTTGACGATCCTGCTTCTTGCGCTCCTTCTCGGCTCGTTTACCCAACGAGAGGCCACCATCCTCCACATAGTCGTCGAAACCCTCGCCCAGTTCCTCATCTTCAGCCTTGAGCCTGGTCTCGGGTTTCTTTCTCAATCCATACCGATCATCGTCCTCGTCCTCGTCTACTGCTAGGAAGTCCTGCTCCAGGGCAAGCCGTGCCCTCCGTTCCTTTTTCTCTTTCACCTCGGCTTCGGTGAGGATCTGCGTTTCGGCGTTGGTCTTCGGGGAGCTAGACGATTCCACAATCATAGCACCCTCAAGCTCCGATGGATCGAGGTCCATCTCGTTATCTGTCGTGTTGACGGAGACATCGCGCGGCGTGTTGGGCGTGGAGGACTGCAGCTCGCTCAGGTATTCTTTGCTGTACCTCGGTCGATCATCGTCGTCTTGCTGGGAGCGAAACGGCAAGCCGCCTGAAACGATTCCTTTCCTCGCTGCACTGTTTTCTGCAGCTTTCTTCCCGATTGGGTTCTTCTTCAGTGGCTTGACAACCGCGGGCTCCTCGTCTGCCCTTTCATCCCCTGCATCGTCTGCAAACGAGAGTTTCGACTTTGTCGCTGGCCTCTTGCGCATCGATGAGCCGTTGCGGGTGACGTAGGGGCGCACAACTGCTGGTCCGTCTTCTTGGTCGTCTTCTTTTGTAGCATCGTTGGATATGTCATCTGCAGCTGAGATCGTCTTTCTTAACCCGGACTGGCGGAAGGGTTTCCTCCCCTTGGATAAAAATGTGGGCTTTTGTGCATCTGTTCGCGACGCAGTCAGCCTTAGCCGTTCAATCAGCAAAAAAGTCGCAAGGCCTGGGGCGTGGTACTTACCGTCTTTCAACGCGTTGCCTTCCTCGGAAGACGACACTGTGGACGTGGTGTCATCATCTTCCGATGTCTTTATGACTCGAGGCTTTCTTTTGGCACTGAAAGAACTCATGTTGTGTGATTGTTTGAATGAAGCTTCAACCTGAACTTGTTCGTGACGACAAGGCACTTGAAGTCGCGAACGGGATGCGCTATCTTATCGGCACGTGACTCCATTTTTTCGAGCTTCGGACATGCATCAGGTCACCGCGTCGCAACCGTGCCTGTCGACGTCGTACCCCCAGCAATCCGACAGAATCAGCCCAAGATGCCTCCCGCACAGCCTGAGCTCAAGAAGGTAAGTTCTACACCCTGACCCGAACCTCGTTCAAGTCGTATCACTTTGCGCGATGTTCCGCGGACTTGCACGCAGATATCACCATCGTCCGGTACAGGCACATGCTAACATTTGCGACAGTACCTCGACAAGCGCCTCTTTGTGCAACTGAACGGCAGCCGCAAAGTCATCGGCATTCTTCGCGGCTACGATGTACGGATTGGGTCCCTGTTCGATTGATACTTCGCCTTGTCTGACAGATTCCTTAGGTCTTCTTGAATGTGGTTCTCGATGAGGCGGTAGAGGAGAAGGACGGCGGCGAAAAGGTTCGCCTTGGTATGGTGGTATGTGATCCTGCACATCAATTCTTATGAACAAGATTCTGACGTTTCTAGGTCATTCGCGGTAACTCGGTCGTCATGCTTGAAGCATTAGAGAGGATCGGCGGCGACGACAGACAGCACCAACATCACCGATAGGGCGGCGCTTACGAGGGGACCTTGACAGCATAAAATCGTATTTGGCGTTAATGCGGATAAAGGGGCCATTTGATCTTTGGAACGGCTTCATGACACAAGCTGGGCTACACCACGAGAATGATATACCCATCTCAGCAGAGCGAACCCGAGCGAATTAGCTGGGCGGTTGCTTCCAGGCCTTTTCGTCGTAAAAGTCCATGAGGTCTCCATCGTACGTTTTGGCCCATCCTTTGATTCCGCCTGTGAGTATGAGGGCTTGGATGTCCTGTTCGCCGACCTCATTGAGGTAGTCCTGCATCCAGCTGGCTGACCTTGGGCCACGGCCACTTGAGCTGCCTTGCTTCTGTGTGAGGGATAGTCGGCACACGGAGGGAACGGGGAGATCCTACCGCAGTAGAATATGATCTTCTTGATCCCTGCTTGTTTGCACAGCTGATATGTTATTGGCCGTGTTTGGTAGAAGGACTGTGCAGGCAAGTTGATGGACGTGGCGATCGTTCCACCTTCGTAATCGGTGCGGCGTACATCAACCAGAAGGAAATCCCTGGCTGCTCCTTTTCCAGGATCTTTGTCTGCCAATATCATGTCTTTCACCGTGGACGCTTCGATGCGTTTGCATGCTGCTTTGGGCTCGGGGAAGCTTGCCCACCACGGCTCCTCCTTTTGAGTCGCTTCGGCCATCGTTCACTTGATAATGACAAGATTCGCAAACTCTGAATATGCCAAAGGGTTTGGGTTTGGGTCAGATGCGTCGAGTTGCGCCGTTGTATAAGGCAAGGTAGAGGTGGTGCAGCAACAAGGAAGCCCCGCGCCTCCTGACTTTGGACTAAGGCACGGGATAACCGTACGGTACCTCATGAGGTGTTTACCTGTACCATTCTGATTTCACCTCAGACCCCAATTTCCGTCCGCCTATTTTGAACAAAGGACAGAGCGAAACTTGTGAAAGCTGCCAAAGTCTTGGCAGAAGTGCACCATTCACGCAAAGCTACGTGCCCTTCCCTGTCTCCTGCAATGCTGGTCGGCTGCCCTACACTGTGCCCGACACGATGAGGTGACTGGCCAACATGTGCTGAGAGCCAGATCACAGTCAATAAGTACAGGAGACGCAGCATATTATCTTCAGGTGGAGTGTATGGAATACAAGAATATGTCCGCCGACGCTCACGCTCAGCTAGGCAATCTGACCGAGGCGGAAGAGATATGTATTAGCAAGTGTCGGTCAGCCATGGAGTGATGATAGGAAGAAACTCTGACGAGGCTCCAAGACCATGATCAATTCGAAGTCGTGCGTCGCCCTTTGCCCAATGGAGAGAACCATTGTAAGGAGCCTGGGCGTTCACGCGCCTCTTTGACGAAAAAGCACGGACAGATGAGGCTCTGAGGCACCGAGCAGGAAGTGACGCCAAGTAGAATCCTCAATGGTCTCGGATCTGTGGGCTCACTGACGACTGGAGTCTCTGACCGCGGGGTGGTTTGGAGCCACGCCGTCTTCAGGCGACATCGGGGTAACGCGAGTCGGCAAAGACAGATGCGTAGGGAGCGATGGTACATAGGCAGCTTGAGTGTGTGCTGCTGCCTCAGTAGGTAATCCTGATATCGTGGGGGTGGCTTGCGATCCATCGATACCGAATCGTTGCGGACGGTGTGGATACCGAGGGGCTATGACGGAATTTCGCTGAAGCCCTTGCGTCGAGCCTGAGACTTCAAAGTCAGCTGCCGGCTGGTTCAATGATAGGAATGGAGAGGTAGAGGCGCACTTAGAAATGCGTCTATGAGACCCATAAGCAGTGAAAGCATCATTATCATCGGAAATATCTGCCCAAACCCCCATTCGGACTCGCTGTTTCCACTATTGGTTGGCTGTGTAAGCGCCGGCATATTCACAATGAGGCCATCGTTGCTTTTCTTGGCGATGTAGATGCCGTACATATCCCAGGAGAGAAAAATGATCTTGTATGGTAGGTCCATCATCGGGCTAGGAACGAACAAGAGCGCCATGCCCAGGGTTGGGACATAGACTGCGGAATGAAACAGCCAGGCAAGGAAGATAACAGAACAGACGATAGCTCTGGATTCGCGACGTTGGAAGAGACGCATGCTAACTTGTGGAAGCGACAAGCCTAGACGAATAAGCCACACATCGATGGTGAGGAGACACCGCTCTAGGTATTCGTGAGTGCGGAATGGAGATAGAAGAACCCAAACAAAGGTCTCGGCCACCCAGTAGACGTTGAGCCGGATCCAAAAGGTGAACGTCGAGCTGCCCTCAAAGTCTAAGTAAGTGCTGAAGCACTGGGGCGTGTGGCTCTCGTCTTGGTCCCATGTGGCCTCCCATTTTTGGAAACGATTGTGAATCAGGTAGGTCCAGACGAGCCAAAGAACCCAGGTAACACCGCCCAATGCCGCTCGTAGTTTTAATCTAGGATTCTCGGTTTTTCTCATTTTGTCATAGACTAGGGTTCCGGCGCTGAACCCCATAAGTGCCATGTCAGCTAGGATCCATGAGATCCAAATGTGGTAGTTAGGATAGGCGTCTCCCGCCGACGTCATATTGACCATGGACGATATGACAACGGCCAGGGCAGAGATGAGATTCGTGTCGGTTGTAGAAACCAGAAAGTTGTCCAGAGATGTGAGGCCTCCTGCTGTAGCCGGTGTTTCTTGAGGCATCTGCGGCTGGCGGGTTGCTTGTTGATATGCCTTACGAGTATGTGCCACCCAGAGATATAGCGTTGCGGCCACACTCGTCGCCGCGTTGACCGCAAATGTCGCTATTGTCTGTATTGACGCCGAGTTAGCGGGTGTCGGTCATCGCCCCCTCGCCAGATCATGGATGATAGGCTTACTCCCCAGCCAGCGATGTCAGAGTCGGCTTGTAATTGTCCATGGCACCATCCATCATTCGAGAAAACTACGTCTCCGGATGCCATATCGGTGGTGTTGTAGTCGGCGGTGCTTTTGATGCGCGCAACGAAGAAGAGGGTCGGCTCATTTGCTCTTAGCTGAGCTCGGAGTCGAGTCTACTGTCTATGGCGCTTGTCGTTGTTTGGCGTGCTTAGTCATGTCTCTTGAATCATGTAGCCATGCGGAAGCCATGCTTGGCTTGGAAGCTAAGGCTGGTCGCTGGCCGGGGATGGAAACATCTGGGTCATTGTTGAGCAAGCCTGCGAAGCGGCTTGTAAGCGTTTACATGAGTAAGCTGCGCAGGCTTGGAATTCTGGTAATATGCAAATATCATAGAGGCATTATCATGTCCCCCAGCGTCCTGAGTGTTCTTTACTTGAACAGTTGTTTAGCTGCTATCAGAGAGGCAATCTGGTAGCCGGTCTTGATACTAGTGCCAGCCTGTGCCCAAGGTTCCAAAAGCTCCAACGTGATCACATGAATGCTCTCAATATCTGCAATCATGCCTTTTAGAGGGGGCGATTGCGCTGCAATGGCCATGATGGAACTGGACAAGCAGCTGCAGGGGTAAGCCATAGTTCCATGAGACAACGATATCAAGGAAAACTCACCACTGAGTTGCGCTGTAGGTATAGGGCGATCTTTCCCTGATGAGATGCTGCGCCATGATGATAAACATGCGACAGCCATGAAGACAAATTTCGCACATGTCCAGTACAGTCTTGGGGATCTCTTCTCCCTCCCACATCTTCGAGGTGACGTAGATCACGAATGCGCGGAAGATGTTGCGCTTTGCTGACCAGTACCTCAGTCTCTCTCAACAGACACGTCTGTTTGCTCCCAACTGGATTGCCGTTGAGATCCGGCTTGATGACGTCGGGTATGCTATCGTACCATGCCTCCAGCTGTCTACTCAACTCTTTACACACGCGCAGATGGGATGCATCGGGATTCAGTACGGGTATCCGGGATGAGCTCACATTGTTCAACGAATGACCCGAGTAGATGATCAGGCTTTCAGTGAAGAACAGAGCGTGATGTATTCGGTTCAACAAAGCCCTTGCCGATATGTCCGCAAGAGCGTAGAGGTTCTCGGGCGAAGGTAACTCGCCATAGTTGGGGAATGGCATTCGGTCGACGAGGAGCTCTATGCCATTCCGCGGCTGGTGGAACTCGGCAAGTATGTCACTGTCTCTCTGTCAGCACCGGAAGCAAAAATGCCTACAGATTGCTTGCATCTCGTACGTACCTCTCTATAATGAAGCAGACCCAGCTCAGGCGGGTGAGCGTTTGAATTTCTGGCTAGCTAGACAACAAGTTCTTACACCTGCTTCCCAAGTCAGTGCATGGACAGTCAGGGTACAGCGAGGGATGCGTAGAGACCTGGAGAACAGCTGTTGAATGCTGGTGGAAGCCATGTGGATTAATCGCCAGGCCATCAACGGCTCAACAGCATAGGTGAAGTACAGGGAGCATAGTGATAAGGCCTGAGAGACAATCACGTCACCGCTGAAATTAAACGTCCACGACGCGAAAAGAATCTTCAGCGCCTGCTGTATGAACGCCTCGCCTGTCCTCAGCTCGGGTTTTAGATCCACAGCATCGGACACTGTTGCACCCAGGGCTAGTATCGTCAAGACAAGCGCCGAGGAGTTGTCGATGCCAATGCCTTTGTGCATGGTGTCCTCGTAAATCTCTCTGACTTCATCCCGATCCAGAAAAGGATGGAAGGGGTGCACTCGTTTGAGATAGCTCTCTAGAAACTGGGTGCCGTCTACCCAGCGTACTTTCACAGTGTCTGCCAAGTTGTCGAGGTCCGACACCATCATGGTGCGGACAGCCCATGCCCGAGGCCGGTTCATTTCGACCTTGAAGAAGAATTCCTCCGGGTACTCTCCCAGCAGTGCTCGACATTGAGGCATCATGAGCAGGTTGCTGGTGCTCGTTTGGTGCCCTAGAGGAATCGTGATGGGCGGTCCGTCGTTGTCTTCTTGCATTGGCGCGCTTAGCTTCACTCCGTGCGGTGGACGAACCCATGTCGATGAGAGAGGGGAGTCGCTTTGCTGCTGAGATAAATTCAGATCCCGCCCGTTTTGCCGATCCACCGAGCAAGATGGCGCGCTTTTATTCCGCCCGTACTCTGTTGGAGAGATCTCGTTCAGCGCGGGAGGTGCAGGCGTCTAGAACTAGGGATATCTTTGAGCCTGAAAAGAGGCGAGCAGATCATTGTGATCTTTCAGAAGCTGCTGAGCGATGGATGTAAGTCTTTCCGAAATGTCCAGCTCGGTGCTAGCGCGTCGTGAAGCCTGTGGTGTTGGTGTCAGACTCCGCACTCGCTGTGCGGACTCGAATTTATGTTGAGCTGAATGAAGTTGGTCGTTCCACTTGGTCGGATGGATCTTTCCGCAGTACGGGTTGCTTGTAAACACACTCGAGCCGCTTCGTTCGACATGTCCGACACTGCGGCCTTCCTCCATCACACCGCCGTTTTCTGAGATCAGTTGGTCAGCGAGAATTCCCACGCAAAGGCGCCATGCATGTCGCTACCTCACAGGCCGTATGTCAGGACTCAGGTCACTCACTCACCGGCTCCTACAGTGGAGGCGGGCCACGGCTGCTTTTGTGTCCCTGAGGCTCATCAATGGACTTCTGGGGCCGAACTTTGTTTCAGCTGGCTAGATCCGCTAGGTGTTGGTGAGATGAGCAGCTGAAGCGGACAAACCCGTTGAGTCCGTGACTGCGATGACGGAGGCTGACTTTTGGTGCGGTCCGCCCGCCTGTCCCGCATCAAGGGGGGTGGCGAGAATCGTGCGGAGAGCTGCGCGAGAGAAGAATTGCAGCATCTTTTCTCCATGTATTTTACACGGGTAGTCAATACTTGTTTGTCGATAATACACGGTGGATTTCTCTAGTATTGATTTTTCAGTCTACCTATGCCGACGAGCATCAGTCGCCAGTGGGTGTATGTCGAACAAGGATGACCACGAACACCTACCTCTACTTCTTGCCTACCCTATATCAACAATAAACACTCAGGGGTACCTCCGTCTCGGAGTTGAGTGACCAGAGCTTGAAACTAACCCCTGATTCTTCAGAGTTGGTATAGCGGCCCCTCATCCTGCCTCCCATGCTCCACGGACCCCATCGAGTTCATCACCATCGGGCCCCAGTCCAGGCCATTCCCGTCGAAAAGGTCTACACCTCCTTCTCCAATGGCACACATATCCATCAGCCATCCACTAGGATCCCCCAATGCGTCAGGACCAAAATCAAAGTCCGGCACATGCATGTCCCCTGCGAACGCATTGTTCATGATCAGGTTCCCTCCCACATCGCCCATAACCGCATCGTGTGGGCCCCCATATTCCAAACTCAGTGCCTCTGTCCCCGCTACCACCAGGTCGGCCCATTGCTCGAGCTTCGTGCGCAAGATGAGCATCTTGGCCGCTGACATGCCCCAGATGTTGGGCTCATCTGCTCCGGCTCGTTCGACGGAGCGCGATTGCAAGGTTTTACTGACTTGCTTGAAGCGAGTCTGTAGTGTACAGATAATTCTAGGCACGTCTATGTGAAGCCCGGACTGGCGCTTCAGACGCGATTGCAGATTGACCACGGCAACCGGTAATAAGGGATCCGAGTGTTCTTGTCTAAGTGGATGGCTGTGTTCGCAGGGCTCCTTCTCCGCAGACGAGTCGGAAGACGCCGGCGTCAGGGTCGAAGTTGTGCCACGGCTGGGATCTTTAGGGGTAGGAGAGCTATGACAATCCTCGTGGAGATCCTCATGCGAGAGATCAGTGTCAATGTTGTGTGTTTTCGTGGGCGCTATCAGCTTTGCCCACCGTCCGAGCATGGAGCAGGCATGCACGATGAGTGAGCATGTAGCTGTCGTCTGGCAGTAATATGCTGATGTTGGTATAGCGAGCCAATTGTCGAACCAGTCGATGAGTGCATTTCGGGATCGGTACAGCTCTTCAAGAGGCGAGCAGCCTCCGTCTGGAGGTGTCGTGAGGCACTCTGTCATCTGGTGGACGAGATTGCTGTCAACGATAGGGGGCGCGTAGAGACGCAGCACCGCCGAGTTGATGTGGGCTCGTAATATTACTAGAGCAGATTCAGTACACCCACAGAAATTGTCGGGAGAAGTCAGCTAACTGTTGATCTTGAGGTCCGGGGGCAGATTCTGCCGCAGTTCGTCGAGCTCTGCCTGAAAGGCAGCCACATAGCTAGTTCGGCTGACTTGCGCTGTCGAGAATAATGGCATCTCGTCTGTGCTGTGATCTTGGACATTGAATCTCGAGATGCGATTGCTCAAGTACTGAACGCGAACCAGGTTCACGAGCATCAGATCCGTCTCATATTCCAACCCAGTGGCAAGTTCCTGGACACACTGATCAAGGTACCGACTGTAGCACATGGACTCGGTCTTGCCGAAACCCAGGGCGAGTGCAGAAGAGAGAAACCAGACGCCGGCCAACGCTCGCCTTTCTTCGTTTGTTCGAGGTTGTACATCCAGTGGCTTGACCATCATCAACATCGACCTTTCGCTTCTGGTGGGCATACTCTTCAGTCCAAGATCTCCAGCCAACGCCTGTGCCAGCATGATCAGGTTGCTGAGTTGGGCGTGCGTGAAGCAATGGTATTGGTAATACCCAATGATGACAATGATTCCCAGCAACAGATCGAGCGACCGCTCTGACTGAATAAGCATCCTCTCCGAAATTTGTTGCATGAGACAGTACATCTGCGCCTTCATCGAGCGCAGATTTCGGAAGGAGGCAACCATCCTGATGGCCGACATGAGGAAGGATCTTTCGTTCTTAAGCTGGGCCGCCGATGTGGTAGCTGGTACGACCACAAAAGGGTGGGCTGGCACCAGCTCGCGACGGTAGATGTCCAGGAGGGCCTCGTCGGAGTCTGGAATTGGAGGCACATCGCCGCCATCAAGCCGACAGATACATGACGGCGGAGAACGGGAGTTATACTCCTTTGGTACCGTCCAGGCTCTGTCGCTGTCCACCGGGGAGGCAGATGGCTTGCGTGGAGTAGCAGAAACGCCTGGGTCCAGCAGCGTGCCCAGCCTGTCCGCACCAACTTCTCCGTTCTTCAGCTCCCCATTCTTGAATAGGGAGTACAGATCGTTCAGCTTGTTCTCTAGCTGCACCGCTTTACTGCATGAAACACATTAGCCACTACCATCAGAGCGTATGCGTAAGGGTTCGACATGGCAAGGCAATCTGTAAGCCAAGCCCCAGGGCCACGACCACGTTGGGAAGACGTCGTCGCCCTAGCATGAATGGAGACCGGGGACTTAGAACCACCCGAATGTCCGTCTACAAGCCACATGCAGGTTATTGTGTTTGTACACTGGGTTCATATTGTTAGGGGCACTTACGATGGTTTGGCCACCCTCTTCTTGCGGGGACGATGCAATTGCGCTGCACAGTCCTTGAACAGTCGCTCACATCTGTTCCCAGCTTCAGCCAGGCGCTCCCACTTTTCCGATACTTTCTGTTCTCCTGGATATTCCAGAACGTCTCGGGGATACGTACCTGTCACATTTGGCGCCAGGCTGTGGGTTGGATCGGATGCACTTGGCTTTGGCCGTCGCGCAGGAGGCACATGCGGCTCCCCATTTTGCCGTTGACGGTCGCTGCCTTGCATTGGGAAGTGTACTCTCGTTAGAGTTGGCTTCGTCGCCGGAAACGGGCGACGATTGCTGCGTGGATGGCGCCATCTCTGCTCACTTACACGAGCTGGTTCTCGGGCGATTTGGTAGCGGCTGCGTCTAGCGGGTGGGAGAGACTTTGAAAACACATGCGCTAAAATGCTTCATCGTACCAGCAGCCTATCGCATCGAACGCCGTTGCCAATTTGCGTGCCACTGCGAGAGCAAGAAATTGAAGATGGTTCCGTCGGGGCGTTGCTTAAAGGCCCTCTCCTCTGGTCGTGGAGAGGACGGACATTATATATAATGTCCGTTCGGCAGTCGGCCGCGACGGGGCTGAGCCCACGGGTACATGTACCATAGGTAATGAGTGGCTGAGCTGCTGACACTTCTCGGATCGCTGCTGACAATTAATAAGTTTGAGAAATGACGAGCGGATTGCGTGTTGTTCAGCGGCCGTCCAACATTCTTGTCGAGGCGGGATGTAGTTGGCTTTGGTGCTGGTTGATCGAGAATCGCAGTTGCATATTCGTCACGGTACGCGAAGCAATTCTGAACTACTGACGACAAAACCCTGGGATACGGTAGTGCGAACCAGGAGAATCTGTGCTCGCTGCCCAAATGGCGACAAAAGTATCGTTACAGCTGATGATGGTACATACTGCCAAAGTCATGTCAGTCCATATGGACCTTCCGCCCTTTACGATTATAGTCAGAACCCTCCAGGCTTCTACCGCCCGCCGGACCCTCAGCCCGATCCGTCCCTCATCGTCGCTTCGCTTTCTATTGCACGAGTACGCACACGCTTCCACGTAATCCTCACTTGGACTTGGACACACCAGCTCCAATGACACCGGGCAGCTTCTCCTCCCCAACGTTGAAAAGCATGGAGATTGACAGGGTCAGGATGCTGACCATGAGGAGAGTGAAGCCGGCAAACAGCCAGAAGGCAGTGCTGACGTCCTTCTTGGCGCACGTGGGACCGGCCCAGTGCGTCACACTGCCAGAGTCGCTCGCCGTGCTGAGGCAGTGGCAGGTGTAGCAGACCTCCTTGCCATCTGAGCCGTCCCTGTTCGCGTACTTGTTCGAGCATTCGCCGCGGCCGGAGCAGTTGCCCGTGCTCGTGGTGCAGCTATCTTTGGATCCGAAACACGCCGGAAGTGCCTCCCTGCCAGGGTAGAAGACGGTGTCCTGCTTGTTTTCCGAGGTCTCGGCGTCGGGGGCATCCGACTCGGCAGGGTGCTCGACGGCAGAGATGACCTGCTCAGCCTGCGACTGCCGGCGGCGCAGCTCCTGGCTCTCCTCTGCCCACTTGGCGGCCTTGCCAGAGGCGGGCAGGACGACCACAGTGGTCTCCATCTCGCCCGCTGCGGCAAGCTTTGCAAGATCGGATGCTCGATCAAACAGTTCCTTCAAAACTTGCTTGTCCTAGATCAATTAGCTTATCAGTCGCCTCGAATCAAGTGCGAACGCATGTGCCCACCTTTTGAACATTGTATTTTGCTACAGCGGCGCTTTCGCTCCAACATTCCTTCGCAAAGGGGTTCAAGACCTGGGAAATGCTGCAGCTGTGTTGGCTAGCAACGCCAGTGTTGTATATGTCGTTCTTGAGAAGGCTATCGTGCGCCGATGTCGAAGGGGGCGCTGAGATTGTGAAGGCGGCACCCATGCCAAACTTTCCATCCATCTCCTTCATCTCGCCATCTGTGAGCCCCTCAATCAAGACGAGGGCCTGGCTGGGCGTCGTTGTGTCGTCTTCGAAGAGGGTTTCGCTCGGTCCGCCGAATTGGTTCATCAAATCCACCACGGTCTTGTCATCGACGTTCTCCGGTATCTCTGCGACTGAGGGTCCCTTCCCCAACGGCGACAATCGTTGCAGGAGGATCAAGCGCGCTAGGCTGGGTGTGATGGAGGGTGTCGCGGTCGTTTGGTGGCTATCAGCGTCGCCACGGAACATGTAGACGTGGGCGGCCTGCTGCGCGGCGGCCGCGCAGCCAGCCAGGGCCGCAGTGAGCCCGAGAGTGAGCTTCATCGTTTCTTCCGGACGGTAAGGGCAGTTGAAGCCGCGAGATTCGATGTGTTGGCCGACCAGGACTCTAGGGGGTTTCGCGGGCGGGTAGCTTGCAACGTCACGACGGACGGACCGTTGGAGCAGCAGCAGCTGCTACTTCCGGTCGGCGCAAGGTTAGTCCGGCAGTCTGCATACCCGGAAGAAGACGACCGTGACTGCGCAGAAGAGGGTCCGGTCGAGCAAGAGGCGACCCCAGCGTTGATAATTGGCCGTCACACGCTTATCGAGCAAGAATCGTTGTTTACTGACTCGGGATTGCCCACCAAGGACATTATCGCCCATGCGATCATGACTTTCGTCCACTTGTAGCCCTACGCTCTGTACTTGTATCTATTCTGCTCCAGCGCTCTACCACAACCATCGACTTGCGATGCTTGTCCGAGCAAGAGCCTCGCGGCGCGCGGCAGCGACGGTGCCGTCCTTCCTGTCCACTCCGTCACGAGTCGCAAGCCGCTCACGATCTCTTCACCCCGTCCGGTCGGTATCGCTCTGGCCATTTCAACGACGAGTTCCAAGCAACGTCGCGCCTCTGCCGGTCTTTTTCCCCACGCCTCCCCAACCTTCGTTTGCCAGGAGATGGTCTTCCTATCTGTTGCGGCGGGCACGCTACCCCCTCCTCTGCCTGCTGGTATACTACATAATGTGGAAGATCTTCTACAACCTGGTTATAAGGCCGCTCATAGAGTTGGAAGAGGCAGAATGGGACTCCCTTTCAGAGAATGAGAAGAAGGATCTGGAGAAGCTGGCACAAGACGAACGTCCGGTCCTGTTCCTGGCGTTTCCCTTCACGATGAAGAAAGAGGAACAACCCTTATACGATGGTGCAGACCCAGTGTGGAAGGTATACCGGGATTTCGCCAAGGATGAGAAGGCAAAGGAGCATGTAAAGCGTATGCAAAAGACCCAGGCTTGGCGTGCGACGGCCCACTAACAAGACACAGAACTTCTGGTCAACGGCATAGTACCAGCCATTGCCAAACATCCCGTACTCTCCAGTTATACTGGGAAAGGTCCGAAGGTGGTACGAAAGTGGTTAGTAATTGGGTACCCTCAGCGGCCGCCACCGCTGCGTTGGGTAAGGGGGTAAGTCGGGGCCGGTCCCCCCCTGCACAAGGAGACAATGGGGGAAGAACGTAGGCTTACGCCGAGACAGGCTCATGATCGACGACGAAAGCGTCGCCATTGCTGATCGCATGGTGGACCCAGCCGATGTAAAGGCAATGGAAGCGGTGCAGTACCCCACGGCAGCAGCGATGGCGGTTTGGACGTATATGAAGACAATGGCGCGCTGCAAGCTGTCGGACGCGGCGTGGACTCTAGGCTTGGACTCGGGCAAGGATCCCAATCGTGCAAGGCCTCAGATCGCCGTGACCTACGACAAGTCGCAGTTACCCGATCCAAATCAGGCCCAGGACATTTTCCGCGTCCCGAGTCCCCTCAAGGTAGAACTCCACGTACCACCACCAGTCGTCAGCCCTCTGGGACACATGGCCAGCAGCAGCAAACCGGCCTCTCGCACACGAGAGAGCAGCAACGAGACAATACGGTTGATGAGCGCAAACGCGACTGAAGCAGCCCTGGCGGCTGTTGCAGCCTACAAGAAGCAGTCGGGATCGAGAATCACTGAACCACCATTGGGCGCCATTACTGTGTCTGGTGTTTTGGAGGTGCAAGGGCAGACGGGATCCGCCATCTTTCAAGTCACATCGCACTACGACTTTGCGGACAAGAAATTCGTAAACACAAGAATGGGGGTGCTCTCGGGTTCGTCGTGGAGTAATAAGCCACACTGGAACCAAGAGCGGTGATGCGGCCTCAAGAGATTGGTCTTTGGGATGGCTGGCGTACCACGCGAAGGGTGGAGAAGGGAGTTGACATACGGTTTAGAGGTTAGGGAAAATGGCTTCCAGCATAGCGTTGATTTATACACGGCTCGTTCCGCGGCGTAGGCTCTAGGCCTCTACATATACACGTTCCAAACCAAGCGTTGCGGCAGTGGCCCGTGGGTATCATTTGGTACAAATTAAGTCGTCAGTCAATCTTCCGTGGCTTCGATCTAGTTATGATGCTGCCCCTCGGATGAATAACCCTCGTCATGCGTCTCGACCTCTGCCTCATCGGGGCCCTCGTTGTCTGTCTTCTCTTCCGCCACGTCGTCGATGAACGCTACCTTTCTGCCAGCACCGGCTCTCACGCTTGCCGGCTCGAGAACGTCGCCATTCCATGGTCTGCACTCCTTGACATGCTCACCACACCGCAGGCATGTCCAGCCTTCGCCCTCCTCCCGCTCCAACCTCGTCGCCAGACAGACGAAGCAGAACACGCACCCACACGGAATGGTCTCGTAGGGGTTCGTGATATCAGTGTTGGCGGACCCAATAACGCCACTCGAAGCTGCCGCGGCTGCCAAAACATCGTTCTCCGTCGTCGCAACGTCGTTCTGGTCTTGATAGCATATTGCACACGTCCGCTCGGGCAGGAATGCATATTCTCCTGCCGCCTCTGCATCGTCATTTGACCCCGAGTTCATGATCTCCTTTGTCTTCCGCCATGTTCTGCTCAGCCATCGCCTCCAGCGGTTGATGCCGATCAGAGGCAGCACGAAGAGGAGGAACTCTGTGAATGCGTGCCAGACGAGCTGCCTGTTCAGATACTCGAAAGAGACCTCGCGGCTGACCTGGCTCGTCGGCGGCGCGAGTCTCATCCGCAACACACGATCGAGCAAGGTTCTATATCGTCCGTTCCACAGAAAGACGAGAAAGGACGCGCAAGCGGTCACGCTATGTGTTGTCGAGAATAGCGAGGTCAGCCGTGAAAGTCGCTGGACTCGAGGGCTCGGTTGGTCATAGCCGTCGTCCTTTTCGAGCAGCCAGTCCTCCCATTTCGTCCATGCATACGATCCAAACACCGTGACCAGCCCAAGAGCCGACTTTTGTAGCTTTGACGGGGCAAAGAGCACGGGACCGTCCTTCCGCGCGTCTGTGTATCGCAGGTTCTGCAGCGCAGCACCGTACGTCGCGTCATGGTCCCATATCGTCAATTTGAACAGCACGGCCCGTAGCAACAGTGTGATTTCGGCCGCCCAGTCGTCTTTCAGGTGTCCGCCCGCAAAGTACTTGAGCCCGTCGCCGACCTGCGATCGGAGGAGGTCGAGGAGCTCAGAGTCGAGAAGCTCGGCATCGACTTGCCCCACGCGAAAGGCTGGGCGGGTGCCCTCGCGGGAGGATATGGAGTTCCAGGCGTGTGCTATCGGCGAGCGGAGTCCTTGTGGGATTGCCGGTCGTCCTGGAGTCGCTCTGGAGGCTGCGGCGCGTTGAGCCGCCAGGGCTTGTGCCTCGCGTGCTTGTCGGCGGGCAGCGACGCGTTGCTGCGCCTGGGCAAAGGTCGAATCGGTCATGACGAATTCGTTCAGTGTGGGCGGAGTGCGTATAAGGAAAGAAGGCAATTGCACATCATCGTTGCCAGGCGTTATTAGTGTAGGTCCATGGCTCTTGGTGTCGCATGTCAAAAGCCGAGGTCCGCCGTGGACCAACGTCACTTCAGCCGAGCCCACGACTACCCTAGACCATTGCGTTGAGACTTGAGAATCGTATCCGTATTCCCCTCGAGTTTGAACATCCCCTAAACCACTTTGTTCACATATTTTGATCGCTTGAACTGATAAATGCCCAATAGCGGGAGACTGAACTAGAACATGCGACTCTGTGCTCATACTCGATTTATGCTACCTTTACAGACACCAGGTTCAGCTAGCGCTCCAACGTAGACGTCCCCAGTCCGCTCAATCTCATAATCGACATCTCTGCCCCTGCCCTCCTTCTCGTACTGCCGAACGAGTGGTATGACCTCGCCGAATTTCTTGATCTCTTGGTCGTAGTGAAGAAACGCGGCCAACACAAGATCAATGCCGAGACTCTTCAGCAGATCTATGCGCTCAGCGACCTGCTCACTGGTGCTAAGCAACTTGGTCTTGAACCCGTCGTTATACTGCACCAAGTCCTCGAATTTGCTGTTCGCCCACATGCCAGTCTTGTTGGAGGTGCCTGCGCCAGCATGCTTCACTGCTTCCTGGAGCTGCGCCTGCGCCACAGCCTCTTTGTCGGCCTTGCCTTGAAACGCCTAGAGGACGTTGATGGTCTCATCCTCTGTCTCTCGCACAATGACGAAGCCATTGACGCAATGGTGAACCCAGCCAGATAATAAGTCTGATTGGATCCAACGAGCCAAGGAGGTTGCCGCTATTCAAGCCAAGGATGCGGGCCTCCGTCAAAGTGAGAACAAGTCACCACGTGCCGAGGTAGTCCTCCTGAAGCACGCTGGTTTGTTGGAAGGTTTTTGGTCACAAGAAGTGCGGTGGAGGCGAGCAGCCTTGGAGCGTTGGATATCAAATCATCCGAGAAGTTGCCAAGGGCGACGGGTAAAAAAAACATGGATACATTCACTCGCTCAAAGGCTTATGGTTCTTTAGATCACTCACTGGGGATGCTTCGAGTCTATCATCTTCTCTGGTTAACCACTGCCAACAGCGCCGAGCAAGCAGAGCGTTTCGAAAAACTCATCATTTCCAACAACCACTTTGTTGGCGGTGCCGTCAGCCCACGCGACAACGATCTCAAGATCACGCCAGACAAGGACAATCTCGTCTTTGAAGGCTTCCAGTTCTCCAACATGGGAGGCGTGGTCTCAGACTTGACGGCACTGGAGGGATCGTACAACGACACCGACGACCAAAATTTTGCCATTGTGAAGACAGACCAACTAGGAATTCAGTTCTCGTACGACTGGGACAATTTCGGTCTTCGGCTGACTGAGTCTGGCAGCGTCAGGATTAAAAGGTCACCGTACCGTGGGCAGACGCCCTAGGCTGGGATGCGGTGCTGAAGAAGCCCGACCCATCGATCCTCGGCAGGTAGTCCGATGTGTCATGCAGATGCTGACACAACCCCTGCAGCATTCAACTCGTCTTTAGCAACTTCTATCTCGGCATTGCATGGCGCGCCTTGAACGAGGGCGCAGCGCACACCAACAAGTCGACGCGTGCCTGACCATTCGGCGGCGGTTTAAGTAACTCCTCAGGAGATCGTATCGCATGTCCCTCTTGTTAACAGGACACCAGAACAAGGAGAAAGCTCAAGAGGAGTTCTATATCCTGTCAACGTACGGCAACTTCCTGGCGCATCTCCGTGCCGCAACTACACTGGCTGATCATGCTGACCTGGTGGATGCTGTCTACAAGAACTTGGGTGACGCCACCACCAGAGCCAAGGTCACGGCCCAGGCACGAGGCGGGCTTGCTGAGTGGGTTGCCAGTGTCAAGGTAGTGACCACCGACACCGGCTTGCGAGTGACGTCGGGCGTGTTCGAAGTGACGGGCGCAAAGGCAGCGGCGACCAAGGTAGGCCTCGATCGTTTCTGGCGAGACATCCGCACCCATAGCCTTCATGATCCTGTGGCGTACAAGAATCGGGAGCTGGGACGTTATCACCTGGTTGGGGAAAATCCCTACGCCGACGTGGTATACTTAAAGGCCTAGTCGCTGACCTTCTCTTACAGACAAGCTCTGAAAGTGTCTCGAAGGCGGGCCTCTCTTCCCTAGGCTCACTGAAAGCTGGACGATCCCGAGGTCTTCAATGGTAAAGGCCAATAAAGACCAATACGGTACTGTTGTTAGCACATTTGCATGACCGTTTATGAGCCACGTGTTTCAAGTTGAGTTCACGCCTAAATCACCCATAAAAATGACAGTAGCCACATAGCGGGTGGTTAAGGGTCTCGAGCCTCCAGACTTCCTTCACAGGTTCGACAGAGCTGAGTAGTTCATGCACAAGGGCGCAGCATCTGACGGTAGGCAGGGATCGGGCTCGTGTTGCGAAGCTGCTGTCACCAAATTCATTTCCAAAGATTGATGATGTGTTCTTTGACTGATTCGGACACTATAGGAACACTCGTGTGTCCTTGCGCCCTCGGATGCCTGATCCTCTGGGTGTTGTTTGCGAACGTGAGAGATGGTTTGATTGACACCCGGCCCTGGCCTGCGCAAACGACACGGCCAATATATAATATTTTTTCGGTTGAGAGCAGAGGATACTCGTTTGCCCCCGGACGCATTTTTTTCGGACTCGAGGTGAGGAAGAGAATGCCGGTAGACTGGGAGACTCGAGGAGATCGGCAGATTGCCCAAGGGTGTAGTCTGTTCTTTGCGGTGCCAACCGCCTCCTACCTACCTACCCTGAACTCTGATTCACCCCGGGTCGCTGATCTCAACCACATGTTTCGACGACTGTTTTTCGACATTTTCATTTTCAAGCTAACTGGAGAATTAAAGTGTACACAGAGCATTCGACAAATTGTTCGTTGCCACCTAATCGAGTGAGGTTTGCGCGATCGCCATGTGCCGGCTCTGGTAAGTCGAGTCGGACGAAAGAGTTGGCGGTTAATGTCCGCACGATGCGAACGAAAAAGCCAAATGCAGCTTTCCGTGCTTTTAAGACACAATCAGTGACATCATGGCATCCATACATCAACGTACCAGGAACCCAAAGGCTTGGATGCTCGACGTCCATCACGAGACAGGCTGGTCACGAATCCACGACGCGGGTGTGCAGCACTTCCTTCAGTGTGCACGGTGCATTCACGCTGCTATGATTCAGGGTCCCGTGCACCAGCCTTAACTTTCCTTATCGATAGCGCCTCGTTCATTCATCATCCCGTCATTGTGAAGGGAACGCGACAAAACATCGAGGGTTACTTTGTTGATCAAAGCCTCGCTAATTACTTTTCCTTTGTGTCCTCGGCATATTCTTTCTTTGCGCGGTTGTGTGGATCTCAAGCGACCGCCGACGACGCAGCCCAACTAGTTTACAACTTTACTCATTGAAACCCTTGTCGACATCAACAACTCGCCACGGCAGGCAGCCAGTCGCATCGTGACGCCAACAGCTACCTAGACTAGACCAACGCTTCTGCCTGATCCGCAAGCATATCAACTGCACGATCAAAACAGAAAACACAGATCAGCACCATTTATATACAACACATCTCCTCTGAATCTCCCATTTACCACCACCGCTGGCAACAACGTTGCTCGCCTGGATCCGCGCCGACTCACTCACCCACTCAGTTCTCATGTCGCGTCGCCGCAAAGCCGGAGAGCCTTCGGAAATCTCTTCGTCCTGGCGTATGGTGGAAGGCTCCGGCGAGAACGACTCCTTCGACACAAACATTGTCCCCTCACTCGATTCCGCCAACAACAGCTTCGTCACCTCACTGCGACCCCTTTCCTCGGGCGAGCCATCGTCCGTGCCGCCTTCCCAGTCGCAGGAGCATCACTCCTTTGCTTCGCAGACCTCACAGGATAGCATCCGGGATTTTACGCGCCATCAAGACGACCCGGACAACATACTGAAACAGCCCTTCCGACCGTCGATGCCGCCTAGTGCCCGCACCAGCTACAGCGGCAAGACGGCGAGAATGTCCGACAACGATCTCCGGATGCCCACTCTGGACGTTGACAATGGCAATGGGAGATGGAGACGTGGCAGCCCGATCCCTCGCCTCAGGCGACGTGACGTGAACAGGAGCCAGGATAATCAATACAGGGACCATGACTCTGATTGTCACACTCACATGGCCGGGCCACGAGCGCAGTCCTTCCTTGACATTCTTCAAGACATGAGCCTCTGGGCCATGCGCACCTTCATCCTCGCCTGCAGCTACGTCCAAAAGCCCATTGCTCTGCTACTCGCCGGTTACATCTGCGTTGCTGGCGTCCTGGTTCTGCACTCGGTGGCGACCCGCTCCGCCGTGAGGACCCTCGCGCCCATCTGCAACATCCCAGGCGCATCACTCCTCCCGCTCCCGTTCTGCGGCGTGCAAGAGGATGGTGACGCCGCCTTTGAGTACATTGAATTTGCCAAGCATCACGACACCATAGAGAACGTCCTCCAAAAGTCCATGAACGCATACCCCATGCCGTGGAGGATGACGCAGACCGAGAACGCTCTACGGGACCTGACAGTCGTCCTCGAGGTCTCCAATCTCGAGAACCGCGCCGAGTTTGTGCAGGCGTTTCGGAGCTACATACACACCCTGGGACAAAAGGTGAACCCGGAGCTGCACACCTTCAACGTCCGCGCCGGCGGTGTCGTGGACAGCATACTGTCCACGCACAACTATACCAGGCGGCGCATCGCACGACTCGATCCTTCCTTGCCAGAGAATCAACCCTCGGTGCTGAGCAAGTTCACCATGTGGGTCTTTCCCCTTTTCGTGCCCTCGCAGGCTGAGCGGACCAACGAGGCTATCCTGCTGCAGTACATCCAGTACGCCGAGGACATTGTCGTCACGCTCGATGACCTAATTGGCATCGCGCAGATTGTGCTAGACTACCTCAGAGAGGCAGACATGAACCTCCACGAAATTCACCGTCTGACGGAGCAATCCAAGTCTAGGATTGAATCGAAAAAGGGCGGCAACGCAGTCTGGAATCTCCTTGCCAGCCTGCGCCTGACCAAGGAGCAGCAGAAGTACATGCGCGACCTGGATCTCCTGGCAGAGGTGGAGGCCGAGCGCAGCGGAGCTAGGGACTACGTGGCCGACGTCCTCAACGATCTCCGTGGCGTCAAGGCCCAGCTGCAGGACCTCCAGGAGAGAATCAGCAAGCCGGGCCTGCAGTTGGGCACTGACAATCAGTTGCCGCTCGAGGTCCACTTGGACATGATCGAGGGCGGCGTCGACAGGTTGCAGCGGGCGCGTCAGCAGTTCAGAGACGCAAAGGATAACTTTATCGAGATGAGGAAGGAGGGGGGCGGGCGCAAGAAGAATAAGCCGTATATCGAGGCTACTAGAGCGCCTCAGTTTCCGCGCGGGGCTTGATGCACGGGTGTTGCATGATGCGTTTCTTTGGTTATTCTCTAGCTGGCGTTAGGCGGGCGTTGATTCTTCTTCTCTGGACATGGAAACTAAATGATGCGAAGCACGAGACTGAGCATGCTAGCTTGGCGCAGGAAATACAAAGACCTGCCGACGGTAAAAGTAATGATCAATCACCATTGAACACCACTCCTTTAATGTGAATCTACACGATCAATATCCTTGACGAAGAATGTTCTTAAAGGCAGAGGTCTGAAAGTAAAGAGGCATCTCCTCTTGATGCAACATATATAGTATAGATAGATGGAACTCGTCAGAACCTCCCCATCACTGCAAACGCCAGCCTGCCATGGGTATCGTGACCGGACCTCATTACTCGGGCCTGTACTAAAAGCCATCCACACCATAACGCCATTGCCATGCCATGCTGTCTTTTCCCACCTGCCGTCGATGGTTAAACAAAGAACCCTAGCCCGCTATGAAGACACAAACAATGAATGCAGCCATCGCTATGAGAACGCCGGGAAGACATGACCCAGTGCGCGTAGCCCTAGGCATTGTTAGTGCTGCGCCTGGGACGAGAAAAACAAAAAGGCAGGTCACATACATTTTGGACGCTGTGCGTCCGGATCATCAAATGGCGCGTTCTTGGCGGCAATGGCACGCATTCGCTCTCGCGCAAACGAGGACGGACTGTCGCGCCCACTGTCCACAGGCCCCATCTCGGCATCCTCTGGTTGCGTCGGAAGCGTGCTCAGTTTTCGAGGCTTCTTCCTGCGTGGTCTCGATGAACGGGCAGCTGGGGCCGGCTGCATTGGGTGGCCATCATCTGCGCCACCGCCTGTAGATTCTTCAGGGATGGTCGCGGCCTCCAAAGGTAGAATTGTAGCAGAATTGCCACGGTCAGGTGCAGGGGAGGTGGACACGGCATTAGCTTCCAAGGGAGTGTCTTCGCGTTTGACCGGCGTCATTGGAATCTGGTTCGTCTTCTTCGACCTACCAAACAGCTTCTCGGCCCAGCTGCGAATCTTCGTCTCGCCCGTGTCGACCATGTGATCTTCAAGATCAACTCGCCCGCGTAGCCTTCGGAGTGCGCGTTCGCGGCGCACCATGGCATTGGTGATCTTTGGGCTGTACCCTCTGGGGAGCATGCAGTGTTTGCACTGCGGACACAACGAGCTGTTCTGGGTGAGATATTCCTCTATACACTGGGGGTGAAAGATGTGTCCACACGGCAACTCCTGGATAACGGATTGTCGATGGGTGTACTTGAGAAGACAAATGTGGCAGTTGGGTTGGAAGTTGGTCGCAGTCGTGTCGACAGAGCCAGCCAAGCTGGACCGCTTGCTTCTAATGCTGCCTGGCGGTCTGATGTCCGAGACGATGCTGTGTGCGTCCCCTGCTCGCCGTCGGCTGTTGCGCGACCGCGAAGACCGCACGGAACGGCTAGAGACTGGCGCGCCCACTGTGCTGGGCGTGGGTGGGCCGCTGCTACTCAGCATATCCGGCTCTGCGTTGTATGTGTAATAGGGAAAAATTTTGACGTGATTTGCCGGTACCGTGAGGCGCTTGATTCCACTGGCCTCCAAGTCGACCTCGCCCGTCTCGACCCGGACCTTGAGTGATTTTCGCCTCCGCCTTTGAATCAGGTGCATCGTCAATGATACGGCTGCAATGATGACCAGGAGCGATCCGATGGCTATCAGGAAAAAGGTCCAAAGTGCAAGCATATTGGAAGGGTTTTCCATCTCCAGCTCGGTCCAAACGCGCACGTAATCTTGGGGATTCGGTCCATATAGTTCGGTTATTTCTTCACCGTGTGGAATCTCGCTGACACTTCCCGAGTACAAACTCAGCTGCTTCATCATTTCCTGGCCTTGGAGGCCAGGAACAGCAAATACCGGGAACTGGTTCAACGTCTTCCATTGACCGTTGTCGTCGAGACTCCATACTGGCGAGTCAACGTCTTGCGGTTTGTTCGTCGAGTTATTTGATTTGTAGAAGACAAAGCCGCGAACCTGGTCAAGGCGCGCAGCTGAAAGGTAGGCGTGTGTACAGTCCATGTTGAACCATGGCGCGAGCGCGATGAGTTTGTAGTTTGTCGGGGGAAGGTCACTTCGTCTGGTGACGTTGGGAGGGATGAAATCATATTGAAGCTTGTCGCAGGCAGCATTGCCTGAAATGTCGGGAACGTAGAGGAGGCCTTGTATCAGCCCGTCGAGGGTGTCCGCGTTGGTCGTCGTCAAGGTCGTGATGTTGTTGTTGATGCGCTGCTCGTATGCTACCTGGCTCGATAGGGCGGTGATGTTGCGGATGATGGTCGTGGGGACCGTGCTGGCACCAGCCCATACTGGGTTGCTAAAGAGGAGTCTGCGACAGCGTCAGTAACACTCGCTGCGCAGCGAGCTTTGGGAACCATACACAACATTGCGAATCTCAGAGAGCGCTGTGAGACGTCAGTTGCCGGTCGCCAAGCCTGGGGTAAAAGGGTTTGGACCTCCTTGGCTTTTACTATGGGCGCGTCGCCGTCCAGCGATGCGGCCACGCACCAGACAAGGAGGATGAGGAGCGTTGACATACACATTCTTCTCTACCACATGTTTGGGTCTGTGGCGAAGGGCATATTAGAGCAGCACCGGCGGACAGCGCGACAACAGAGCAGTAGAGGCGGCCTGACTGGTGCTCGTCGCGCAGGTGCGGGCTAAGCTTCGTCGGTCGTCCCGCTGCCGAAAAGGCAGGCACTGCTCGGTTCGGTTCGATGTAAATTGCGTAGAGGGCGCGCTGTCTGGGGGTCGCAAGTCGTATCAATTGCTGGTCTAGAAATCTGATAGTTGCGCGGAAGAAACGAGCGTCTTGAGACGCAGGCACGCGGAACGTGGGCGCCGCAGGGGGCGACCGGGTTCAGGTCGAAACGGCCAGGCAGCACTTCCGCCAACAGTGATAGGTGACGTTGTTTGGGTGTTTGGCGTTGACAGGCTTTACACTGCTGAGTGCTTGGTGATATTTTTCCAGAGGCCGCCAGGGACGAACGGGGATGAGAGTCGAGACCGTCACGAGGCGTTAATTCGTCTGGAGGGCCCGGGAGATGCAGGCAGGATCAATCCTGGCCAGCTGGTCGGATGTACGTGGATCCAATAAGCAGGCAATCGGAGGCTCGCTGATTGAGCGCAGTCGACAGACAAGGACAAGTTGAGGTGAAGATCACTGTTTCGGAACGAAATCATGCCTCCGCAAAGACGCAAAGTCTAATTACCTTAGATCAATAGAGACCAGCAAAGGTGCAAGTGAGCAGCTCAGTTTATGGCTCACCAACCGAGCGAGGCAACGAAATGATGAGAAGACGGGACTGGAGATATTCAATTCGTGACGTGGTGCACAGGGCCAGTGCACACGGCCCATACCTCAGTGAATTGTCGCTGGCGAATGTATCCTCCGCAGCGCTTAGCTAGCTCAGCTTAGGGGTTTGGCAGGCTGTTCCACTCATGATTATCCGTACCTTGCCCTGTGATGGGAGGTGAGTTCAGGGCAAGTACGTGGGGCGTAGGCAGCTGCCAGCCTCCGAAGGTGATCGGTGTGTTGGCTGCTTGGTCCCGGCTGACTGGCCAGTACGCTCACTCATCAATTGGCTTTGGCGCATCCTGCTGCGGCACTGATACTCAACCGAGCATGGTATTTATCAAAATTTCATAACCTTTGTAGTCGCATGTCCTTCCTTGACATGTCGCACTTATTTGATGTCTCGTACAGTCTACGGATAGTGAAACCCGCATCGGCTCACTGTCTGGGCCAGCGACATGCCATAGCGGCCCAGTGACGATGTGGGGATTCGCATGTTCGAGGTTTCAAGCGGCCTTTATTAGTATCTGATGTGCAGCGCAGATAATGAATGGACCGCATGGGTATGCTTCAACTTTGACAGGCTGCATAAATACGATGTGTGGGTCGTCTCTTTATTTAATAGATCGATCATGGGAAAGCAATGAAGGCTTCGCTCATTAGTAAGTATTCAGCAACGCGATTGAGGCCTCACGCGACGGAATATTACCGTTCGGAGGGAGGTGCCATCACTGGAGCTGCAGGCTTCAGGCGAACAGTGCACAGCTCACTGAGACAAGCCACAGCAGCCTTCGGTCGCTGTTTCCCAGTATCTGGTAGGTACGTACTCTTCATGGAGACAACTGTTACTCCGTACATCGTGGTATCAGCGCGTAAGGTAGGCAATTTATTACTATCGTATTGCTCCCGTGGTGCCGGATTAGTCTGTGACCACAAGCACAACCCTAGCCACCGTGGTAATTAAAGTGATTGGTGGACAGTCCTACGGAGTACAGTCCGCAGTCGAGTCTGAATCCGAGACTGCTTCATTCGGACTACCGCGTTTTCCGGAGACAGCTTGGACTTCTCCAACCAACAGGCCACTTCCACCAGCGGGTTAAGAACTCGGAACAACACGAAGTGAGTGGTCTTCAAGATTGCCTATATTTTCGTACAATGCAGATCTTCGCAATCGTCCATGCCTCGTATTCTATCGCCCTTGTATAGCGTCGGCCGCCAAACGGAGCACTGAGCAGTGAGATGGACCTGCTTTATTACCTGTCGCCGTTGAAAACTCCACTTTTGATTGCAGCGAGTGGACATCGCAGCAATATGCAGTTAAGCGGCGGCAATATTCATTGCTTAGGGGTCGCCATCGTGTGCCAGAAGTCAACGAAACATGTCTGTTTCCAGCGCAGATAGCTGCGTTGCGATATGCTCCCAGCCAACATGGTGCCCGCTCGCTCTCCAAGTCTACAAATCCTCCAGCAGGAACTTCCAAATGACCTTGGACACCTTCAGACCATCGTGCTCCTTGGATGCCCTGCTAATCCCCGACTCATACACGTCTGGCGTGAAGACCTTCTGCTCGAACCGCCTGCGCATGACCTGATCCATGATGAACTCTGAGAACTCGGGATGCGCTTGTAGCGTGAGCACCCGCTTGGGAATGTAGAACCCCTGGATCTCGCACTTGGGACTTTTGCCCAGCAGGACACTGCCCTCGGGCAGTGTGGCGACTATGTCTTGATGCATCTGGTGAAGGAACTGGCCGGAATCGTCAGTCTCGAGAACTACTCATTCTGAACATGGACGCAGGACTCACCAGCTTGTCCGAGTGAAAGAGCTTCTGCCCCTCGGGGGTCAGGTCGACCTGATCAACTGCCACCTCCCACACACCAGCGTTGCGCTGGACCTTGGCACCCAAGGCCCTGGCGATGATCTGGTGTCCAAAGCAGATGCCAACCAGTGGGATGTCCGTCGTTTCGTACGCCAGACGACAATAGTCCACCAGCCTTGTGATCCATGGATGGTCCTCAAATGCGTTGTGCTCTTGTCATCTCGTCAGTTCCCTTCCGTCCGTTGGTTGCAGTGATGCTTGCGACTCACTACTGCCTGTCAACATGAGACAGTCCACCTCCTTGAAGTTGGGAAGCTCCTCCATATCCACCATCTGGTGGCTCGTCACCTCCAAGTCAACGCCCATGGCGCCTCCATCTTCAATGTACCCCTCTAGGCCCCGTCGGACAAAGGTGCCAAATATCTTGGCGTAGGTGCCGAGTTTCTCCACGACAGGCTCAATGGGCGTGTCGCATTCGAGAACGGCAAGACGGAATTTACGCATGTTGGAAAGGTTGGTGAGGTGGAAGATATTATGTGACGTTGTTAATTGTGATTACTCGTGAAGATGCACCGTTATCGGGGTGAGGGACAACTGGTGGCAATTGTGGCGCTGGTGCGCGGAGTGGTGGGGCCGATACGGACGATCAGTCCGACAAGTCAACCATCACGGCTTCCCGTATGTACCCAAGACTCCTGAGCTCTATTATCCTGCGTACTACGGTATCAGTCAAGGGGGCAATGCGGTCGAAGAGTATCGAGGCACTTTGAATAGCGTCCGTGTGACCTTGTGTGAATGCTGTCTGGGATGCAAATTACAACGTGCGTCAACATATCTGCGTCTACAGCGACGGAAGAACATAGCGGCGGTGTGAAGAGCAGAAGTCAGCGGACAATGCGCTACCAATCGTTCGGTTTCCAGCCAGATGCACTGTCATCGCGTTTGAACATCTCGGATCGCAATTGTAGCTGCCGAAGCTCACACAGACCAAGCTCCCTCTCACACACCAGAGGGACCCTCCGCGGGACCCTGGTGCCCCTCAGATACGATATTCCCCCTCGGAGAACATTCGTCGCGGAGCTTTTCCCGGCCCTGCCCCCCCCCCCCCCCCCCCCGATCGCGCTGCGCTGCCTAGGGACCTATGATTCTCTCGTCCCTTTCGTCATTGAGTAATTCATCCGCTGTTGGCACATTCTGCTCAGCACCATTCACAATCCCGGAGCAGCAGCCAGCATGGATCACGCACTGGAGCACCACAAGACCTACATTGGCCGCCCAGCCTCCGAGCTGCCCTCGCCTGCATTGGTCCTCAGTCTACCGGTGATGAAGAAGAACATCGGGAGGCTGCACGATGATGTCGAGAAGATGGGACTCGGCTTCAGGCCGCATGTGAAGACGCTCAAGGTTCGCGCACCGAGAGATCCGCCCGTCGGCGCCATACGCTGAACAAAAGGCAGTCTCTCGAACTCACTAGGATGATGCTTGCCAATGGGAAGTATCGTTCCATCGTCGCATCCACCATCCCCGAGATCAAGGGCTCGCTTCCCCTTGCGGCCGAGGGTATCCTCGACGAGGTATGGCCGCCGTGTCTATTGTCGTAATCTGTGCCGAGATTAGCTGATTCGCCCAGTGTCTCTACGGCCTCCCCGTGTATCCCAGCATCCTTCCCCAGCTCACAGCTCTCCGCTCCTCACTTCGGATATTGCTCCTGGTCGATCACGTGTCCCAGCTTTCGAAACTGGAAAAGCACTCTTCTTCGAGCCAGCCATGGGATGTCTTTATCAAGCTTGATGTCGGTTCCCATCGCGCAGGGGTGGCTCCTCAGAGCGACACTCTTCACGCGCTCGTGCGTGCTGCAGAAGCTTCGCCGGCCGTCAACATCTATGGGTTCTACTGCCACGCTAACCACTCCTACGCGGGTCGGACGCGCGCAGAGGCGGAAGAGACCCTGCGAATAGAATGGGACAGTGTCATATCCGCGGCGAAGCTGTTACCCAGCGACCGTCACCTCGTCGCCTCCGTCGGGGCCACACCCACGGCCCACGTTGTCAAGTCTCTTCGGGCTGATGCTCCCGGCAACATAAAGCTGGAGCTGCATGCGGGCAACTTTCCCTGCAACGACCTTCAGCAGGTCTCTACCGGCGTCATCTCCATGCAAGACCAGGCCGCGCGTGTCCTGGCCGACGTCGTCAGCGTCTACCCGGGCGCGCGCAATGAGGCGCTCCTCAACGCCGGAGTGACATCGCTCTCTCGAGAGACGAGTCCTGGGTTTTCAGGATTCGGACGCGTGGTTGGTAAAGAAGAGACATGGGGCGTGGTGCGCATGTCGCAGGAACACGGCATCCTAGGCTGGATCGGCGAGAGAGAGGCGAAAAACATAGAGGAGGAGTTCTCGGTAGGCGAAAGGGCCATGGTGTGGTGCAATCACGTGTGCATCACGGCAGCGGCGTTCTTTGTGTATTTCGTCGTGGATGGCGATGACATCGTGCGCGAAACATGGATGCCATGGAAAGGGTGGTAATCAGTTATTATTAGTCGTCTGCAATGCAGAACAAGGAACGCAACGCATGGGATATTGACACAACCGGTGAGGCCTCAACAAATCAAACCGGCAAGCTGCGCGGCATGCTGGTATGATTGGAGACACATTCGCCGATTGCACTACTCTCCTTGGCGGAGGGGGCGAAAAGTCCTGCTGGTGGTTGACGGTCGTGACAGTTCTTTTCCCAGGTTGCCAGTTGTGCGACGTATTGGCATGTGAAATGTGGCTGCAGCAGGGATGCGATCGACCCACTCTATTAAAGGCCCGGGTAGCTAGCGGAATGGAGTCCAGTCCTCGCCCTTTTTTTCGTCGGCAACCGAACCCTTGGGCATAGTTGCGACGCATGCCAAAAGATTGATCAAATCTCATGCTTGGCTTCCGAGGTGTAAATCGGCGGTGCTGATAAGAATGTGATCCAGCCGCGGCAGTCGCAATGGCTCTGCAAGAAACGACATCGGAGTGTCTTACCGACCACTGGCCTAAGCCGTGCGTGATGGCCAGCGTCTGGGATGGCAATGCGACTAAAACACCCAACATGGCAATCGGGATCGATGGCAGACACAAGTAGTACATGTACCTTGGCCCTGATTAGCGCCTGCAGGGCACCGTTGCAGCATATCAGCGCCTGCAACCATCACCTTCTTTCGCTTGTGAGACCGTGAGCGGATTCCCGGTGCCATGAGATAAGGGACACAAGGTACGCGCACGCGCAGGTAACCACATCCTCGACAGCCACAGATACAGAGGCACGCAACCTAAAAGCAGATCTGGTCGCCTAGCTTCACGTGGTCACTTTCCAGCAGTTCGAACGAGGGCTGATGATGACAGCACCAATCCAATGGCGATCGCAAGATGTTTCATCAGTAGTCGTGCCTGACCTGGAGCTTTCGGAGCCGCAATGCAGGAGCTGGCGATCCCATTGAACCCTGGCTTCTGGGCATCGTGCCTAACCGTTGACGTTGAGGTACATGTACCTTCCCTTCCGAAGAACTGACAGGGGGCAATGAAGAGAGGGGAGGCTTTCACATGTCAGACGCAACCACTTTGGATTGCAGCGTGAAGCTTGTGGCTGGTGGACCTACATTCACCCAATCATGCCCGCTGTTTCCGGGACAGATGCAGTGAGAGCGTTGCGTTATCAGTCGAGCAGCGCCGTTGTACGCTGGCGCACCGCGCACATGCTTCTTGGGTTCAGGCACGTACGTGGTCGCGCAAAGGCTCGTCAGGTCGCTTGGAGTCATATGTAAATCCTGTTTGTCTCTGTTAAAAGTGGTATGGCCGCCCAGCGTGGCTTCCCGTGCCGTCCGTCCTCCTCAGCTCTGTACTTCCTTCCTCTTCAGCTTCATATTTCGATCCCGCCTGTTTCTCCCCTCTTCCTACCTTCCAACTCTCATACCTAATATTCAATCCATTGTGGAACGACACCCTTGATCCGACCTCGTTGCGAACCTAACACCTACGCTACCATCCTCAGACGCGCACAAGTCCAGCTGTTATCATGGCTTCCCACGTCAACGGCGACATGCCCAACCATACCCAGCAGTCAGCCTTCATCCAGGTAAGCAAGATCTGATACCTCCTGCACAGAGGGGAGCTAATGCGGCAGCAGCATCTTCTCGACTACCCCGTCATCAGCGACGGCGTTCACACATTCAAGTCCCACGAGCTCGGACAGCGCTCCATTGCCATCACCGATTCAGCCTACAAGACCATCGCCTCGAACATCTTCCCCTATATCACCAAGCCCTACCAGTACGTGAGCCCGTACGTCTCGCGTGCCGACGAACTCGGCGACAAGACCCTCGCCCGTCTCGACGAGCGCTTCCCCGTTGTCAAGAAGCCCACCGGCGAGCTCTACGCCGACACCAAGAGCCTTGTCTGGTTCCCTGTCAACAAGGCCACCGAGGGCCGCGACCACGTATACAGCGTTTACTCGTCCGAGGTGAAGAAGAATGGTGATGGTAGTAGGCTAGTTGGGTACGGCAAGGCCGCTGTCCTCACGGCCTTTGTCGTGAGCAACGAGACGCTGGGTTGGTTGAGCAAGTTCCTGTCGCAAAAGAAGGAGCAGGCCAGCGAGGCTGCCAACAGCCACAAGGTGAACCAGTAATTGGCTGGAAAAGACTTTGGCTGGTGGCGTTGATCTCGCCGGCCAGCGCAGTCACGCCATCGAAAACTGTGAGGAGAATCGCGAAGATGATGAATGGAGCGTTCCTATAACTGTCTAGACAAAGATGCCATTAACGGACTCGGCGTATTGTTTACGGCGTTAATCCACATGTTCTTCCGCGTGTGAGCTGAAGCTGGAGATTCGTGGTGTTAGTGTAAAATGCAGTCGTGTTTGCATCAGCATAAGATGTGCTTTTTCCCGGTCTAATAAACTTCTTACCTATGTTGAATTCTGATCCAAGTCAATTTTCACGTATGTCGACGATGATGGTCGCGTTTACTCAGTAGGCTCCGCAATAACAGTGTCCGCGAGAGATGACCGCATCCTTAATAATCAGCCATTTCTGATGTTTACTGCTAATTGGTCACAATGCAGACATCGATAGCCCCACTGCTGATGTAAACCTTTGTAAGGCTTCATTCGATCGCCATTCCGGCCACTTTTGCTTCAATACGTACGCAGTACTTCTTAGTTAGCATGACCAATGACCCCTACATACAGTCTGATTAAGTAAATACAACTATCGCTCTTCCTCGCAGCATCTACACCATTCCATTCAGACGCCCAGAATAAGCATATAACACTGGCATTGCTTCACTCGATCAGATGAAGTTCTACTTTTACACAGCACTCCTCATCAGCGCACTAGCCATCTACTTCAAGCAGCCCCTCATCGACATCACTAGCAAGTTCCTCACAACAGAGGTCGCATCTGTAATACCTCAGGCAGACCATCATCTCTGGGCCACCGACATGTCTGTACCACGCGCCATCAAGAAGAACTTCCTCGCCGTTGAGCAGGATGAGGGCGCGGGTGCCCGCGTCCGCCGCTCCATCGGCACGCCTAATTTGCGCAACTTCAGCCCTTTTCTGATGCTGGACCATTTTAGCATAAAGCCCGGTGCCGGATTTCCCGACCAGTAAGTTTCTATCCTGCCTGCTATTCTGCCCGGTCCTGTCTTGTATGAATCGAGCAGAAGCTGACACAAACAGCCCTCATCGTGGCCAAGAGACAATCACATACCTCATTAGTGGAGCCGTGGATCACGAAGATTTTGCCGGTAACAAGGGCACCATTGAGTCTGGAGACCTGCAATTCATGACCGCCGGCCGTGGCATAGTCCACGCTGAAATGCCACGCCAGAACTCCGATGGCTCCGCCAACGTCGGCCTTCAGCTCTGGGTTGATCTACCCGAGAACCTGAAGCAATGCGAGCCGCGGTACCGTGACCTCAAGGCCAGCGAGATTCCACAGGTAGATGTAGATGACGGCAAGGCCACCATCAAGATCATCTCTGGACAGAGTCACGGCGTCGACTCGGTCAAGGATCTTGCCTACACCCCCGTATGGATCCTCGACATTGAGCTGCGGCCCGGTGCCAAGGTCACACAGCCTCTTCCGCAAACGTGGAACGCATTCTCGTACATCCTCGAGGGTGATGTCTACTTTGGAGACGGCGACACCCTCAAAAAGGTCGGACAGTACAACAACGTGGTCTTTGAGCAGGAGGGTGACGTCGTCCACATCGAGGCTGATCCGAATGCGTCCAAATCTTCGCGTCTGGTCATTGTTGCTGGCACCCCACTCGATCAGCCTGTCGTGCAATATGGACCATTCGTGCTGACGACAAAGGATGACGTGTATCAGGCGCTCATGGATTTCCAAACCTATAAGAATGGGTTTGAGCGCGCGGAGGGATGGGAGAGTGAGATTGGGAAATCCATGGTTCACTAGTCGGAAAAGATTAAATGAAATTGAAGTATTTGCACATGGATAGATACGTTCGGCCTCAGCATAAAAGATGGTAATTAACTTTCGTCGAAGTGTAGGACAGATGAAGTGAGTTTCCTCACAACGCAACCTCACATTAGAAATGTTGCACTCAGTCTGATTGACTGCTATAGACAGACAAAACACCAGTCTCAAGTCATCTCACTAGCAAACATTGTGGTGCCCAAAAAATTATGTATTAGGATTCTCCCGATGGAGAGCTAGAAAATTACTCCCCCTTGATGCCTTCGCACCCGCGCATATTTCATCGTAAGTTTCGGAATCTCCTGCGCATATCACTCCGCACCGGGCAAAACACGCGCTCAACCAATAAGTCGACCGTCGTGAACTTGCGCTTGTGCTATATCGCCATTGCAGTCTCACATCTCATGACTTCTCCATACAGCCTCCATTAATCTGAGGCCCTATGTCGTGCAATTCGTGACTGGCCGTTAAACAAAGCGATTTGATTTCTCATTTCCACCAACGCCAACCTTCCTCAGACTCAAGTCCTCACCCGACAACTATTCAGCGACCTGTTCACGGTGAACACGTCATGGGTAAATTGTGTCAAGGACAAGTCGTCATGCCGAGAGGTCCAGGGGGTATTATGTGTTAAAAAGCGTGCAACATGAACGTAAAAAGGCTTGTGGTTCTGCGCCTGCTGCGTTTACAGCATCAGGATAGCCAGACCAGCAGCGCCAAGGATGGCAGCAGGGGCGGCAGTGCGCATAGGCATAGCCTTGGAATTCGTTAGCACAAATCGTTACTCGGAGTGGCAGTACGTACAGCATCCTCGTTATCGCCACCGTCCTCGTTGTTGTCATCTTCGTTATCGCCATCCTCGTTACCGCCATCAGTCTCGGATGGGTCGGCAGACTCGGCAGCAGAAGATGCGGCGTCGCTGGCGGATTCCATAGCAGAGGAGACGGCGTCACTGACAGAGCTGGCAGCATCACTGGCAGAGGCGAGAGCAGAGGTGACGGCGTCGCTGGCATCACCCAGGGCAGAGGTGACGGCGTCGCTGGCGGATCCCATAGCAGAGGTGGCGGCGTCACTGACAGAACTGGCGGCGTCGCCAGCAGAAGAAGTAATGTCACCCAAAGCGGAGGTGACCGAGCCAACCACGTTGCTGGGCTCCATGGTGGAGGTAGTCCAGGCGCTACCATCAGAGGTGATGGTGGTGACAAGGGCGTCATCGGTAGAAGTGGCGGTGATGGTAGGGTTGCCCTCCTTTGAAGTTGTCAGTACGGGTCTCAATGCCCTGGGTGTGAGATGAACTTACGGAGCCGGTAGTGATCCCAACGCCGACCTCGGCGCACACCTGCAGGCCAGCACTGACCAGGGCTTCCTGGTCATCACCAGAGCAAGCCTCGCGAGCGCAGTCACGTAGACCGTAGGTGAAGTCGGGGTTCTGGCACAAGCACAGGAGGTCGGTATCCTCACAGCCAAGCTCGCGAGCCTTGGAGGCGTCGAGCATGCTGCGGCCACACTCGGCCTGCAAACTGTCAGTGTTTTGTACCAGTACCATCGTCTACGAGGGTACATACAGCGCAGCTGGTCAGATCAGAGAAATCCTGGGCGGCCACAGCGGCGACCAACGCAGAGAGGGCGAAAGCAGCGGTCTTCATGTTGACGGTTTGAGTTGTCTGAGAGGTGCGTTAGTTTGATTGTGTAGGGAATAGAGTGGCAGCGGTTGATGCAGTGAAATGTGAGGATTTAGTGTGGAAAACGAGAGGATAACTGGTGTCTGCTCGAGGCAGAAGTGAAAGCGGTGAATCAGGGCCAATAGCCCTCATAGATTCGAGCCCAGGATCAGGAGTCCAGATCAAATGAGCTGATCCGAGGTCTGGACAGTCCACGCCAGGCGAATTTCCCACATCCCGAGTGACGATATGCGAAGGTGATGGTGCGATGCAGACCGAGGAGCTGTGAGACGCCAACGGGCGGTGAAATCGAGCGGGAGACGACGTTTGAGAGGACAAGGCGGAAATTGTGTAACATCCTATCGCCTGAAGGTTGTCGATTCGCTTGATGGCAGTCTCTCACCACGAAGGCGATCGGCCAAGCTGGCATAGACAAACACAATGGGGTGGGTAGGTTGCTCAATGTTGAGGGAGAGTGGCTCCAGGTTGAGTGGCTGAACTTACCAAAAGAGTCGAATCTATTCGGTGAATTGGGCTTGTCGAAGACGAGGCTAGACTTTGGAAGCGATTACTGCTTGTTGATTTGCGCTGGAGATGTGGACGTGAAAGTGGTGAAAGAAGGGAGCAGACTTGAGACGAGATGGAGGAGGGTGGGCTTTAAGCGACGATGGGCGGTCTGAATGTGCGGGTACCTGAAGGCAGGAACGGCTTCTGCAGGCTTCGTCACTAGGTACCTACCTACACGTAGGCTATCCCTCTCCTCTCGCCATCTGTTGATGCAGCAACTCCTGCCACCGCATAGAGGGCTGTCGTCACTTTGTGTTGACTTCCAAGTTTGCGGCGGCTTAGACTGCTTGGCTGGTACCCGCAACAGGGCCAGCCACCCCTGCCTTTGCGCGTCCTTCCACCTCCCCTCCACGATCGCTCTGATTCAGTGGTCTTGGCGCGGCTACTCCAGACAGCACCCGATCAGCTTACGCTGCAACTACGTAGTACTAGCCAGATGCGGTGTTTTGCTGGGTGTTCGGTGCCGATCCGTAGGCGAACTTGGCTCATGTACGTACCATGCAAGGTTATTACCGTCCACAAGATCAAAAGCCTGAATGACGTTGAACGTCATCTGGGCTCCCGCAATGGGCCTGGCATTCATGCCGCTCTTCTTTGGTGGCTACCGTCTAAAACCTGCTTATGCGGATGAACGAGCGAACTTTCCCGGTAAGATTCAATAACCTCCAACCGGAAAGTCTGATCAATGTTTATCGACTCGGACGCTCAGAAACGGAAATCGAAACGCGGGCGACCCGCATCTCCCAGCCCAGCCTGTTGAGCAAGGGATCGACAAATAGCGGGCCCAATGCTCGGCGCAATACGCGCAAAACACATGTAGAGCACATCGTAGCGACGTAGCCAGCCGACGCTCACAACCTTCATTCGAACCTGGTTCAATTCCGAATAATCTAATGTAATTTGTGTCAGTCGCGGCACTATCTTGTTTGGGCACAATTACTCAACCACATCAGCTCTCTCATCTTATTACAATCTGTACAGCAACGGTTGACTGTTCAGAATGTCTTAGATTGTATTACGTCGGACACAGATTAAGCTGAGATCGCCAGCTCATTAGCTGCTTGGGCTGGCCCATTGACCAATGAAAACTTGCGAGGCTAGATTAGGCTGCCTGGCTTGAGCCTCACGCTACTGCGATAGCTGCCCGGCAAGCTGGCCTAGCAACTACACACCGCATCGGCGAAGTTCACTAAAACTTTTCATCCACGCCGCCGGCCCGTGAAGGCAGGCTTCCAACTTGCAGGCTCCCAATTTCAGCTACCATCGGGGGTACTCAACGTTTTGTGGGCTATGAACGCCGGCTTTCTTGCTTCGAAGAGAGGATGATTCAATCGTCACTACGGAGTACCGGTCCTCCGTAGCTTAGCTTGAGCAAGCTTTACCCCTGCCTTGCTGCCCAGCTGGAAGAATCTTGGCGTGGCGGGGGCTGAATGCAAGGCCATCATCAAGTTCAACAACCGGCTTCACAGGTCTTTCATTCAATATCAACCCCTCTGTTGCTAGATTAGTACAAAGCAGGTCGAAGAAGCGCCCCACCAGCACGTCGTTCTGCATATTTCCTCATGGTCTAGTCGACCTCGAAGTCGAACGTCAGCTCGAGTGTCGAGCCAGCTCCAAGCTTCCAAGCACTTGTATTTTCCTGCTAGTGAGAAGGAGCTGAATTGCTGCAGCAAACACGTACCCCTGAGCACCGGCCAAGATCTGCTAAAATCCGCTCTTCCCCTGCTGGAGTAATCTACGTGTGGCGGGTGTTACCCCTAGCATCGACGCATGATTGGGCCAAGTGTCACTCCGCAGTGATGCAGTGGCCTCGCGTAGGCCACGGCGGCCGAGTCACGATCTAGATGCTCTACTTTGCTTTTGCTGCGAGGTTGCAATCATCCAGTCAAGCTCCCCGTGGCCTCAGACCGCTCCGGTCCTACTGGCACTAGCGACATTGAGGAAGGCCACGGTTCGTAGTCCACAGTTCCTCCAAGCCGGTGCGGACATTGGGGATTGTTGCTCGTGGCGTTGACGACGGCTGACGCACAAGACGTTTCCTGCGTGTCGTCGTGTAGCTGTCGTCATCGGCCACCCGCTCGCACTTGCGACATGCCAGCGAGGATCGGACACACTGTCCGTACCATGCGTAACCTTGACCGTCCTAATCGAGACAGTGTTGTGGTGTCGGGGAATACCAACAAAGCACTCGCTGGCCCCTAACGTTAAGGAGCCCAAGGCTGGGCAGACATGGCCAACGGTCCTGGCGTTTCTATCACGGGCTTTTTGAAGCCTTCCTTTACTAGTCGACACTTCCGTTCGAGTCTGGTCTCTTCCCGATGGTGCGCCACGCCTAGCGTGGCACCACCAGACCGGCGAATGTTCCATTTGTACTCATAGTGCGGATACTTCGTACGACCTATCACCCTCGTATCATCAAGCATGTCTCAGTCACGCTGTACCCCATTCTTCTTATTTCCAATGTCGGCAGTGGCAAGCCGCCTATTATGACTACTCTCGTCGCCATCGACAAGAAGGCTAACGAGATTGGTACATGGCATTCAGTTAAACGAAAGGTCTTGTTCAACGGGACAAGATCATTCGCATGTGACACATACGACATAAATTGGAGGTAAACATGTGCCCCCGGATGTTTCTGTATGATCCGGGAAACAGTGCTCCCGAGCTTCATAATTAGGGTTACCTAATGGTCTTGCACGGACCGTGGCTGCTGCGCCTGGCCATTGGATTCGATCTGCTGTTGTTGAGAACGAGGGAGAAGGTGGAAGAGTTTCTAATGAACATCGTCTCTAAGGGACAGTCACATAAGTACGACGGAAAGGATGTCGCTTGTTCACTGCTCCTGGGGCGTTGATAACTGAAAAGATAGTTGACGCGACGAAGTATCCCTGTGTCCTATACCCAAACGACCTTGAATTTCATCAACAATTCCAAGCACCGATGATCCTGTGCAGTTGACCTGTGCTGACTGCGCTCGATCGGTATCACGTCGAAATCACGTACATAAGAAATACAAAGGGCAATTTCGCTTCGGTTTGCCCTTCCTAATAAAAGTCCAGTTGCCATCCCGTCGTTCACATTTCATCATCCATTACATATGCACTAGCCAACCTGAAAACAGCGGAAGCAGCGACTGCCTCAACCACTGCACATCACGCATGACTCAGGATTCTCAATGCTACCTGTCGCAATGTTAGTACTCATCTTGATATTGAACGCCTTTGAGACTTACAGGCCAGAGCGGCGTCAGAGTAGATATCTCGCTCGCGGTCCTCATTGTCGCCGGTCTTATCCTCGTCTTGGTTGCTCTTTGCTTGGGGGTCTCGCAGCTCCTCATCCTCAACCTTCTCGACAGGTTCGGTGGGCAGCGCGCGTGGACTGTCACCCTCAGCAACGTCTGCCTTCATAGCAGCAGACTTGTTGGGCGACGCAGCAACACGCGATGTGGTGGCGGCACCCAGAGCGGGCGGCGGCGTTGTGCTCGGCGTAGGGATCCCATTTGAAGCGGTCAAGCCATTGGCAGAGCCTTCCTTAGAAATGCTAGCACGAGGAACAGCTGACACCGAGGACATGAAGCTAGATCCAGAGGGAGGGGCACGCTTCTTCATGGGGCGGTCCCGGGCGACGTTGGTGTCATCAACCTTCAGTGCCGCCTGATCGACTGTGAACTGAATGGGTGCCGCGGCAGCCTGCGTACGCAGATAGTACATGCCAGTCTTGAGACCGAGCTTCCATCCTGCAAAATGCATGCTAGTGATCTTACCCATGGTGGGATCCTTCATGTGGATGTTGAGCGATTGCGACTGATCGATGAAGGCACCACGGTCGGCAGCCATCTGGACGACAGTGCGCTGGGAGATTTCCCAAACGGTCTTGTAGAGCTGCTTGATGTCATCGGGAATATTGGGGATGTTCTGGATAGAACCGTTCTCGGCAATGATGCGGTTCTTCATGGCATCAGACCAGAGACTCATGTCGACGAGGTCCTTCAACAACCAGGGGTTCACGACCTGGAACTCACCAGCCAGGACACGGCGTGAGTAGATGTTGGAAGTGTACGGCTCAAAGCACTCATTGTTGCCCAGGATCTGGGAGGTACTGGCGGTTGGCATGGGGGCGACAAGAAGCGAGTTGCGCACACCGTGTTCCTTGACCTGCTCCTTGAGAGAGTCCCACTCCCAGAGATCAGAGGGCGTGACATTCCACATGTCGAACTGAAGGATACCCTCCGAGGCAGGCGAGCCCTTGAAGGTAGGGTAAGGGCCTTGTTCCTTAGCGAGCTCCACAGACTCTGTCACGGCAGCGTGGTAGATGGTCTCGAAGATCTGCTTGTTGAGCTGACGGGCCTCCGGAGACTCGAAAGGCATGCGCAAGGCAAGGAAAGCATCGGCCAGGCCCTGAACACCGAGACCAATGGGACGGTGACGCATATTGCTGTTGCGGGCCTCGATGACGGGGTAGTAGTTGACGTCGATAATCTTGTTCAAGTTGCGAACGACGACACGGGTGGTCTCGTGCAGCTTGTTGAAGTCGTAGCAGCCCTCAGTGTAATCGACGAACGCAGGCAAGGCCAGAGAGGCCAAGTTGCAGACGGCAACCTCATCGGGTGCGGAGTACTCGACAATCTCGGTGCAGAGATTTGAGCTGCGGATGGTACCAAGGTTCTTTTGGTTGCTCTTGCGGTTGCAAGCATCCTTGTAGAGCATGAAAGGGTTGCCAGTCTCAGTCTGGGCCTCGAGGATCGAGTACCAGAGCTTCTGGGCACGCATGGTCTTGCGGCCCTTGCCCTCCCGCTCATACTTCTCGTACAGGGCCTCAAACTCCTCGCCGTAGCAGTCAGCCAGGCCTGGGCACTCGTTGGGGCACATGAGAGTCCAGTCGCCGTTCTTTTCAACACGCTTCATGAAGAGATCGGGGATCCAGAGAGCCAAGAAGAGATCACGGGCACGGACCTCCTCCTTGCCGTGGTTCTTTCGGAGATCGAGAAACTCGAAAACATCGGCGTGCCACGGCTCCAGGTAGATGGCGAAGGCACCAGGACGCTTGTTTCCGCCCTGGTCAACGTAGCGGGCGGTGTTGTTGAAAACACGGAGCATGGGAACAATACCGTTCGAGGTTCCGTTGGTACCAGCAATATAAGAGCCAGTAGCACGAATGCGGTGGACGTTCAGACCGATACCACCAGCAGTCTTGGAGATCATGGCACAAGTCTTGAGAGTGTCGTAGATACCATCAATGCTGTCGTCCTTGATATCAACAAGGAAGCAGGACGACAGTTGTGCTTGAGGAGTGCCGGCATTGAAGAGGGTAGGGGAGGCGTGGGTAAATGATTTGTTGGACATGAGATTGTATGTCTCGATGACACGCTCAATGTTGTCACCCCAGATGCCGACGGCCACACGCATGATCATGTGCTGGGGACGCTCAACGATCTTGCCGTTGAGCTTGAGGAGGTATGAACGCTCGAGAGTTTTGAAACCAAAGTACTGGTAGTTGAAATCACGGTCGTAGACGATGGCGGAGTCGAGTTCCTCCCTGTGACGCATGACGCAGTCGTATGTTTCTTTCGATATCATGGGCGAAGGCGTGTCGTTCTTGGGGTTGACGTAGTGATAGAGGTCAGCGACAACAGAAGACCATTGCTTCTTTGTCTGTTTGTGGAGGTTGGACACGGCAATGCGAGCCGCGAGGATAGCGTAGTCGGGGTGGGTGACAGTCATGTACGCCGCAGTTTCGGCAGCCTAGAGAAGGTTAGATATCGTGTAGAGTCAATTGAGCGTGCAAAGTCGCGTACAAGATCGTCGAGCTGAATGGTGGTCACACCACCGTAGACACCGGAGATGACTTTCTGGGTGATGGCAACAGGATCAACGTGCTCAGTGTCGAGGCCATAACAAAGCCTCGACACACGGGCAGTGATCTTGTCAAACTGCACGCGCTCCTGGCGTCCATCTTTTTTTCCTGTCAGCTTTCTGCAAATCATATTGATGGACAAATGTACATACCGCGCTTCCTGACGAACATGGCCGCGATGTGTGTGAGGCGCCGACGAGGCGACTGCAACTTTGGCTTGAGTGGTAGCGATATGAACTTGGCCGTAGACACAAAGTGGCAGGCTATAGAGTAAAGAGGCAACGGCGTAGCAGGTGAATGCTAGAGTCCGGAGAGGGAGTATGCAGTTTCGTGGTGAGAGTTGTTGATGGAGAGGGAGGAAAACCGCGCCTGGACGATGGTGGATGGAAGTACTTTATGCAAGGCACGCGTGGCAGACGCGAGAACGCCAATTTTTAGCGCGACAAACATGGACGGTCCACTGCCCTGGCTGCCATGCAACCCATTTAATTACCGTACCAGCCTGGCGAGGCAACGCAGCTGCCCCTCGGCAACCTTCACTCGGAGTCCGAGCCATGGGCTGGCCATGACTCATTCGTATCAGCAGGATCGTATATCTCTGGGCTAGGGATCACATCAATTCACTTGTGTTGTTACAATATTCACGCGTCTCCCTGAAGCAGAACGTTCAAATCCTCACAATCCAATAGCGCGTCAATCCTTGCAGGTGACAGACACAGGCAACTTGAGCGGGGCAAATAGGCGATGACAGAGTCGCGCATTCACGTGATGCTGATTAATTGCTTCACCAAAGGACACTAATCCACTTACATGCTAGTGGCAGTGCCTTGGCTCATTTTGGCGATGCAATGGAAATCTGACCTTCAGCGAGTCGATAGCTTGAGTACTTTAACCTTTGACACCAATTGGCATACTTGTGATCTCTCTATTTATCTCTCTTTTTTTTTATTCTTTTTTTTTTTTTTTTAATTCGAATGCTGGCGAGAACAGCTCCTCGACTTACGCTGGTATCAGTCAGACAACACCCTCAATTTTCACGGCTGTCGCAGTCCGTCTGTATGGGTTCACAAACGCCTGACGTCAAGTCCGTAGGGCCAACCTACAGCCCTCGGTACATCGATGTTAGTGCCATGCGAAATGTTCGTACAACTTGGGCTGATCACTGCCTCCAGTAGATTGGAATCAACCTGGCAGATCCCATCTTCCGGGGCAAGCAACACGGCAAGCAACGACACCCCGATGACCTGGCAGGCGTCATCGACCGCGCAAAACAAGTGGGCTGCGTGAAACTCCTGGTCACAGGATCAGACTTCAAGAGCTGCCGTGATGCGCTCAACTTAGCAGAGGAGTTCCGTACGATGCCGCTCGCGCCTTGGAGTTACTTGGAACTGACCGTGAAACAGCTGGCACGGTGTATGCCACTGCAGGGATCCACCCATGCAGCTCTTCAATCTTCTCCTCAAAGCTGCCTCACGCCAATACCACCTCTGAGCATTCCACTCCTTGTGATCCAGACCCTAACGCACCTGTGCCAGAAGAAGAACAGCCATGTCCGGAGAAGTCTGCCAACATCATTGCTGACCTGACCACCCTACTCGCCGAGGCCCGAAGTGAGGGAAAACAACACCTCGTGGCATTCGGTGAATTTGGTCTCGACTATGATCGGCTGCATTACTGCTCTCGGACGGTGCAATTGCACTCCTTTGCGGCGCAGCTCAAAATTGCCGCGTCGTTGGAACCCCAGCTGCCCCTGTTCTTGCACTCGCGTGCCGCACATGATGACTTTGTCCGGCTGCTGAAAGAGGCCTTTGGCCCCAAGCTTGAGAAACTAGAGAAGGGTGGCGTGGTCCACTCCTTCACTGGCTCGGCCGAAGAGATGCGCGAGCTGATGGACCTAGGCCTGTACATTGGCATCAACGGATGCAGCTTCAAAACCAAGGAGAACTGTGACGTCGTGAGCGAGGTCCATCTTGACCGCATCATGCTTGAGACAGACGGCCCATGGTGTGAGGTTCGGCCAAGTCATGAGGGGTACAAATATCTCATTGAGAAGAAGGAGCCGGTCGAGAACGGGTCGGGACCTGCGCCGGAAAAGCAGCAGCAGCAAAAGTCCAAGAAGAATCAAAAGAAGGAATCGGAGATCTTTGAGCGCTTCAAGACGGTCAAGAAAGAGAAGTGGGAAGAGGGCGCCATGGTCAAGGGCCGGAATGAGCCATGCAACATTGAGCGCGTTGCCAAAATCGTCGCGGGGATTAAAGACGTACCCGTGGAGGACGTATGCGAGGCCGCTTGGAGGAACACAGTCAATTTGTTCGATGTAGTAGAATCGTCCTGACGGCTAGCAACAGCACGAAAGATGTGGGTATCATAGAAGCATACATACATAGGCCTGGGCGATGTCATAACCCAGAGCCTTTGAATCCTCGTATCCGCCCGTGCCTCACAACGCCCATCGTCACACCTTCCTCCCCGGTCATCCAGCCGGGCATTCTCTCGCCGTCGACAATACCAGCTTCCACGAGTTGTCTGATACCAGCGAACACATGAGAGCCAGTGAACGCGATCTTGATGGGCGGTGCCCATGTTGAAGATGCTGTGGCGTCAGCCGCCTCATCGTCCAATGTACTCTGCGCCTGCAGCAGTACCGTATCAACTTTGCTTCGTCGCCTAGGATCGTCTCCCGATCGTCCATCGACATCATCTTCCAAGTCGCCAGTGAGGTCTTGCTGTGGAAAGGTGTCTTGGAGGACAACTTCGACCCGTTCCACACCTCTTCCGTCATCCATTGTACTCGAGCCCCCGAATCTCGCCTCCGCAACAACCTTGGCGCGTTTGTCTTCTTGCTGAGCCTGGTTCAGCGGCCATTCTCTCTTGCGCCCCTTCGAGTCGTTCTTTGAGGATGATGGCAATGTCAAAATAGAATCGATGGGGTTTTTCTGCTCTTTCTCGTTCACGTAGATGTTCCAGCCTCCGCCGGAGGCATTCGTCCGCCCCGAACCCCTCTTGTCCAGCAGAGCCCACAGATTTCGACTCTGCAGATTTGTTGATTTGAGAGTATATCTCTCTCTTGGCCGGGATAGAGCTTTGGGCACACCTTCGACAATCAGTGTTTGCAAGCTTTTTGAATCTCCGGGTACAGTGCCTCCAGTGGCCGTGGGCCTGGAGACGTATATAGCCGGTGCCCCATCTGGGAACGCAAGATATACCGTTTTCGAGCCATCAAAGCTCGCTTCTTCTTGACCAGAGTTTTTTGCCTGGAGGGCGTTGCTGTCATTGACCCCAAAATGGACAACAAAGATTCGCAGCAGCAGCACAGGTAAGTTTGCCGTTCGATGAAAATGATAATGTGCCTTGACGTCTGGCAGGATCTGATCCTGGAGTTGCTGTAGAAACGTCGCAGGATGAAAGCGCGGCACCCTGAGGCTTTCTTTGTCAACTTTGAGGACTTCCTCGTCCTCTTCGTCGGTGCTCCGTGTAGGCGGCTGTAAAGGCAGAATCTGATACGAAGACCATCGTTGGGATGTCTGATGCTCGTCCAAATACGCGAAATCTGCCATGGCCAGTTGGAACAATGTCAGTCCATGCCTCCAGTCGCCTTCCGTGATCCTGCTGACTACATCTCTCTTCGATCCCTTGAGCTGGCGCATGTTTACGTAGAGTTGCCGCAGTTCGTTCACCGACCGACATGGCGGGTACAGATCGTCCATATCCTCGTCTTCCTCATCTCTCTTAGGTAGCAAGTAGGGTATCGAATTTTGGATGGCATATTCGTCGAGCCAGTCAAGGGCAAGGGAAAGCAGGGCTTCGCGGGAGAGTCGCGCAAGAGACTTGGTCACAGATGGGTGAGAAGTGTTGACGCGAAGGGCTGATGGTAGTCGTGCTTTCATCGGCACGGATAGCCGGGGTGGCATGGTGATGAAGACAGTGATCAGCGTCACGCAATCGTCGTCGTCTGGGCGCGCCAAAAGCAGCAGGCGGTCCCGCTGTGAAGAAGGCCGGAAGGTTCACCACATCATCACGAGCAACGCGTCTAAATTGGTCTTTGGGGCGCGTCAGGTCCAGGGTAGTTGATTTCATTTTGTAATGGGGGACCGCGGGGTAATCAGACCAGGCCCCCAGTATACCTTTGACGAAACGCGCAGTCCCACGATGGTTAGAGCTGGAGTCAAGAACAATAGCGTACGGAAAGTTATGTGAATATCAGTCGCGCCATTTCTTAGAGCAGTAGCGAAGCACCACAGTCAATCCATGACCGGATGTCTGCGCGGGCGGACTTGTTGAGTGGACTTTGTGAACACCCGAGATGTAGATGGGCTTGCGTCCGAGCTGACGAAGCAGACAATTCTAGGGGCTCTGTTCGGTGCCAAAAGTGGCATGCGGACTGAGGCACGTTAAGATGCTTAGAAATCACAATATCAGGTGTTCCCCTCACTGTTACCGATTGGTGGTATTGTGCGTTGTCTTCGAAGCTGTGCGGATGATGTAAAATAGTTCCTAACGAGTTAAATCATTCTACATCGGCGCATAATGTAGTCAGTATAATAGAGACACGTCAACGATTCATCACCACTGCCGGAGCAAACGACGATCAGGAGCGGAAGTGATGCCCATTTTTACAGTGAATCGTCATAGATGATATTACGGTGTCAGTAGAGCCACAGTGCGAATTAGAGACGTGGGGCATCGCCGCATTTGAAATCATCCACTCTGGAAATGCGGCCGAGGGGCGCACAACGTTGGCGGGGTAGGTATTTTGAACAAATTGGATCTTGAAGCGGTCGACGGAATCGGCAACAGGAACAACCCTTGATGCATTCGGTTGTCTTTGGTCTCTCCATGTCAGTGCTGACCAATGCATATAACCAACGAAACCAGCCCAAGCTGCAGACTTGCTGCTTGTGCGCAACAGCCCAAATTGCAGCATAGAAGTGTTCCCAGCAGTAGGTCAACGTGTCAACAACGGTGTGAACACAACAGTCGAGCCTTAAAATACAGTGATGACCGTTTTCGAGCGCACAGCCCTGGTTGGCGGTCCCCGCCCTGCTTGAGCGCCACTTAGTAAGCAAGTGTGAAGGGTACGTACCTACAGGCTACGCACTGGTCTGGATCGCCTGGAGTGCCTGGACACAACCCCTCTGAGATATTTGAAAGCACCGTACGCATAACACTGTGCGTTTTCGGCGCATCCGGCCCACTGTCTCATGCTTAGGCTGTCACAGAGAAAAGCCGCAACCTGCAGGCCCAGCGCATGCCCATACCGAAACAGAACCGGACAGACTCATCAACCCAGAGGACCCTCCCGCCACCAATATCCTGAACTCTCCCCATCACCAACCCATCGTCGGATACACACCTACAACGACGACATCACGATACACGTTATTCCATCTCCACCGCGACGGACCATTTTCAATCGACGATACTCTCAGCGCGTACATCGATCTGCTTGTCCAAACCCCTGCACTGCCGCGTTCGCAGACTGCGCTTGGTCTCAGCAAGACTGGCAGAACCCGACTCGATCAACGGCACAGGTTGCGACACCGTACACCTTGAATGCCTGGACCCAACAAGAAGCAAACGACGACAGAAATGGCGAACTACCACGGCCGCAAGGCACCCAACGTGTCCCAATACATCCGGGACCTGAATGCGATCAGTCCCCAGGACAACTCCCCTCGCGACGAGGGCTTCAACCTGGACGATGAACTGTTCACTTTCACCAACACACAGTTCTTTGACCTGGACTCTGGTCAGAACACGGACTTCCAGGCGCCGCCCGCCAAGTCGGACCCTGCTGCGACACCTGCGGCGGAGGATCCGGCTTCGGTGATGGGGGATATTTCGAACATGGACTTTATGAATGGTGGGTGATTCTCTTCTGCCTTTGCGCTGCAGTTCTGTCACCAATATGTCTTGGACATGTTCCACGGTTGTGTTGGGCTCTCATGCCCGCTGCTCACTCATCATCTGGCCCAAGCTCCCCGAAAGTCACTGTCACAACAGTTCCCTCAGTTTTCCCCGCAAGAAGCCCCTACGAGCCTACGCGGCAAAGAAACAATCCCCTCCTGTCAATACAGAGAGACCTCGGTATCTGGTTGCATCCTGTCCCCTCCACCGCGAGCGCGGTCTCAGTGGGGTGATGGGTGACGGGTGAGCCGCTGTGGATGACAAATCCCGGCGATGTCGCAATATCCCGTGATCTGCTCCTGATCGCCCTCGTCCGCTATCTCAGCGGAAGTGCAGCGATCACCGCGTCGATTTTCTTGGACGGCCCCCCCTTCTTCCTGCTCTACGACATCGATCAGTTTCTCATTTGACAATGGTCGCCCCCTCACCTCACTGTCATCATGGCGTGAGCCATCCTCGTCTGCGCTCGCTTGCTGCCGGCGCCTGTCGTGACCTGAGTATCGACTGACATATCATGGCAGGAGAATTCAACTTTGGCGACTTCAACGCCTATCAGGCTCCTGCCATGGGTGCCTTCCCCCCCGCGGAGAGCACCCACAGCTTTCAGCCTGTCCAACCCAGCCACGGCCCAGCCTTCCCGGGTCAGGTCCACCCAGCACAGCCGTCTCAATTCCAACAACCCACTCCTGTGCGCGCTGGTGACAAGAGGAAGTCCAGTGAGATCACTTCTACTGCTAGCACTCCCGGCCACCCTGCCAACCTTGAGGAGGCGTCTCGTGTAGCCGCCGAGGAGGACAAGCGCAGGCGCAACACCGCCGCCAGCGCCCGTTTCCGCATCAAGAAGAAGCAGCGCGAGCAGGCCCTCGAGAAGTCCGCCAAGGAGATGAATGAAAAGGTTGCCGGGCTGGAGAGCCGCGTATCGCAGCTCGAGACCGAGAACAAGTGGCTCAAGAACCTTCTTGTGGAGAAGAATGAGGGTAGCGAGGACATCACAGCTCTCTGGAAAGAGTTCACAAAGCACGCCAGCCGTAGGAGTCAGCCCGAGACTGCTGGCACAGACGGCTAGTCCTCCGCCCTTGTTCTGGACTCGAATTGGAGGTTAGGCCGGTGAAGGGTCCCCTTCTGACACTTTGCACTTGCAGGTTGCATAATTTCTCAAACAGGTGGGAGGTAGATGAAAGATGGCGTTCTGGGAGGAGTCACGGGTTTCCTATTGGAACCAGATACACTGGCATGATACAGACGGTGCTGGGGATACTACGTGCTTGTAGGCACAATGATCGGACGTATGATGTCTCTACGAAGCCAACGATGGCGTGCTGTTACTGATCTACATACTGCCGATAAAGATGATGAAAAGCTGTCTTTGTCGCTTGTCAAATCTGCCGCAATTTGATTGAAAACGATACCATTTCTAGTCCTCCGCCGCCGCCTCGTTGTTTTTCGCCTTGAGTTCGTCAAGCCGAGCCTTGTTCCGCATCTTGAGCAACCGCAGCGTCGTCTCCTGCTCATGCGTAGTCATCGTTTCCCAATTGGCGACCCGTCCCGTCGTGCCATCTCTGTTGACGACCAAGGGTCCCAACTGACTCAGCTTGGCACTTGCGTCCCCGTCGCTCATGTCCAGCGTGACACCCTGGCCCGGTGCAGGTAATCCTTGGGCCTTGCCCTGCTGGCCATGGCCCTCGCTATGAGTATCATCCGCTGGCTTGCTACTGGAGGCATACCGCCGTGGCGTGCAGTGCGGCCACGGACGCGGGGTTTGCAGGACGACATGAAGCCGGCGTGGCGATTGGCTGATGACGCGGGGGATGAGCATTGCGTGGTTAGAGGTCTTGCTGATGAAATTCGTTGGATGTATCCGCGAAATTGATGCTGTTTTGGGGTGGTGAGACCGCAGGTGGCGTCGGTAAGGAAGGGCAAAGCGATATTCAATTGCTCAAACACTGCACTGTGGACTCTTGTGCAGGTTGGTTTGAGCTGATCTAGATGGACCTGGCGGATTCGAGCACGACGGACGCCTGCGAGTGGTTGATGGAGAGCATGAAATTTGAGGGTGGCTGAGATGACCCATGTCTTTCTAGACTAGGGGATGCGCGAGCCGGCCAGGAATACCGTATGCTGTCCCTAGACTCCCTACCAAGGCGATCCCAAATTCCTTGTTGGTGCATGAGATAAAAGACTGATTGACCTGACCATTAGGTTGTCATTATCTCGGCAATTTTTGAAGCTTTTGGTGATGCCTGCACTCAACTGGGGTTGCGTCAGTTCAGCTGGTTCGAGCACTGGTGGGACCGCTCGAGCATGATCGCAACTTCGCATGTACGAGTACACCTGTATTACATGCCAGTTATGCTTAGGAACCTTTGTATGCAGCGTCAATCATGTTCTCCCCTGGTTTCTGTAGGTATCTCTATGAACTGTTCGAGTTTGGCTAAGTGCTTAAGTAGCCAGGCGGCTGGATCGAACTTGTGATGCCTGCAACATGTAACTACAGTGTAGCTGTATGCAATCTGAACCCTCTCCCACTCTGTCTTGCAAACATCGTCCCCTTTTTCTACCCCATACTTCTATGTCGAGCGGCGGTACCTGTAAGAAGTCAGACAAGGAACTCTGCAGTTGATCAAAGAGCCAAAGCAAATTACTTGTTTACAACGCGCTCGATAGCGTCGAGACCCATCTTCAACACGTCTATCCGCGGTCCATACGAGAAGCGGACAAAGTGGTGGCAGGGACTGTCAAACAAATCCCTGCGACGCGAGGGGTTGAGATCAAAGAAGATACCCGGCACAACAATGACCTTCTCCTCCAGACAGGCCTGGAAGAAGTTCAGGCCGTCGGAGATGGCGCCGGGTAGGCCCTCGAGGTTGAGCCACAGGTAGAACGTCGAGTCGGGGACATACTTGATGACGAAGCCCATCTCACGCAGGCGGCGGACGACCATGTCGCGCTTGTCGCGGAAGTGACGCTGGAGGTGGACCATCTCGGCATGGACGAGAGTAGGTTCCAGCATGGGCACGGCGGCTTCTTGGAAGGGGTGAGCGGCACCGCCATCGAGGTAGGAACCGCAGGAGCCGATACTGTGGGTGTGTTAATTCAGAGTCTTCGATGAGTAGTGGCAGCAGCGGCTCGAACTTACGCAGAGATGTACTCCTTGGGGCCGAGAATCCAAGCGATACGCCATCCCGGCAAACGAAAGCGCTTGGTCAGACCATCGATGATGAGGACGTCGTCCTCGTCGACGTCCTGCACGTTCTCCGCGGCCGAGATGGTGCTGCCGTCGCAGTTGCTGGTGTAGTTGTAGCCGGAGTAGAACTCGTCGCTGATGAACGTGGCGCGGCCACGGCAAATGTCCTGGATCTCCGCGAGCTCGGGGTTGGCCACGACACGACCGGTGGGGTTGCGCGGGTTCGAGGTGAGGATGACAGAGGTACCGCGGGCAATCTCCTCGGCGATCTTGTCGGGGTGGATATGGTACCCATCCTCCTCTGATAGAGGCACAGGTATAGCAGCGAACTGAGATAATTAGCAATTGGCATGCCGCCCCCTTTTACAGTAGGAGACGTACATTCTTGAACAAGCTCAGCATCTCATTGTAAGCTGTGTAGTCGGGCAGGAAGAATGACAGGTACGCATTGCCGAGGACAGCGGCAATCCGGATCAGTCCGGCCCTGCCACCAGGTACGATAGCTACATTCTCCCAGGTATATTGGCTTTCCTTGCCCTTGCGATGCGTCTCATTGTAGAGCTTGGCAACAGCCTCTCTCAGTGGGCGGATACCGGCGGTGGGACCATACTCGCGGCCGGCAACGGAGATGTCGATAGTCTTGGGGCGCTCAAAGCAGCCCTCGATGTCGTCCTCGACCTCGGGGGCACCCTGACCCAGGTTCGCCCAGCTGTCGGGGTCTTCGAGGAAGCCATATTCGGAGGCGCGCTCCGTGCACCAGACGACACCAGTGGAGGAACGCGAGGCGTCGAGGCCTGCGTGCGGCATGTGGCCCTCGTGGGCATTGCGGAATTGGCGATGAACCTTTGACTGGAGTTCTTGGCGAGGTCAGCGGAGCCTTCTCATGGAGTTCAAATTGTTGGCGATCGATCACACCGAAGGTGACAGAGGTGAGTGACATGGACGGTGGAGGGGTCGAGATGTGGGGGAGGGGTCGCCAGGATGTTGACGAGGTGCTAACGTCAAGTCGACGCAATGGTGTAGACTTTGCTGGGTAAGGTAAGGTAAGGTAAGGTGAGGTACTAAGGACGGTGTATCTATCTATCCATCCTTCGTCCATTTATGGTGCAGAGACTCGAGAGATTTGCTCCCGTCAAGGCAGTGAAGCTATCGTGTACATATAGACTCACCGTTTGCGCCTGGCTCGCCACCTATGCTGCCGCGCCGCACGACGGGCTTGGGGACGCCAGTGTGGCGGTTGATGGAGAACTTGCGACCGCTGAACGCCATGTTGTCGTCTTGCTGTGAGAGTGTCGCGTTCGGGGAAGCAGAATGTGGGTTTCGCGGGAATCGACCAGGAAGCGGAAACGGTGAATGACAGGAGGGAAAAAAAAGCTGGAGATCAACTTCAACGCAAGACTGGACTGGAGGACTGGGGGAGCTCGAGGTGCTGGTGTGCGGGTCCTTGAAGCACTATAAAGAATCCAAGCCGACTGACTGACTGACTGACTGACTCCTCACATCCAGTCTCTGCACGCCTCCAGTCGTCAGCCTGCAGTGCAGCAAGCAAGCTGGCAAGCGACATGACAGCCATGGGCATGAAGCGTCGCGCTCGGGATCCGGCACGGACACTTTGAGACAGCTGTGTACACATCACAATTTCGGGGCGACAGTGCTTCGTGCCTGATGCCCCTAATTTAGGATAGCTGGCAGTTTAATCGGCAATTGGCTGCGTGGCGCCGGGGCCAATTGTGCATTACTTTTCTGCTGCTGGGCTGCTATTCCACCCATGATGATCCGGCTGCTTCATGTCCAATCTGGAAGGCTTCCTTCAGCATGGCAACAGCTGCGTCACACGGTCACCGGCAAGTTCATTCGCACGGCCGAAACGCAAAGACGGTCAAGTGCCATGGCCCCTTTTCAGCGGTGACCAGTTTTGAAGCTCATCAATCCAAGGCGCTGATTCATCGTGGCAGCCCAAACCACAGTCGCTTGGCGCCTAATGCCGCGAGACCCCAGAGACCCCGTCCGATTCCCCGTTGATCAATCGAGCGACCCGGAGCGAGTGCCCACTTTATCGGTCAGGTTCCGGCTCTGGTCCGTGAAGACTGAAGCCCGATCGTGAGAATTCGACGCCTGCAGTGAAGCTAGGAACCGGAATAGCCCGACCTCCGATACGGCGGCAACACGAGCCATCGGGCTTGCCGAAGACTCAAAGTCATGTAATATCCAGGGCTAAATACGATCAGAATGGGAGTCTATAAAAATATCGAGACAATGAGTTACTTTTGACAAAGCCTCGTTCTCCAATAGACGCACCCTGGAAACGCCCACAGATATGAGCTCAGACTGGCCTTAGGGTAGGTAGATTGGACGCTTCGGTGCACAGGCCAAAGGCGCGGTCCGGGTTTGATACCGTGTCGTGACTATCCGTAGCTGGAATTGCGTGATCTTCGACGTAAAGTGCAGCCACGTGGAAGTGAAATGGCAATGCAGAGGCGTTCGTTAAGGCCCCAGGCATCTGATCACAATAGGCTGAGTCTTGACGCGACTCGAGGTTGTGTTCTGTGAGCCTTGTAGCCTTAGAGTGGCTGTGCACAAATGGTCCCAAGCCGCCGGGTAATTAGTTCGTGACCCACGCAGCCCCTCATGGCATAGCACTTGCACTAGGCGACTACAGCTGCAGTGCCCCTTTATTAAGAAACTCAAATATGCCCCTCAGCATTCCTACCAACCTAGGCGCTGCTCCACAGCCATCTCACTTGAGCTTCAAATCACCTCTAGTCAATAAGATTGGCGTCGCCCAGGAGACACTGCGCCTTGGACTAATCACGAGGCAGTCCAGTCATGATGCAGAAGGAATTCCATCATGATAAAATATGACGATGGAGATGGTCGCACAGAGTTGCTATTAAGGAAGGTGCTTCGCTGGAGAACAAAGGTCCTCGACCAAGTAGCACATCGTTCAACACGTCACCCTTGCAGTTATTGCTCGCTTGTAACACAAAGCCAAAGCACGTTCCGACCATTCAGTCCTCTCCTCGCCGAACCAACAGTGCCCTTCCAGTAGACATAAGTACCCTCTCTGGTAGCCAGCAACTTTTTCAACACTGAGATCAGGAACATATCTTGACTCAGTCGTCTACAAGCCTCACCCCAAGGACCACATAGTCCCCCAGATCGCCGCAACAAACCAAGGAACACGCATCACAATGTCCAGCATCATCGGGTCTTTCAAAAAGAGACTCTCAAAGAACTCTGGCGCCCAACCCGACCAACCCAACACCAAGTCTACCAGCTCGTCGTCAAACATGCAGGCACCCAATACAATGAACCCATTCCGCGGCGCTGCCAACTTGCGTCGAGCGCAGATGCCCACATCCAGTGGCATACCAAGCATCAGCGGTAAGTGTGGCTCTTTCAATATCATTGGAACAGAGTGCTAAACCTCGTCAGTAGATGCGCCTCCTCCAGCCTACGACGCTGCAACATCAAGCCCCCATGGTCTAGCTCCTCCCGTCATCAACCCTCCCCCACGCAGCTCCTCGCCGACGCCTAGCCAGGCCAGTCGCGCCTCGCGCATATCACATGCTAGCGTCACCAACGACAATGACAAGTTCGCCTTCCTGACCACCTTTGACACCGTTTTCCTCGTCGACGACTCGGCGTCCATGACCGGCACGCGCTGGAAGGAGGCACGAAGCGTGCTATCCAACATTGCCGACATTTGCGCACAGCGCGACAAGGACGGTATCGATCTCTACTTCCTCAACCACAACTCTGGCCGCAAGGGTGGGTCCGGGCAGGGCGACGGCGGCTACTACAACATCACGTCGGGCCGCAAGGCCGAGCAGATCTTCAACGAGGTCAGTCCACGGGGTGGCACGCCCACTGGTATTCGTCTCCGCAAGATCATGAAGCCATACCTAGACGAACTGGAAAAGGCCGCCGACATTGACGACGTCAAGCCCGTCAACATCATCGTCATCACCGATGGCGAGGCACACGATGAGCCGGGCGAGGTCATCAAGCAGTTCGCCAAGAAGCTCGACAGGTACGACGCGCCGCCTTACCAGACGGGCGTGCAGTTCTTCCAAGTGGGCAATGATTCGCACGCCACAGAGGCGCTGAGGGAGCTGGACGACGACCTCGGCAAGGAGGAGGGCATTCGTGACATGGTGGACACGGCGACGTGGTCTGCCGAGGCCGGGGTCCTGACGGCAGATGCGATCCTCAAGGTCGTCCTCGGCGCTGTTGTGAAGAGGCTAGACCGACAGTAGGTGTTCCGTTTGTATCGTGTTCAGCGCGGCGTTTGGGACTTCTAAGTTAGAGGCATCCTTCACAGGTTTTCAAAGATGGCGAGAGACTAGTTATCCCAATGGCAATGAATTTCCATCTATTCTGCTTTTAATCCGCAAAGTTCCGACTGTGACTTTCCCCCCATTTCTCTCCCTCTAAATGCTGTTTGAGATATTTATCCGTGCTCTTCTGCCCGTGTCGTGGGCAAGCCAGGTAAGTAAGTTTGATATGACCTCTTGAGACGCCAAAACAATCACGCAAAACGGAAGAATCGAATGCTGTCCATCTTGTTTTCCTCGGACCCAGAAATTTCCGGTGATACTAGCCGGTTCATGTGCAGTATGATAATACACGCGCGCACCCGTCCCCCAGTCGGGAGCGGGAGCAGGGTGCCCTGTGCTGTCGTAAATCACAAAATAAATGATACCTCGCCAGTGCCTTTTTTTTGTATTCTTCCGCTTGGCAATCAGCCCCTGCATCACTGCATGCAAATCACATCAGCCAGCGAGACTGAGTGGGCCGAGATGTTGAACCCCGTGTCGTTGCGACAAGTCACCACGGGCGTTGTCACGAGCGCCACCCTCCAGTGCTTCGCCTGCAGTTCCATGGCACCGATATCAGTGGGCCAGATAGGCAGCATGCTCTGGCAGCTGAACCGCGAGCCGATCTCGGGGAATCGAAAGTCAAACGTGAGACGAGAGGTGAGGATCTTGGAGGACAGGTCCCAGGCACAGACAGCTACTCGGTGAAGTGACTGGTACGCCGCAGATGGGGTCGTGCGATTCGTGTCGAGCAGGGGTTGGAGGGACTCCAAGAGGGAGGTGGCAATGTGGGCGGTGCGCGCGGAATAGAATGGGCCTCGCGGTTCGTTGGTCTGCATGATGCCGTCGAGAATGGCAGACTGGCGGTCCAGAAGAGGTTGACGGATAGCGGCGGTCAAGCCAGCCACCTGCGCCAGGTCATGCTCCAGGTCGATAAGCGCCCTCGTCGACTCCCGATCAGCGCCCTTCCAAGCGCCGGGGATCCAGACGAGGTTGACCACATAGTCGATGATCACACGGGTGACAAGACATCGCTTGTCTTGGGTGCGGGTGAGATGGACGGCCAAGTACGATGCTGCTTCGGCTTCGGAGAGCGGCAGGTACGTGCGCACCAGGACCATCCAGATGTTGGAACGCCAGATCTTCTCGTGCTCGCTGCGGGGCATAGCCTCACCGGCTTGGTTCTCGACAAAGTCGCGGATGACAGAGTAGAACTCGCCAATCTGTGTCGCCCAGGCAGATACGGACCGCTCGGTCAGATGGACCAGGGGCATATTGCAGACAGGCACATTGCGATGGACGAGGGCAGAGCTCGGCCCGGTCGGGGGATGTGTGGAGGGATCGAAGAGTTCCTGTAGCCGGGGCGTGTTGGTGTTGGAGTAGCGATTGCGACCAACAGTCTGCGAGCTATAGTCTCCGCGTGCAGAACCGTGTCCATTGGAGTGCGAATGATTGCCCAGCGAGGTCTTTGGGCGATGCTGCGGTACAAAGGGGTCAGCTAACTGGAACTGCTGCTGCGCACCTTGGAGGTCGGGTTGTGGCGTGGGAGCGCCGCGATACGCTCCAAAGCCACGCCGAGAGGGGGTCAAGGCCATGTTGCGACTATGACAGGGGGAGGTCATGCTTCGGGCCATGGCGCCAGTGCGGGAGTGCTGCGTGTCGGCGTGAGGGCCGTGATCCCAAGTCTGGAAGCGACTGCTGGGACCGGACGGAGGGTTCCGGCCAGGTCCGCTGCTGGCCGGTGTGAATGCAGCTCTGTGCACAGCCATCTGAGAACTGCCCAGGTCGTCTTCTCTAGATTGCGATGGATAGCCGACGGGGACCCTTGGTGGCAGTTGTAGAAAGTCACTGTGAGGCGGACGACCCATGTCTCCCTGAGGAGAGCGCTCCTCGTTCGGTGAGAACGTCAGCTTCTGCGCTATACCATTCATCTCCTCACCAGCCAGACGCAGCGAAGACAAGCTACGCTCAAACGCCGGCTTTTTGGGCAGCGAGTCCGCCATGGTGCCGATGGCCTTGGAGATGTGGCGCGGGTTGTCGTGCTTCATGACCCAAAGAGAACGACGATTGTTGACCTGGCCTTCGAGGTGGCATATAATTCCTTCCAGATGCTGAAGATGGTTAGCAAGGATCTTGTCGACAACCCCAATGCAATTCATCACCCACCTTGACTATGTCATTTTGGGTATCTGGCGACCCCCCGAGGCCCCTCATGACCCGAACGCGAAACTCTTCAAACTCCCCTTTGAGCATCTCCATATCTTGAGAGACCTCCCTGGCCACATTTTCTACGGCAGTGCGCTTGTCTTTCTCCGATACCAGCTCCTGCTTCAACTTTTGTATCGTGTCTTCAGATGTGGCTTTTACGAGGTTATGATCCAGACTCATGCGAGCGATAGACCTATCGGTATCGTCACTGTCGATCGTCAAATGAGCAATGGCGCCGACGAGCTTGCTCGTCTCTTGGCTCGTTACCTGCGACACCTCCCGCAGTTGGTCAATAATCTGTCTGCCCTCGACGGCAGAGACGCCAGGCATTCGACGGATCGTGGTCTGCAAGTCGGCCAGCAGACCTTGGGCACGTCGAGTTTGGACCAACGCGGGCTGGGCGGGTTTGGGTTAGTCGAACGTTCCGAGACAAGCCATGCCTACACGATGAGGAATGCTCACATGCTTCTTGCATATCTGTTTGACCTTTTCGTTGCGCGCCTCCTGGGACAGTGGAGCATGGAAATCGACCGAACACATGGCGCTGCTGTAGGTTTCCTTCTCGCTTTCATTATCGTTCTCTTGCCGCTTTCCATGCTCGGCAAGCATAGCCTGGGTCAGATTGTGTGTGAAGCCCGACGCGTCACTGGTACCGCTGGCTGGCATGCCGGCCATTCAAAAATATGAAGCTGGTTCTCCAAGGATGCGATGTGATAGAAGAGAACCCTTGTGGAAAGCTCCCCGTTGCTTGATGTGCGCGCTATGATAAGCCCGCTGATTCAGTCAGTATCCAACTCTGGCTACCTTCTGCGTGGCAGGGTATCATTGAATTCCCATGCTGAGAGAATGGCAGTGCTCCTCCCAAGTCACTGCCCGAAAGCAAGCGAACTCATGTAGCAGGGGTGGCAGAGTGAATGAGTAGGAGAGGAGCGATAGACTCACTTGAACCAACAACAGCCCCAAAATGAAGAACCCAAGACGACCGCCTTCTCTTGTTCACGACCGCCAGCGCGGAGTATTTCTCGAACCCTAGACAGAAATAGTTAATTCTGAATATCTCAGTGACCAGATGAGAAAGATGATGCTGGTGATATTCGGTCGCCAATGACGAGTAACGAGCGTTGTCCGTGCAGAAAGGAGAGTCACCAGATCAGAAAAAGAAGTGAAATAGAGGGGGAATGAGAAGAAAACAATCAGAGATTTAGCAGCTCAAGTGCGAGAGTATGACGGGGCCTGAGCTGAGGTTGAGGTTGGAAGCGTGAGGGTCTAGATCAAAGAGGCAAACTCCACCAGAAACAAGAGCAGAGACTTACCAGATGAAACAGTCCCTCAACTCGAAAACACTCGCAGAATGAAGACACAAAAATCTCTCATATGGGGCCAGGAATATTATGAACTTACCCTTGGTTACTTGGTGAGCGGTGTGAACAACTACTCGTGTCACACAGGACGCGACCACGCACTGTGTCGAGGCTCTTTGACAGCAGGTCGGAGTTGGCAGCTGTTAACGCCTTGGGGACTCGAAAGCTTGGATCCAAGACGTCTTCTTGTTTCTCGGCTTGGAGGCAACTGAAGCTAGAGGCACAAAATTGAGAACAACAGCGTCAGGGGTAACTCCAGCAGGCATGATGGTAGGGGCGGGCGGCAACAAGACATTGCATAATCTGTTCGCCGTAAAGATAAACAAGATCCAAATGATGGTAGGACGAGGAGAGTGCTGCCTTGCTGAGGTTGACCTGAGCCGACGTAAATGAGGACATCAGACCAGACGAGCAAGGGTCCGGTGATGCAGCACTGACGATTCATCGACCATCATGATCACAATCACGAGACTCAGGGGACTCAGAGTGGTACTATCGCCCAACTGATTCAGGCCGTCGGCTCACGCAGCTGCGTCGTGGTATGAGTATGCCTGATGGTTGGTGATATACGCACCTAAATGGAAAGGAATCATGCAGGGCATCACTTGGAGAGAATCTTGACTAATTGGAAGTATTACTAGGACAATTGCGCCAATCGCGGGCGAAAACAACTATTGACGAATAAGCATTTGCCCCGTCGGCAAGTCGTGAAGCATCCTAATGTGTGCGTATCAGTAGTAGGCGACAGTGGCAGTACGGGCGTAACCTGTGAGTTGTTTCCTCCGACAAACATGGGTCTCCTCTTGACGCGAGTGCAGCTGTGAGCGGGCACATTTGGATACCTTCTGCTTGCAGTCGAAGCGGTGCTTTGCAAATAGTCGGTGCGCCCTGGTGACTGTCTTGTCGAATGAGGAACTTAAAAGTCTGTCGCAATTCTTAGCCGTGTCATGTTGCCAGCGGACAGAACTTGCTCACCTTGAGCAAGAGTCCTACGATCTGACGGCGATCGGCCAGCAACATTAGCTCAAAATGCTCGAGAACGAGAGAACAGACTGCTGTAGACAGCATCCACAACGGGGGAAGCGTCGATCATGCGCCCGCCAAAGTATCTGCCGTTGAGACCTTTGATGGCATTTTCGCCGCCCTGAACCTTGTCGAACTTGAGGTAGATGTCTCCCCGGGAGTTGGGGTCGACCGAGATGTGCACAACGTGGCCGTACCGATTCTCGGCCTCGTCGCGCACCTCATCTTCCAGCTCCTTGACCCAGCTGTCACCCTCTTCCCTAGTGACGTTAGCATACCTGATCAATGTGCGTGAAGGGAACAGACGTACTCATTGGGATCAAACATGTTGTGAAGCACAACACAGCGGCTCGCCGTGTTGACATTGACGGGCAGCTGCTTCGTCTCGACCTTTGGCTTCACGGTCTGGCGCTCGTCGTTGCCCTTGCTGCCAGCCTCGTCAGTCCTGGCAAGCTTACGCATCAGCGCGTCTCGGCTGTAGTTGCTAAAGTTAACACCGGCGACGTCTGTATCGTCCAAGGCGCTTGCGCCACCGGTCTTCTCGTTTTCGCGCCCACCTGCACGGTCGAAGGCTGCGCTTTGGCCCCCACGACCGCCAGAGCCTGAAAAGGCTGAGCCCTGATAGTTTCCGTTGCTACCGCCGCCGCCGCCGCCATTCTGATCGCGGCCAGAGAACTTCTGCAAGAGGTTGGCAGTACTTTCAGGGGTGAACTTATCATTTCCAAGACCAACACGGATAGGACGACCAGCCAGATCAAAGCCGTTCATCTTCTCGAGTGCCTCCCGGGCTTGAACGGCGTCACGGAACCTGGTGTAGTTAGCACCAGAGTCGCCATCAAAAGAAAGTTGGCACTTACTGTACAAAACCATACCCACGGCTTCGGCCTGTCTCGTCCTTCTGAAGCTGGACGAATTCGAGCTCGCCAAAAGGCTCAAAGACTGCTTGTAAGTCCTGCTCGGTGACATTGAAGTGAATGTTGCCCACATAGAGGCGATGGAATGGGATCGAGTTCGGATGCCCTCCACTCTCCGTGTTGCGGGCCTGGCGGTTCTTTTCTGCTTCGGTAACCTGAACGATGACAGGGATTCCTAGAAGCTTCTGACCGGTGAGCTGCAGAGCCTGTGCGACAGATTCTTCGTTCTTGAACTCAACATAACCCACACTTTTGAGCGTTAGCATTTCCCTCCATACTGCACGACGCAAAAAACTTACCCTTTTGATCGTTGACTAATCCGATCCTTGACGATCTGGGCCTCGTTGACAGGGCCGACCTTTTCGAAAAACTCCTTCAGCTCGCGGGTACGCAAACGAGCGGCCAGCTGTTGGACGAACACGGTCCTCCGATCACGCTCGTCTTCCGTGGGCTGCACGGGGTCATCCCCCGTAGGCTCACGCTTCTCAGCGTCGCGCGCTCGGCCGTTCTCGTTGCGATCCGAGCCTCTGTCACGCCTGTCTCTTCTGTCACGGTCGTCACGGGGTCTGTACCGCCCGTGGGGCGAGCGAGACCGCGAGCGATCACGGTCTCGGCCACTGCGATAGTAATCACCGTCTCTACTCCGTCGTGAGCGATGGCGATCGTCGTCACGGCTGCGACTTCTGCGCCTACTCTTGTGGCTGCCTGTATCACTTCGCGGCGTGCCAACGTCAGGGGTACCACGACGGCTGCGGTGCGGGCTCAGACGATCCCGACGGCGAGGATCCCTCTCGCGGGTCCGGCTTCCGTCGCAGTGACGAAGGCGGTCTCTGTCGTGATCGCGGTCGCGTCGATCGGGCGCGTCTCTGATGAGATCGCCCGTGGTTTTGTTGGGGCTCTTCTGTTCTGGTGACTTTGCTGTGGCGTCGAGAAGCGCCTCCACGTCGATGCCGCTCATGATGATCTGTGGTCAAGTCAATGTAGTAAGCCAGATGATCTCAATGGTTCCGAGGTGAACTGCAGTCGCGGAGATGTCGAGTGGATTCGAGATGAGGCTTGGGGACGAGTCGGGTTGATTGATACTGGTGCTGGGTTCAGTGGGGCGGGGCGAGAACTTTTAGGCCGAACTACGTCACGTGACCCTGTGTAGCGCAGCACCGATAGGAGGTAGGGGCATTGGCCAGTGATTAAAGTACCTAGCCTATGCTACAGATGACATTGGAATCATTGACATTACCAGTCGCTCAGACAAGTCTGGATATTAAAGTAGTTGTTTAGGATTGAATTACAGCCATGAAGCCCACCCGGTATGGCCGAGGGGGTCACTGCCGCCCGCGGCCTCTTATTACAACGTGAATATATATGTATGCGTAGCAGGCTCTGACAGAGCCTTCATTAATGATGAGCCATGCCGACCCCTGGCAACCTCGTTCAGCCAATCCCCAACCTAGATCATTCGATGCATGTCTCATGTGTTACACGTGGGCAAAAATCTGCAGCACCTTGGTGCCTAGTTGGTCTTAACGACAGGGCGGAGCGTGGTACCAAAGATGTCGTCCCAGAACTTACTGGTGACGCCAAAGCCCAGCTCGTAGTCAAGGAAGTGGTGCTGGAGATGGTACTTCTTGAGTTGTTTGTACCACAGAGGAAGGTTCTGGTGGTGCAGGAAGTAGTGAGTCATGTCGTAAAGAACATAGCCAAAGACGCCACCAGCGTAGGCAGCGGTAGCGCCGTACCAGTTCCAGAAGATGACGGATTGCGCAAACTTCCAGAACGGCGCGGCGAGGGCGACAAACAGAGTCGGCGGCATGACGAGGCGGTACTTGTCCATGGGCAGGTAGTGGTGGATGCCATGGAGCAGGAAGTGCAGGGTGATACCGACGCGGTTGTCAGGGAGATATCTGTGTTCTGTTAGTCGAGCGGCTCATCGGAACAGATCTTCAGGGCTTACCCGTCAATGTGGAAGAGGAAGCGGTGCATGGCGTATTCTATCAAGGTCCAGAAGCACACCCCAAATACCCAATAACCGGCAGTAGCCACAGGACCGAGTCCCTGGCTCGCAACAGACGTGACGTAAATGACAGCCGGCACCCAGATGCTGGGTACGACCCACCATGGTGTCAAGGATAGGGGTTCCAGGAAGTTTCCGAACAAAGGTGCTGACTTGCCGCCTTTGTAGTGGCGAGGGCGGTGGACTTGATCAAGATAAAATTCCTTGCTGAAGCCGCTGTTCCAAAGCTGCATCAGAAGCGGTCGTTCCAGGTCCAGGAACTTGTGCTTCTTGTAGTCTGACGAAGCGTCCGTATCTTTGCTCAGGTCCTCTTCGCGAGACATTCCAGTCCGTGGGTGGACGAATGTGCTGGTCTCTGTGGCTCCATGACCTTCAGTGGTGCCATTCTGCAGCGACTCTGCCTGGGCCGAGGCAGACACGCCCACGGCCTTCCCGGGCAAGACGTATCCTACGAGCGAGTCATCGAGGATTTCGTAGGCGGCTTCAGAATGGGGATGCGAATCGCCGTCCTGGAGAATCTCTTCAACGTCCTTGCCCGCATAGTCCATGATCAAGTCGCCGCCACCTGGATGGTCGTTGAGAAAATCGGTCACATCGAACACCTTGGTCTTGATGGTCACATAGCACGATTTCTCGGTGTTGTGCGACTCGACTTCGCTGCGCGTGAAGGTGGGAAGTGTTCGGCCAGGCATGGTGGCGAAGGGGGTCGTCGCTGACGATGCGATTGGGTTGCAGCGGACGGAGAGTTTGTCAGGTCGAGCAAGAGGACGCGTTGATGAGGGCGCCTGGTCGATTGCACGGCGTGAATCAGGTTGAGCGAGTGAATACAAACTAGGAAGAGGTGTGGCTGGATAATATAGGAGCGAAACCGCGATGGAATCAAACGCGATCGACAATCCGATCAGGAGAAGGTGGGAAATTTTGGGAATTTAAAACAGGTGGAGTGATTCTCGTCTGGGCTGTTGGAGGCCAGGACAGGGGTTCAGTCGGATGCCGATGGCCTCTGTGGCACCACTTTCCGGCAAAACAAGGTGATACTTTGTTTTAATCACCCGAACTCGCGACTACTTGTAAAGTTCTGGTCAACAATTATGGACCAAGACATGCATCAACTATGGCTAGCTGACCGCTGGTCAAGGTGCCTGGCATTCAATGTTTCCCTAAGGCCGCCGTCCTGTCGCGCCACCACCGACTGGAGCAACAGAAAGCGATGGTTAAGCCTCCAACTCTAATCACGTTTGGCGCTATTGGCCAAGGCATCTGAAAAAGTAGTGCAGTATCAGTCTTTCGAAAAGCAGAACAGGTTGTAGGCTGTAACGTGAAGAGAAACTGACAATCCGACCCTTCCTCAATTCCATGTCACATGCAGATTAGGTGATCTCTTGATGCCGTCCGGAGTACCCCGTAGGACAAGATTGAATTACAAGTACGTTGCGGCAGCGTCCATCGTGGCTCAACATGGCGCAGGCGCAGCCCGGGGGCTTGGCTGTCGCCGCGTCGCGTCCCTCGACCCTGAAAGGCTTAGCGGCATGGGTATCGTCACCACCTGATCCAGGGTGTCTGCGTCACTCGCTTCAACAGATGCGGCACTGCGATTGGAGACGAGGGAGCACTGCATGAGTGTTACTTTAGACCCAAAGCTCTCCATCTCACACTCAAGCACATATTAAGCATACCTCTGTCGCTACCTTCAATTTTTATCATCGGCCAAGTTCCTCTCCAAGTCTCGACGGGCGGTTCCTGTCAACTTACTGGGTTGCCTGACGGCTTCGACCCCGCTACCAAAGCATCAATATCTGCAACCTACCCTGTCGACTACTTTGTGAGATGGCATCACTGGGCTGGTCACGAGGCTCTGGCCTGCTTCTGGCTATTGCCATTTGCTTAGTTGTGCTCCCTGGAAAAGCTGCGGCTTTTGGAGCAGGGAACATTCCTTCTATTGCACAAGTAAGCTCGCTGGAGTGATTCGTCATTGCTGGAGATTGACATGGTGCCAGGTTGAAGGACACAATTGGAGACATGGAGGTGAGTGTGGTTTACATCTCTCAATATGTCTTTACTGATTCCGAAAGACATTGAGGATACATTAGCTACAATTGCCTTTCTTCACGGGAAGAAGTGGTCTTCTTTGGCAATCAAGCGTGTCTACTTTGGCAATTTCTTGCGCGACTACTCCCAAGCGTTGGACGTTGGCACGCTGAAGAGTGTAAACGCCGAAACCCTACGCATCCTTGTCTGGGTTCTCTCCTTTATGGCCTTTGGCTATGCAACAGAAGAATTCGAGGTGACTAGCGAAAGACTTGGCGTTTACCGTGCTGAAGAGCACATTGACAACCCCCTGGGCTACGCAGATGGCTTGGATGCTCAGAAGTTTGACCAACGCCTAAGAGGACCTGTCATGCCAGTGGAGACTGAGATCGACATGAAGACCGGCATGAAGAACTACATTTGCAACGAGAGTGGAAACTGGCCCACGAGTGCTGGCTATATCCGATATAGCTTTGCGCGATGCATTCACTTTGGCAGGTTGTACACCAGCGGTTCAGACCGCAAGGGCAACGAGGACGATCTGAATGAGGCTCTTCGCTGCCTGGGTCAGGCATTGCATTGTCTTGAAGATTTCAGTGCCCACAGCAACTACACAGAGCTGGCCCTACGAGAACTCGGTCACCGCAATGTATTTCCCCACTGTGGAACACAGACTGAAGTGAAGATTCATGGAAAGAGGATCTACCCGCTAGTCACTGGAACGGTAGGTTTAGGCCCCTTTACAAAGACAAGTTCTGACACGGCCAGTTTGGTGCCGTGGACTTCATTCATAGTGTCATAGGTGAAGCTACCGATACCTTCACGCAGACCGAGGTCGACGAAGTCGATATTGCCTTGAAGAACGCTGAGAAGGGTGTCAGCATCAATCGAAGCGGTGGAGGAGATGGCTCGAGGGGATTTCTCGGCATTGGAGGTACCAGCTCCAAGGGTCCAGCTGACTTCATCGCTTTGGTGGGCAAACTACCCGGCGTGGGCGGTGGTTTCGCTACCCAGGCGCGCGATCTCCAGGCCCAGTCCGATGCGCAAGAGCGCGAGAACATGACGCGAGCAAGTGGTGGCTCCAACCAAAACATGGTGCCTGGCATGAGCCCCGATTTTGATCCCGTCAAGACGGCTGGGCGGATTTATCCCATCCTCCAATTTAGGGACAAGATTGTTAAAGCCATAAGTCGAGGCATCGCCAAGGTTCCTGGCCTCGAAAAGTTGTTGGAACACATCAGCGAGACACTGACGGCATTCGTCCTCGGTCTTCTCGCCCCTTTTGTCCGGCCCATCATCCAGCAGGTCTCTAAGACGCTGAAGGAGGGCTCATCTGGCCTCATTTCTGCCAGCGCGCGATCCCAGCTTGAGCCCTGGGACAACCCTCGATGCTCAGACCCAACCCACAGCATGCTAGCGAAGGATCACTTTACTAATATCCTCAATTCCTGTGCTGGCCGCGTGGCCGTCACTATCTTGCAATATGCCGTCCCGTAAGAACCCCCCTGACTTCACGAAATCACATCTGATGATTATAGGCGCGTCTTGTACGCTTGGGAGAACACACATGTCCCTGTCGACGAAGTGGTCAATGACGTCCTGCGGGCTTTCCACCATCCAGCTCTGCGCGACGAACGTGTGGACATTCAGCGCGACATGTTCAATACGGTTCGCAAGTGGGCTGATGAGCACCCACGCCGCAACCAGCTCGACCACATCCTCTCCTCGGGATCTGTGCGCAATGGCAAAAACCACGTTTTGAACCAGCAGCAGCACGGATCGAGAGACGGCCCTGACCACTCGGGTGAGCCATCGCATTCTCACGGCGCTTTAGAGAGCATGCTCGGGAAGTTTGGACACGGCAAAGTCTCTGGCTCGCTCTGGAACCAGGTCAAGACTAGGGATATGGATGCTATGGATGGCCACGACAACGCACCGATGCGCAACTCTCCTGTGCCACCTCCTCAGCAATTCAACTATGGCCAGAACCCCGACTATCAAGAGCAGGTACAGCCACCGAGCGGCTACCATGGGATCTCTCCCCAGCCAGGTCCATATGGATCTGGTTATGGCGCACCTCCCCCCATGAACCCACCTCCTTACGGATATGGGGCACCACCTCACGGACCCCCCTCAGCCTATTATGGTGCGCCAAACCCGGCTGGATATGCGCCGCCCCCAGGTGCTCCCCCCCATGGTTACGTTGCGCCGCCTGGGCCTCTTCAACCGAGCTATGCACCAGGATACGGCGGACCACCGCCTCCCCATGGCGGGCACCCGCCACATGACTGGCAACAGTATCCCGGACAGCGCAGATACTAATGGCTGGAAGTAGAGGTCTATGCACCAGGCGTTACTGGCTAGGAAAGATGCTTTATTATCGAATATCCGTGGTCATAACCTGAGTGTCAAACCATATAAAGTTACGCGTATCTCTCGTGAATGTGACAGTGACCTGTTTCATGATTCGGTGTATTTACTAGTATATCAGCCCCGTTACCTGAGTGCTCAGGAAGATGCTGTCATAATATCATTGCCTTAACGCCGTGTCCAATGCTGTTTAGTCATGCTTATCGCTTTCGGCCTCTAGGGTCGAGGGCCTCAGCTCTGCGAATGTCACGAATCTCCTTAGTGCCCATGCTGCCCAGTCCACCCTCGGACCGCCGCTCCCAGCCCCCCAAGCGGATGACCTGGCAAGTGGCATTGTCTCCATCATGCGAGACTTCGGTCGCGTAGTCAACGACTTTCCTAGCCCCCTCGACGGGGGTCTTAGCGTCCTTGACAACATCGACGACTTCCTGGTCGCTCAGGGTACCGGACACACCATCGCTCATGAGAACAAGGAACGAATACTGCGCCGGGCCCATATCAACGCGCGTCATCTCTGGCTCGGCGGATACTCCAATGCGCTTGCTACGCATGTCACCAAAGGCGCGGCTATTTGCCAAGCCTGCGATTCGCTCCTCTCCGAAACTGTCGCCAGAAACCATCGAACCGGCCGGCGCGTAACGCCGTAGACGCCGGCTCTCACTGGGAGAGCCAGGGTGGTGATCCGAAGTCAGAGGCTGGGCCAAGCCGGTGGCCGTCTCGCAAAGTAGAATGCGGGAATCTCCCACATGCGCAACAAGCATGGTCGAATGTGCGCTTGGGTGCCAAAAAGGGGCCGGGGTGGGCGTGGAAATCAGAGCAACAGATGCCGTTGACCCTCCCTGGAACCGTGTGTGACCCCCGGACTCGTGGCCAGATGGAGCCGAGTGCGGGAGACCCAGAATCTCATCTTTGTTGAGAGGGCTGTCGCTGATATGAGGGTCGTCTGGGTCGGGCTTCCGAGCCTGGGCGTCGACAAAATCAAGATCTGCTCGTAGAAACGCGTACACGAGGACGGACTCGATTGATATTGATGGCGAGCCCCGGGTATCCTCAGATAAGTCGAAGTATTCTGGGATAAATCGTCGAAAGTAGCCCCCGACTGTGCTTTTGTAGTCGTCAACCAACTCGCGCTCGAGCCTCAGGGCCTTTTGTGAATCATTGACGTTGGCGGAAGCTACATCATCGCTTTTGAGCGGTTCTGTGCGATCAGGAGACTGAACAGCACCATTCTCGTTGCGCTGGGGCACTTTCATGTCGGCTTTTACATCGTCCGGACCTTTCATGACCAAGGCCTCAAAGGCCTCTTTCTTGGACAATGGATTGGTGGGCTTCTCGTTGTTCGAAGTATATTTCGTTCGCAGGGTGCTCTGCAATCCAAAATCGCTCGAAGCCTGCTCGATGTAGTTGTGCAGCTTGTCTCGAAGAAAGTGGGAGCACTGAGTCCCCCCATGCCCGTCAAAGACTCCAAAGTAGAATATTTGGGGATCGCCTAGGGCACTCTCGGCTGGTTTGGCCTCTCCTGGCCTTTGTCTTATTACACTTTGCGGCGCCCGTTTCGCGAACGCGGGGATATCGATGGTGCCTGCTTGATCGGTATCCTCGTTGTACGGTCTGCTGCCCCGCGCGGTCGCTGACCCGAAGTGATGCTTTGCACGCCTGAGAGGTATACGGACGACGGTCAAGTCTCGGTTCGGCATATTGAGGGGAGCGAGTGCTGGCGACGAGCCAGGCTCCTGTGTGTGGGGCGTGGAGGCGTCGCGCGGCAGACCGTGTCCTGGTCCAGTCCTACCAGAGTCGGGGTGTAGGGAGGATGAAGGCAGATGAGTGACGAAGTACGTATGGAATCCCCGTGTATGGTGCGATGTGTGATTCAATCGCCGTGCTGTTGGCACGCTCTTATGAGCATGCCGTCGCGGATATGCGTATGATCGAGGGTGTTCGACACGAGGTGACATCGGACTCGTAGCACCAGCAGCCGGTGCCGCGTAGCGATACTGCGCATATACCCATATGAAGCCTGGGGCCGTCGATGCATATCTTCTGAGGGGCGGCCGTGACCTCGCACGACCTGTTGATGATGTTGGAGAGGCGTGAAGTGGCCGTGTAGAATGGCGTGTCAGAGCCCTGGCGGCCCTGTGAATTGGCGGCGCCAGAGAGGCCATTGCGGTCTCGTTCAGACGCAGAGCTATTGCGAGAACATCACAGCCTGCTGCGTGGTCCTACGTAGCTTGGGATGATGACGGTTTGGTCCCAAGACATTAAGGGTGGCGCGGGAAGGAGGAGTTGGTTGGGGATCGTCGTCGCCAAGATCCGGACACGGGAGGTGGAGTTGGGTTTTTGGGCAGGTAAGTCTTGCAGCAAAGCGACGCACGGTAGCGACAGCAGATGCTGGCTCGAGAGGTCGAATGGGTATAGGTGAGGCGGGGTTCGCAAGCTAGGGGTGTTTATTGCACCAGATATCAACATTAAACATTGCGGTTTCTTTCGTGAACAACACGACAGAAGCTGGACAATGATCCGCTCAAGAACGTGCGTGACGTACGTATGGATCCGCAGGCACCCCGAGAAAGCATGAGCTCTGGCTATTGGTCGATGCCGGGATAGTCCCTGGTGGAATCCAGTGTTAGCGCCGACTCGGAAGGGCCCAAACTCCAGAGGACGCGGACTGGGGGAAAAGGCTTCCGGTGGTGCAGGTTAGCTAGAGCACTCTTCCACAGCGCTAGTACTCCGTAGGTGACGTCCAGTTGCGCTCTTGCAGTGGCCACCCGCTGTGGCGGCACAAGTGACGTCCATAGCCTCCACCTTCCCAACTACAGTACCTACGTGTAGGCTGGACCCTTGATTCCGGCACACTGATGAACTGGACAAAATTTCCCCCCTCCCCTCCTCTGTGGACCGGCTTAACACCATGAAATGAATGAGAGGCCAGACCTCTGACCTATCCATGGACCGACAATCTTGAAGCTCTTTCACTCTATCAATGTATTTCTCAGCCACCACAAAAGCATGGGCGACTCTCCACCACCCGAAGGAGACGCAGCAAACGCTCAAAAGTCCACGACGACCAACCCGCCGCGCAGCAGACAGGTTATAAGCATCGACCGCGAGGGTGACATTGTTCTCGATGTGGTCTTTGAGACATCCATCGACACGCTGCGCAAGAGCAGGAAGATAGCGCTGGCCGCTGCCCGTAGAGCTGGCAGCTCTGCCCTCCCCCTACCAGAGCTCAAGACCAAGGTCGAGGCGGCATATCGAGTGAACCTGGAAACGCTGAAGAGAAACTCAAAGTACTTCACCAACCTCCTATACAACCCCCAGTTCCAAGAAGCGAAGACCATCGAATACGCGCACGATGCCTTGAGAGCTAGAGGCGCGGACCCTAAGAAAGTAGACGCCGGCGACCTACCTTGGATCAAGATCGCGGACGACGATGAGGCATCCAAAGCGGCAGGTCGAGAGCATGTCTTTGAGGACTTACTGTTGATGATGCATTCCAAGCCTATAAAGACCACAAAACTCACCATGCCCTATGTCACCACACTGGCCATCACGGCGGACCGTTTTGACTGTACACCTGCACTGTCCAGAGCCTTGAATGGAGAGTACAAGTTCAAGTGGCCCCTGACTACGGGCAAGCCCATGAGGGATGAAAACGGACGAGCCACCGAAGCCGAGCAATTGATACGTCAGAAGATCCTGGTGGCTTGGTTGCTTGGCCAGCCCATGCGCCTGCACAATGCGACTCGTGAACTCATCATGAGAGGCTCGAGCCATTGGAGCGCATTCCATGACGAGGCTGTAGACTCCATGGCGGCTTGGTGCACATTGCCGGATGGCCTTGAGCGTGAGCGCTTCGCCCCTCCGTACGTTCCTGGCCGCATGGCTAACAGATCTAGATGAGCTGCAGTACCGTCGCGAATGCATACTGAACACCATCGCCTCTGTGCAACGCCACTTTCTCAAGCTTTATTCCTCAAAGGACCGTCAATGCAAGCTAGGCTATGACTCGTCGCCAGCGTGCGACTCGTTTCAACTTGGCCAGCTGCTGCGGTTTCTCGTCTCCAAGAATCTGCTCTCCCTTGTTGACTTCTCCCCTGATTCCTTGGATGCCGTGCCTGACACTTCCATGGCCGACATTGATGACCTGCTCGCCACGCTGCGCCAGTTTCCAGCGTACCAAGTCGACAGACACCATATAAATTGCGGACCACGCGTTCGCGCGGAGCCTGTCTTTGAGTACATCCGTGCCATGGTCGGCGCAAGCGTCGTTAGCATACCATTCAAAGAGTGGAGGGGCAGGAGAAGCGACGTGAGCTGGGTAGTTACGCAGACGGCCGGTGAAGGCGACGAGGATTCCACCTTCAAGTTTACCAGAGCTTTGGCCAACGATAAACGCCTCCGAGTCGAGGGTGCAATGTTTGCAGATAAGATGGCCAAGAAGCTTTTCACCTCAGAGTCCTGGGACTGGACACCAGAACTTTAACATTTTGCTATGAGGCAACGATGGAACGACACAGAATCGGGGACACAGCTGGCGTTTCGGGAGCACCCTGTTATTTCGGACTGACGACGCATTGTGGTGTTTTAACGATTAAAGAGATAGAATAGACGATCTAAGCCATTGCGAATTGTAACTTGAATCCGGACCCCCAAGCTCTTTGTAGTCCAGTGATTGTGCATCACCCTCGGTGTCTGGTAAATGAAACAAATAGTAACGGTTGGAAAGGAAATCTGTCTCTCTGGACAGCTTGTCGGCGACGCGCCCGGTCTCACCGATTCCTCTTGGGCGAACCCTTATTGTGCCTTCCCCGAGGCCTGCTATGCCAACCGTCCCCTGAAAGATGTGTTGCTGCGGCCGTTCTTCATCATACACCGCACCCTCTAGCAAATCCAAAACCCCATAACGCCGTTATATGCTATACAAAGGTAGCCAAGGGAATGGCTACCGGGGGTGGGCTGATCCACGTATCGGGCTGAGTCGGTATTCTCAGTGACGGGGCGTGGACCGTACTGCCCGTAGACAAGTCCACAGGTCAGATTTGCTTGCTTACGCGGCCTTCTTCGCCCTGGGCAAGCCCTTGGCCTTGCGGTTCTTGACGTCCACATCAGCCAGCCACCGGCTAGCCTTGACCAGCTGGATGCCATTGATGACTTGCTTAAGGAACATGATGGGAAAACTGATCACCACCAGTGCCCACGGCACGAATGAATCCATCTTGTTGGCGCGCGCCATCTCGAGGGCCGCCGCGCTGAAGGGATCGGGGAAGAGCTGGCTCAGAATCGAGCTGTTGAGCTGGGATCCGGGATCAATGTGCGTGCCACTCGTCTCCTCGACACTCTTGACCAGGTGCGGCGAGACCCAGGGCGAGGAGAAGGACAGGAGATATAGCGCAATGAAGAACAGCTCGTTGAGCGCACAAAAGGTGAACAGCACACCCTTGTTGGTGTAGTACAGATTCAGCAGCCAGCTCTGGCTCTTATCAATGTTCTTGTGGCTCGAGTCGACGCCGCCCACGACGAGCGTGGCGTACATGTGCATGTAGTGCGAGGAGAAGTCGAGCGCGATCAGGCCCTGGAAGACAATGGCCCAGCGCGGGAACGCCGAGGACAGGAAGACGAGAAGGCATGAGGTGGTGCAACGGTCGGTCACCATGTCGAGGACGGCACCGAACCGGGTGGACTGCTCAAAGTAGCGCGCGGCATAGCCGTCGAGGGCATCGAGGAGGCAGGAGACGCTGTACAAGAAGGAGCACGTGCGTGGGTGCAGGGGCATGTAGTAGAGCGACGCAAAGGCGAGGACGATGCGGGCGTAGCCTGCCGAGCGGGTTAATCTGCGCGTTTGGTACGTGTGGGATAGGCGGCATACCGATCTGGTTGGGCCAGAAGAGGAAGATGTTCTCCTTATCTGTCGAGTCCGGGACTTCCGACGAGAGATGCGCTGAGCCGTTGCCCTTGCCGTTCATGACGGTCTGGGAAGTCGCGTCGTCATCAGAAGACGAGGCAGCTTCACGCGCCTTTGCGTTTCGTCTAGTCTGCCGAGCCATCGTGGGTATATTGTGGGAGCTTCGCAGTTGGTGGGCGGTCGGGTGCAGCTATGAAGGCGCGAAGCTTGCTCGTGGGTCGGAGCGGGCGTGTCGGATTAGGAGAGTGACGATAAGGGCGACGACGGTCGGCTCTCGCGGTGACGCAAATCAATATCACTATGGTCCAGAATGGAAGGGAACACGGATTACAGACAGAGCCCAAGAAGAACGGTTCTGGAGGGAAGTCGAGAAGTAGGTAAGTACTTGGGTATTATTAGGTAACAGACGACGAACAGAGGGGAAAGGGAACTCGAGTCTGTTTCGAGAACTTTTTTTTTTCTTTGGCGGGAACCAGAGCTGACTGGAGGTAAGATTTGGCGTTGGAAGCTATTTCCTGGAGCCTGAGCGGACTTTGATGGGCGTTAAAGCGGGTCCTTCGCGATGAGCCTACGTAGTGGCCGCGAGTACGGTAGCCGGAGCTCAGTCTTTAGGCCTTGGCCCCCCTGGAATTCAGGGACCTACCACTCCACTATTTACCCCTTCAGTCTGGTGACCGGCACACTCGGATCGCCTAGCTCAGGGGAGAGGCAACAAAAGGCTAAGGTAGGAATGTCGTGGCAACGTTGTGTGAAGATAGTATATCTACTACTGTAGTCTGCAGTAATCAACGAGCTGTAGAAGTCGAAACTCCGAAAGCATTTTTTGCGACTTGAGATTGGCGGTCCACTTATGCGCCCTGCATGATGATGCCGTGCTGCGTCGACTACCTTAGGATGGTTCTCTCAGCAATTCCTCGGTGTCGGGTCCTCTCGATCAGCCCGAATACCGGTACGGATAGTGAACCCAGAATGTGCGAGAACATCTACCGCGAAACGACCATATGCCATATTCCCTTAAGAAGTACTGCTGCTTTTCTTAAATAATCACTCGCTCAGTCTCATATTCCACGTCACGGCCGAACTCCTAGGGATTCTTTGCGGCTGTGGATCCGCAATGCGGACTGGTCAGCATTTCGTTGAGCTCGAATGTCTTTTGAGACGGTGATTGAACTGGTATACCACTTCAGCGAGGCCCGTTCAAGACTTCAAAAGACATGGAATCTTCAAATTCCGAGGGACGAGTTTTTGAGAACAACTTCCAGTGCTCGTCGGGTGAGACTCGAGAGAGCGTTAGCTCGGAGGCGGCTGCGGACCTGATGCGATGGATCTGCACTGATCTTCACCTTCGCCCAGAGCCGCATTAACAACCCTGATCAATGGATGGAGCCTCATCTGTGTTCAGTTGGCAATTGCAGACACGTAGAGATGACTCCAAATGTGCTGCAGAAAACGGGGCTCATTCTGGTGGCCCCGCGGAATAATCGAGATCGACAGAAAAACGGTAAGACTGAGCACTGCAGATCTCAGTGCTCTTCATGTTGACTTCATGTTGATTGTTTGCTACCCATTTCGCTTTATTAATACTGGAGACTGGGAGGTACATAACAGACTGGGAGCGCTGTGATATATAGGCACGCACTTGCAAAGAGAGACATTGTGGCCATCATCTTGCGAGAGACTTTGAAGTTGCGATGCTGCAAATGCTGCTGGTCGGGTGACACACGGATGACACTCGGGTCGCATTCGGTGTCTGGACAGAGCTCTATCCTCGGTGTCCATGGTTGACGATGCAATTATAAGCCCACTGTGACTATCCGTACTTCTGCCAGACTAGTAAACATGCCCATCACTACTGATGAGCCTAGGCGTCGTATACTGGTGGATGGCCAGAGACCAGCGTCCCGTCTTGGGCGGCACAGTCGCTGCAGGCTCTCTCAACAGACGAAAAACTAGAAAGGGGCCCCTCTGGTTGGCAGATCACAGCTTTTCATACCTTACTTAGCCGCTTGGGTGCCCAACTGCCGCCGGGCTAATGCACGCCGTGAATGTGATGGATGGCTAAATGTAACAATTTCTGAACCCTGCATTTATTAATGATCTTTCTTTGGGGTACGTACATACAGACGCTTGCCATGGAGGAAGTAAAACATTACGCGTACGTACCCGTACAGAAGTGACCAGAATCGAGTTCAGAAGTAAGCAAAAGACAAAGTTACAGGAGTTGCTCGCCGTGCTGTTCGGCGCCGGTTGGTTACGTCGCGCGTTGAACAAGGTATTGCTGATGCCGATACACGTCAAGACTTGGTGCGGCTACAGGTTCAGTCAAAATCCCCATTCAGGTGCCAGCGATGTGAAAACGATCACTTGGCGTAGGGTGGCAGAACGGTAGAGGCCTGAACTCACCAAGGTGCCATTTGCCCAACGTACCTTATATGCCGTCACGGCATGTCATCATTTGGTCTGAAATAGAAGCGACGCGCGATGAACTGAACTATCGCGGGACTAGACGCAGTGCTAGTAGGTCAGTCCATGTCATCGCTTGTTAGTAGGATGAAGAAGTGGCGGCTGGCAGCGCTGTCTACCAGTCGAGGGCGGCTGCTCAGAGGAGTCGACGACAACACCCCACATGAATGCTGTCTACCTGTATCGATCCTTCCGCTTCACTTTTTGTGTGCTGCTGCCCCTGTGACCAAACGGCGAATTCTTCAGCATCCAGCCATCGTTCGCTGGAGTTTCGATTCACTCGTCGTCAACGTTTAGTCTCTTTCAACCTATTAGCAACGTAACTTCAGCTGCCTGGCTGCTTCGTCTTCTCGCTTTTCAGCCCTCTTAGGACAGGACCGGAGTCCAGAACCCCGCCACTATTGATCCATCAGGTGGGTTTAACCACTGCTAGACTGAATCGTCGACAGGGCCCCCGTTTGCTGGATCATTCCGCAAAGCCACTGCGGCTCAACCAGGGTCAGTATCGCTCCTCGTTGGTCGGCTCCAGTTCAGTGACTCCAGTCATTGTCCCCCGACGCCCTGGCAAGGCCCAAGCTGGCCTGCAGGCCTCGTTGTTGGGTCCCGGATCAGCGCCGTCAAAATTGGGGGCGCCGCCCCTTGGAGGCTCCAACCGCCGTCCAGTCCAGCCGTCTCATCCATCACCTTCTTGCGACTGAACGGTCCTCTGCTCATCTTTCTACTTACATACCTCGCTGCTCTCCGACTTCCGTACTCCTAAAGCGCAGCTTTGCCCAGTAGAGAGAGCCGTCCCAGCGAGCGCTTTCATTACCTCCGAGCAACACTGAAGGACGTCTGGTCTCGGACCCTTGAAAAAAATAAAAAAATTCCCGACTACCACCGAGCGGTCACCGCCTCTAAGACAAGGACCTCGACAGTTTCCTTGGCCTCCTCGTCTTCAACAGAGCACAAAACGCAATCTACTGAGCTTCTCCACACGTTGAACCTACTCCTTTAAAGGGACGCGCTCTATCTGCGTCCTCACTCAAGTATCTACCTCAGGTGCCTTGGGCAGCCCCCCGCACACAAGAAACATCATGGCGCATCCCTCACTCAAAAAAACATATGCCAAGCGGGCA